GAACAAGAAGCACATGAATTTGAAAAAAATTCATTCAAAATTTACTTTAATTTGAAGGATTTAGGATTTAGGGATTTAGGGTTAGGGTTTAGGTTTACAATTTGGGATTTTGGATTGGGATTCAAAATTGAAGGTTAAGGGGTTAGGGTAATTGATTGATTTGTTATGACTCTATGTCATATCATCATATTAGATTGAGAGTACTAATTAAAGTTCAAAATTTGATGTAATATGGACACTTTTAGAGTGGGTGCACTGAGTGCACCCAAAAAAGTGAGTGCGCCGAAGTAGCCACCATATATATATATATATATATATATGGTGATGACTGGTGTATGCCAGACGTATAGTATACGTCAGTTGGTTTTATATATATATATATATATATATGGTGCCTTCTACGGTACCCTGGGTGAAATCGGGGGTACCGCATACCTTGAGTATAAAAACGCTATCTAGACCTCGAATTAGCAGGATTTTTGGGCATGATACTATACCATAACCCTTAATGAGTGAACCCTAGGTCCTAATTATCTAAATCATAAACTATAAACCCTAAGATGGTGCATTGATTTTTTGCCTATATTTGGACGAATCATAACCGTCGATTATTAATTCTAATTAAATTGATCTCGGGGTATAAGATTTAGAGAATTAAGACCTAGGTTTTTATCTTTAAGAGTTAGATTATAGTACCATGTCCGAAAGATCAGTCAATTCAAGTTCTGGATAGCGCTTTCTTACTCAAGGTATGCGGTACCCCGGATTTCACCCTGGGTACCGTAGAACTCCCCATATATATATATATATATATGATTCGTCCAAATATAGGCAAAAAAATCAATGCACCATCTTAGGGTTTATAGTTTATGATTTGGATAATTAGGACCTAGGGTTCACTCATTAAGGGTTAGGGTATAGTATCATGCCCAAAAATCCTGCTAATTCGAGGTCTAGATAGCGTTTTCATACTCAAGGTATGCGGTACCCCGGATTTCACCCGGGGTACCATAGAAGGCACCATATATATATATATATATATGGTGGGTACTTCGGCGCACTCACTTTTGTGGGTGCACTCAGTGCACCCACTCTAAATGTGTCCATATTACATCAAATTTTGAACTTTAATTAGTACTCTCAGTCTAATATGATGATATGACATAGAATCATAACAAATCAATCTATTACGTACCCTAACCCCTTAACCTTCAATTTTGAATCTCAATCCAAAATCCCAAATTTTAAACCTAATTCCTAACCCTAAATCCCTAAATCCTAAATCCTTCAAATTAAAGTAAATTTTGAATGAATTTTTTTCAAATTCATGTGCTTTTTGTTCATAATATCATAAACAACAATTGATACCGTTTTGACATGAATCACATGCTCAGAATGACAATTATGAGGCAGGTGCACTGAGTGATCGATCGGTTGGTTTATGTCATAGTATTAGCTGGAGAGCTCGTCGTTTGTCCTTTTTGTTTTGAAGCACACACGACATGACATGTCGGGTTGTTCAAATTTCAAGTTCATAATTTTGTTTCTTTTCGTTCGAAAGGGGTGCTAAGAAAGCTGTTAAAAATTTGTAAATGAACATCTCTCAATAATTTGAGTTATTCGAAACTAGCTAGTTGGTTCATGACAAATCAGACTGCTGGAGAGAAACCAGAATTCAAGGGGGAAAAAGAACCTTGTATATAGTAGATATATAGTGTACGTACAACGGTACAAGAACACAGAAACCCATTAATTCGTGATAACAAATCATACAGTTAGGCATGCATGCATGCAGCTCTGTACGTAAAGCCTAGCTAGTGGATGTACTCATCACGGACGTGGAAGAGGTTGGGGTTCTTGACGACGATGTCGTACATGTAGACGGAGCTGAACCTCTGGAAATCCAATGGCAGGGAGATGAGGTCGATGGACGACCTTTTGTGGAACTGCAAGAGCTCCGGCTCTCCGCCGCCGCCGCCGCCGCCGCCGTAGTACCTCTCCCAGCCCAGCCCGAACAGGATGCGCTCCAGCGCCGCGTAGGACGTCACCGCCTGCCCGCTCGGCAAGTGAACCAGCACCTTTGTCCTCCTGCCGCCGCCGCCAGATTCCATCATGTCGCTGTTGGGGTTCTCCACCAGGCGGATCACCCCGTTGCTCTTGAACATCCAAACTCCTGACATTATGTGTATATAATCGAGCGAGGTAGATGATGATGTGATCTGTGTATGAGAGAAGGTAGGTTCTTGAAGAGAAGTAGGTAGTGTTGGTGGTGATGAGGGAGAAGGGGAGATGATGATGATGATGATGATGAAGGTATTTATATTACAAGGAGAAGAGGATGGAATCTAGATAGATATTGTAGGACCCACCAAGATTCTATGTCTCTCCCCTCTCTATCCTGATCTAGTGGGTTATAGCTTATGGTTTTGCTTTTGGGCATGGGAGATTCTCTTCTTTTGGAAGGGTTCAAGCCCAAGTTATGTTTACATAAGCTTATTGCAGGTATACAAGTCAATCCAAACAATAAAGGAAACGACGTCGCTTTCGACCCACATTAGCGCACGAGCAGGCCACGTGAAGCAAGCGACGGCCACCCTATTGTCTGCTTTAAATTTCTCCCTTTAATTTCTTCTCGGAAGGCCAAATCGTTCCTTCGCACTATTAGGGTTCTAATTAAGTTGTACGTACTTGTAATTCACTTATCCGCGCTTAGGATATGGAAAGAAGCGAATTTCATTGTCTCGATTTTCCTTATTTTCTATCGGTGTTCGTATTATCGGAGGAGTAGTCGCGTAGAATACCGCATCGACTCGTGTCTTGCATGCTTTCGCCATCGCGACATGCAAAATATTCTTTTCAAACCTAGCTAGCTAGCTCTTTCGAGAATATATGAATGTCATTTGTATATATCACTTCATGATTAATTTATAATAATGAATATGGTTAGTTATTGTCAGATTAGTGTGCGCTATATATAATCGGGTAGGTCAATCAGGGGACCACCATGATCAGCACATAGAAATGCAAAAAAGCTTTGCTCTCCCCTTCAATTTGCTTCTCCAACTTAATTTATGATGATCACAATCCTAGTAGTTTTGGGCTGAACAATTCCTTTTTTTCCCCCTTCTTCCTGCATGCTGCTGGCTCAAATATGCATGCAGTTGCTCAATGTTTCCACATGAGATCACATGGGCTGGGCTTAAAAAAATGGTCCATTAATCTGGTTCCATCTTTCTTTTACGTACCCAGTCCTGTCGTGATCCCACCATGCACACGAACTGTAGCCTCACAACTGGACATTTTCTCTGCTTTTTTTTTTTTTTTTTTTGCAAGTTGGATAATGTTGTTGTTGTTCTATGCTAAAAAGGAAATGCAAGAAAGAGGAAGCAAGTTGCCACCTCTGACTGTGACTGCTTTTTGAGAGGCTTGGGAGAACAGAGTGTATTGAGATGAGCATCAGTACTAATTAATTAGGTTGAAACATGCGACACATAGATTAAGTGACCTTTTATCGTCCTACTTAATTGCCAAGTAAAGTATCTCATCACAAAATATTAGTGCAAATATTTAAGCTTAAGTACTAGTTTAGTGGTGGCTCCGATCCAAACCTTAGTGGCGTGGAGCCGTGAATCATGCTTGCGAAATGGGTTCCAATGAATCGAAACCTTAAATATCATTCATGGGATCTATACCTAATAAATTATTTATTAATCTGTATAGTTAATTGATCTATACCTTGAGGTGAATAAAGGGATCGATGATTAGTAATAAACAATTTGGAATGCGTTAGTAACCAACAAGATATGAATGAAAAATAAGGAAAAGGACAATAAGGCAAGTGGAAGTATTAGAAAGTCTGAGGTTGGTATTTCGATACATATATTTATGGTAGCTCAGATAACTTGTCATGGGGCACGGGTCGAGGGAAGGTCGAACCATATCTTATGCAATTTAAAAGAAAAATATTGGAATATTTATTTTTCTAATATCAAGAAACAAACTATAATATATATAAATGCAGTTATATTATTTGAGAAAGAGGTTCTCACCTATTTACAACTTTGCTATAGCTAAAATATGAGATCATAATGTAGAAGGCTAATTAAGTTGACTAAATTGCATGTAATTCAGACAAAATCATATTGAGAACTAGGCGAGTCGGGATAGGCCAGATCTAAAAAAGTACTCATGTTCGCCTTGCCCCGTTTACGGAACGTGTATTACCTTTTCCAAAACACGTCAATCGTCAAACAAGTCGAATAAAACATATTAGATCAAATTTATTTTATCTAGATATAGTAGAGATAACGTTTCCATGATATCATCTTCATTCCGGATCAATAACATCAGACGGGCTTGGGCTTCTTTGGGCGAACAGAACTGGCCCATCATTTGAACGAACGCAGGCCCGCACTGATCCCATGCTGAAAGAAACCATAAAGATAGGCCCACTCTGGCCCATCTATCGAACCCAAGGCAGGTCCACACTGATCCTCGTCACTTGCATGACGATTGACGACCATCCAAATATGGCCAAATACCAATCCCGATCCAATGCGGACTTCCGAATTCTGCTCAGAACAAGAACAACTTTCCGGCCAACCAACCAACCGGACTCCAAATCGTCCATTTTTTCCCCGGCCACTTTCTTAATTTAGTCCCCAACTTCCTACTCTCCCGTTCTCACTAAGCTCTCCCCAAAACAAGCTCCGACCTAAGAAAATAACAGAGTTCTCGTTTACTAAATATACACTAACCCACACTCTGTCAAAAAATAGGGTCCAATTTGTTGCTATAAAATGGCTACCCCAACCTTCTCCATCGTCATCATCAAGAGCCTTACTTGATCGATCTCTCTCCCACCTTCAACAATCGCATCCCCGCCGGAATAATAAACCGACAATAATAAACACCAGGGCTAAACTTTTTTTTTCCAGGGCTTTTGTTTGAATAGGAGACGAATAATCCCCCAAGGCAGAAAGGGAAGAAATCGGAGAGAAATGGAGACTCAGAACTGGCTCTTCTTCGCGGCGGTCTGCCTCCTGTCCATTTCCTCGGCGTCCGCCGCCGGCGGCAGCTTCAACATCACCGAGACGCTCGCCAAGTACTCCGACTACAACCAATTCAACCAGCTCCTCTCCCAAACCGGCCTCGCCGATGATATCAACAACCTCGGCACGGCCACCGTCCTCGTCGTCAACGACGGCGGCGCCGGCTCCATTTCCGGCCAGTCGAAGCAGGTGATCAAGAACACCCTGATGCTGAACGTAATCATGGACTACCTCGACAGCAACAAGATCAAGAGCTGGAAGAGGCGCTCGGTGACGTTCACGACCATGTACCAGAGGACCGGCGAGGCCAGCGGCGACCAGGGCCAGATCAACATCACCAAGTCCGACAACAACCAGGTCCAGTTCGGCAACGGCGGGGCAGACGCGCAGCTCACCGCCACGATGCAGAAGGTGGTGACGGCGGTGTCGCCGCTCTCCGTCATCGAGATCAGCAACCTGATCCAGCCTCAGTGGATTTACAACAAGAAGGCTTCGTCGCCAAAGAAGGCTCCGTCGCCGAGCCCATCCGACGCGCCGGCGCCGTCCAGGAGGCACAGGAAGGAGGCTCCTCAGTCGGCCGAGTCACCGGAAGCTGACTCCCCTCCACAGCCTGACGCCGATGCTGAATCCTCCGATACACCGGCTGCGGCGCCTGGAGGCGCTCATTCTGCCGCTTCTTCTCCCTCCGCCCCTGCGGCTGCCTGCGCCGTGCTTCTCGGATTGATGGCCTTTGCTACGGGTTTCTGAAGCTTGCCGTGACGAGGAAGAAAACACAGTAAAAGGGTTGAAAAGGCTGGGCGTTAGCAAAACTGCAATAATATGATCATAGAGTGATCGGCTTTCACTTTCCTATTATTAGCATACACCACAGCTTTTTTTATGTATCCGCCATTCTGATCTTTCATCCTCTCTTATTTCCTCCCATTTATGTAAGCAGCATTAGAGAAATAAAAATTTCAAAATGGAAAGCTTGCATCAAGGACTCAGTCTCGGTCTCTCAGGTTATAGTTCTCGACGTTTTACTGCGTAAATCGAAGCCACTCAAGCCAATCCAACACCAAGCTAAACATGTAATGTAACTCAACATATACAGACAGTGCAGGAATATCAAAAGTTAAGAGCACAATGAAGGAATTCAAGAATGGAGTGTTTCAATGAAGTTGATACCAGGGCAGAGAGACTGTGTAGCAGAGTTGCAGCTACACAAATGTTTGATCTCTGCCCAACAGCAATCAGAATACAGACCAATGACAGAACTGACAGTTTCTGACGATGAATTCGTCCAAAATGAGCTCTGTGTCTGTGTTAAAGCTACGGACCTGAGCTTGTAAACCAGCCGCAAGAAGTTTCAGAGCAACCAATCTAAAGCAATTGAGTTATATATATGTACCTCCGTAGCAAGAAATGACATGTAGTTGGTACTCTAATAAAATGCCTCCCCAAGGACCAACACAAGTTAAAACCCTTTCCGCTGCTCACCCCAAAAAAGATACCCTCCCGAGCAGCGAACCAACCTACTCCACCACTGGATTTAGCTGTCATTTGAGCTTGCTAGCTATGTCTGCCACAACTTGATCCATGTCAAGATCCTTCATTGGCTGGAATGGGCGCTTCATACCCTGAAATAGAGGTGACCAAAAGTTGACAGGGAACCCCAGACATAAGCAACTGCAACGTGATAAAAGTTTGAACACATAATTGAACAGATGTATGGACACTGTTTTTACCAGAAGACTGATGAAGACTCTGCCTCCTTCCTCTCGTACCTCAAAGCAACCCCTCCTAGGCTGGTGATGAGAAATTCATCAACAATTAGACATCGACTGAAAGACAAATTGTCATTCCCAAACTACTATAACTAGCAACCTTCCAAGTAAAGGCGATGCAAGACATTTATATGGTAAAATTCAGACCATTGTTGAGTTCTAAACCAACAATTGGACTAACATCTAACGAAGGGACAGACTGGAAATGGCGCGCATTCACAGTTTTGACAGATGCAAGTAAATGACACACATTTTTTATTCTAGTTGTGAACATCCCGATGAATGACAGAAACGAAACAACGACTTGGTATTAGGACAAAATTTCACAGCCAAAACCTACAGAATCAAAGTTGTGGAAGTTTATATTTGGAATATTAGTCATAAGAAGACGTTCAGAGGCGAAAGATTCAGTTCACCAATCAGGAGCAAGGAAAAGAAGAAGAAAAACTAAAAGCTTGTCGACGTACCGGCCCATGAGGATTGAGCAGCACAGTAATCCCAGGTACAGCTTCCTCCAAGCCATCTTTCACCTTATCAGCCCTCACCTTGAATTGTCTACATTGTTTGCTGCATGAATCAAGAAACATTCACCATATGTACCAAAGAAAGATAACAAGAACGGAATGAAAACAACAGAAAGTAGACGAACGAGCCCAAATTTCTTCAACAGATTGAAAATTGGGGTTTTCCCTTTCTTCAATCTTTGCCACCAACTGTTTAGTTGAAGCTGAAGATTGCACTGATTACAAGGTTAATGCCTTATACAACATCCACATCCCTGAATGTCATATTTCCTTCAAAGATTCCACAGCTCCTCAAAATAATGAACCTTATCCTAGGCTCCTAGCTAAACAATTACGCAAAATACGATAGCAGAGGCTGTTTGCAGGGCAAGCCACACATCAGGCAGAGATTTTTGTAATCATCATCTTCCATTTCTTTCCAGATAGAAAGATGAAAAGAAGTTATGATTCTGCGATAGAACAAAGCATGAAACAAGAAGAAAGAAGTTTGTGATTCTGCAAAATACAATTTGAACAACAACTCCAAGGGCCAGAATGAGTTCTAGTCTTCTAGATGTTCTAACACCACCACCACAAGGGGTTAAACTTTCTTTTGATTAGTGAGCTTTACCAATTTTCCACCCCTGGTCAAGAATAAATATAGAATTCTCAGAACTTCCATTCCTTTCAAACCGTTACTTTGATCAGGATTCAGGACCAAACATAATTTAGTACGTAGGCAAACTTAGACTCAAATCGTTTGACAAATCATTGGTCAGGACCAAAACAAATTACAAAACCTGTGTACCCTTCATCGATGGAATCTTATTCAGAGCTACATCATAAAAACATGACCACACACGAAACCCTAATACGCAGGCAACGAAGTCTAATGCCGCCCCTCAAGCCAATCTGTAAGCGTTAATCCTGGATTTGACGTTCCAATTTGCGTTTCTTTAGGTCGCTATCAACCATGGATATCAATGGAAGCCAAAACAATGAACTAAAATCTTCCAGAATCTCCTAGAGTTCGTTGCTAGTAAAGAAGCCATAGCTTCACAGCACTCAGAGACAAGAACTAGAACAGAGAAATCTAGAAATATCTGTACCCTAACTTTCTCAGAAGCCAAACGTACATGATACATCGAACGAGACGAAGAAGTTCTCGGGGGAAAAAGAAAACGAGAGCTAGCAGGAACGGAATTCTCCAATCTGGAAAATAGCTATTCGTAACAAAGCAAGACCTAAATACTCACTCAAGAGCTACGAACTAGAGCAGATAAATCTCGAAAATCTAGTAGACAACTTTCTCAGAAGCCAAACAGACCACAAACGAGACGCAGAAGACGGAAAGAAACAGAAAATAATGAGAGAGAGAGAGAAACAATCACCAGTGCTCGATGACCACAGTCCTCCTCGCCGCGGCACTGCCACCGTTGTCCTGCTCCGGCGCTTCCGCTCCCGTCCCATCTTTCTCGACCTCGCCACCATCATCCTTAGCTTCTCCGTCGCTACCGGCCTTCTCAGCGTCATCCTCCGGTTTAGCAGCTTTATCAACAACTCCTTCCGCCGCATCGTCACCTGCCGGCTTCTCCTCCGTTTGCTCCGGGTCCGCAGGCGGCGCTGGTACTTCCTCCTCGGGCTTCACCTCCTGCTCCTTCGGGGTTGGGGTTTTCGCCTTCTTCTTCTTAGGCGAAGACTCGTGGCCGAGGGGAGGGGTTAGATTCAGTTTCCCCTCAGCAGTCTGGCTACGGGTCGCCCTTGCCGCAGTCACCGTAGAGCCGCGGGTCGCCCGCTTCTCTCCTTCGACAGCCGGACGCTTCTTCGGAGCCATTGACGGAGGCAGAAAGGACAAAAATCTAGCAGAGGACCGTTCTCTTTCTTTCTCTCTCTCTCTCTTCGTTCTCACTTCTCGGACTCGCTTCTGCTACTGGGAAATGGGAATGACGTTTTGCGTGACAGGTTCTTGCAATCTCTTCGATTTCCCGCGGTTTTGTTTTGGTTGATTTTGAATGGACGGCTTGGATCAAACAATCTTATGGAAATTTCGATCTGGATGGCTATAACTGCACCACGTGCAAAGATGGAGAGGTTTAGGATCCATAGTCCATCCCTAGGGCTTTTCCATCAAAATAGTGGGGGAAAAGAGTGGATGATGGAAAATATCTTTTTTTATTGTTTTGAGGTAAGGGTGGGCATTAGGGATGGCAACAAAACCCGAACCCACGGGTACCCACCCGACCCAACTCGGTCAACGCGGGTAAAATCCGTGTTGACGGGTTTTGGGCCGGGTTTGGGTTTAAACCCGTTCATTATTCATCGGGTTGGGTTGGGTTTGGGTTTAGGTAAACCTGGCCCGTGGGTACCCGCTCACTCATATAATTAATTTTTTCAGTATATTTAATATTCTAAACAACTATTCTTATTTATGTTTGTGGAGACGTGTCTAATTTTTTCTTTTTAATTGTGTAGAATGAAGTTGATGTTATGGAATGGAGTGGAGACTAAAGAAACTTAATTGAAAGAAAGAAGCTTTCAATTAAACATGTTATTTATGGATAATTTTAGATTTGCTTCAATTTTCATGAGTTTTCTAGATTGGTGTTGAACAATTTGTATAGTTAATTTGTGATTTGCTTGAATTTTCTAGAATGATGTTTTATATATGGATAATTTATATTGAGAGATTGATATTTGACTTTAATTTTGATAAGAACTTGTAATTGTAAATTTTTTACGACAAAACCCGTGGGTACCCATGAACCCGCGGATACCCAACGGGTTGGGTTGGGTTTGAGTTTTTCAAACCCGGTGGGTTTTACCCCGGGTTTTTTTCAAAGATAAACCCATGGGTTTGGATTTGGGTTTGGCAAAACCCGACCCAACCCGACCCATTGCCATCCCTAGTGGGCATACATACGGTTCGGTAAAACTGAACCGAATCCGAATTAATGTTATTTGGTTTGGAATTCGGAAGAGAAACGGGCATATTTCGGAAACTAGAGTCCTTTCGATCGAATCGAATTTCTGAATTATGAACCGAAAAACCGAATTATTATAATTGTAAGCTCCAAATGGTGGATTTTTAAGTTTCTACTTATTACGAGGCTTAAATATTTGAATCATGTTAATGTTTTATGACTTATGTGTTGAAATGTTTGATTTTATCATTGATGATGCATATTTATTGTGTACATTAGGGGGTGAAAAATAATTTAAAATAGAGAATATACAGCCTAACCTCACAAGTTCGGTTTTGTATGAAAAAACGAACCAAACCAAATTATAATTCGGTTTGAACCGAACAAACCGAATTATAATTCGGTTAGAATTCGGTTTGAGGTTTGATGGAATTCGTGGACCCGATATGCATTATTTTGGTTCGGTTTGAACCGAACCGACCGAATGCCCACCCCTACTTTGAGGTGACCTTTTCAAACCGAATTATAATTCGGTTAGAATTCGGTTTGAGGTTTGATGGAATTCGTGGACCCGATATGCATTATTTTGGTTCGGTGTGAACCGAACCGACCGAATGCCCACCCCTACTTTGAGGTGACCTTAAAATGAGGTTAATTCCATGTAGTTATATTATTATAAATTTGATAAGAAATATGTAAAACATAGCAAATTAGTTATCCAATTTTTTTGGGATAATCAAATTGTCTTAACCTAACATCATCAATGATCTGCTACATGATTATTTATTTATTAATTTATCTTTTATATTGATTTACTCCTAACTACTCTAGCTTAGGCCCTACTTGTTGATAATTGTTTGTTCACTACTATAAATATAGAGGTTTCTGAGCATGATATGCATATACTTTTTTTGGTCATTGGATGAATATTCATTTTATTCGTATATGCCCATCTCTAGGGTTTTATTGTTTCCTAAAAGCCTATTGTACCTTCGCTTTTGACATTTTCTTTCATTTTCTTGAAATAAATCCTCAAACATTCAACACAACTCCTCCAATTTATGGACTAAAGTGGGGTTTAACCTTGTTTTCTCCACTGGATTTTGTCGCTCTGAAAGTACTTGTGCACAATCCACTTCATTTGTACAAACTAAAACACCACACCCGTTTAAGAATTCTACATTATGGAGAAACTAATAAAAATATATAGAAAAAGGGTTTGGTCACTATAAATGAATACTAATCTACTACTTTTCAGTATATAAAGAAATGCATATAAAGAAATGCAGGTGTATTAATATCTCTAATTTGTCGTATAATTTGAAAAATGGTACAATAATTTATCTAAAGTGTCTGGGTTAAACTTTCTGGCAAACAAATAACAAGGTCGCTTCACTCCATTCCAGAAGCAAGGTCTCCATGTCGTTACTTTCTGTTCATGGTTGTCAGAATGTCAATCACCAATACCATTGACAGAAAACTTAAAGAAAGAAAAATAGAAAGCGTGTGTACCTTTCCTTCACTTGTGACATGTATGGCCTCGTCAATGGTCTGTAAGCAACAACAGGAGAAGTAAATAAAGTTATTTCACAACTAGATCATATGAAAATCTGCCTATCATGTGGGCTATCAGCTTGTGCTAACATTATTGGATCGTCATCTTGTGCATTTCGTACGTTGAGAATACACCGCGATTATATACTAATTTAACGACTAAAAACGCGCCAAGATCAATCCAACAATGTAAAAACCTACTGATCGCCCCATGATCAACAGCATGCTAGCGTAATTAAGAGAGACTAGTCACACTAATCACAATAAGGGTGTGGATAATACCGTTAGGTTCTTGAGGAGCTCATACGTAATGTCCGAAGCTCTGTAAGATCTTGGATGCCACTTCCCCTCGGACCAGTCGACATGTGTAACCGACCACTTTGCAATCCCTTCAGGATCAATCATCTATACAATGACCAAAAATTAATGGATGCCTATAGCTGATTGGAGTAAGATGAACCATGACAGCATTCAGTATGCTCACAGTGAAAAATGTTTGCAGGTAATGCTCATCAGAGTAGCAGTTCTTCCCATCCATATTCGGCTGCAAAATAGGGTACCAGATTAAACAAGTTAATCATCCCCTTCTCAAGATAATCACCCAGATTGATCAAGTGGTTCATGTTAGGATGTAACTGACTCTGCAGTAGAGCTTGAATTTCTTGTAGTACAAGCTATCGGCCATGACTATGATAGCATGTTGTCGCTTCATGGAGAACCACTGCAATCCAAGTTTCGCAGCATGTACAGATCAGTAACAGCGAAAGGAAAGAAACTAGTGAATCAACTGCATTTTTATCTACCTGAGCACCCTTTCGGAAATCGGAGTATCGAACCTCTGGCATCATGCGGTTTGAGTATCTGCCACTGCCATGCGGACCGGGATCCACATAGCTGAAGAGAAAAAATGAACCAGACAAACAGTGAAGTAATTCATTTTGTAACAAAATGTCAATACAATAAGGTTCACCGCCCAACCTCTGCCAACAACTCAATCTACTAAAACACGTTGGTTCTCGACATAACATCGGAGCCAATGATACCCAAAACTGGGACTGATAAGTTACCTATCGATATAGCTGACATTAGTGAACATCAGATGGTGATACACATAGTTGAAGGTACGGAGTGGTACGCAGCTGCAAAAGGGAAATCAGCAGCAAGATAGACAGTGCAGTTAGTTTAGCACACACTTTCTGATGGTTACATTAGTTAACACAGAGACGCCAAGAAGTTTACCTCTCAGAGAGCAAGACAAACTGATGGTTATCTGGATCCAGAAGTGCATGTGCTAGTAGCCTCCTCTCTGCATCAACCATGGAGATTCTCCCCCACTCCACCTGTTACAAAGAAAACCCAGATACATAAATTGATTCACACGTCTACATGGTCAGGTTGTTCTCAAACATCTTGCTACTTAGCAATTGTTCAACGGCTGATATGAATGTGTTAGTACGTGGTATAAGGCCTGATAACCAACTGGTTCTTGATAGAACGATGATACCTTTTCACTGCGGATTTCTCTGCCCACGAAGTAACGACTGCTATGAATCGGTTTGTCTCTGGAGGAATGTATGTAAACGGTGAACTTGTCTTCGTGACCCTGCCACCAGTTGATCAAACTTTCTTAGTCCCCCGCTCCACGAAAATGTGCTAGAAAAACACCAACGAATGAAGAAAACAAGACAACCATAAGAGTCAAGAACTTACTACTCGACGATACCTGAAAGAATCTCTCCCAGAGCATCTCGAAAGGGAGCGAGGAAGGCGTCAAGAACATGAATGCGACCTTCGGGGACCTGGAGAGCGGAGGGGGCGTGTTGAGGATCTCGCGGATCACGACGTGAGCGGAGGTCTCCTCGTCGGTGAACACTTTCGCCGGAACGACTCGGTCTCCGTCGTAAGTGGTGGTGCACCCGCCCTGATCGAAGACGGAGCAAGGGGCGGCGGAGACCGTGGTTCTGGGCTGGTAGAGGTAGTAAGCACTGACGAGGAAGATGGCGGCGAGAGAGACGAACAGCAGAATCCACCTTGGCGTCCGCTTCACATGAGCTCTCTGTCTTGAGGTGGCAGGCGTTATCAGGTAATCCCTCGTACCCATCCACCATGAACGACTCGTCTTCATTTACTTCGATCCAAAAGAATACAAATCTCTGCCTAATCAGAAGAAAGAAAAAAACTCCATTAATGCGGAGTAATGTGATGCCCATAGTTGTGAATTGAATAATCAAGCATTCCAGACTGATTGGAAACCAGGAGAAAGGGACAGATAAGTGGATCAAGAAAACGACAATGGCGGGATCGAAAGTACCTGGAAAAATTAAAACTGCAGTAGCTGTGCCTGTGGATTTGTAGACAGGAGGAAGGAGGAGGGGAAATGGAATCTGAAGCATGAGCTGCAAGAGATGTCAAATTTTGTAATTATTATTAATGTAAGATTGGAGAAATTTTGGAATTTAGAAAGACAGCAATTATTGATCCCCAGTTCATTAAACAAAGATATAGAACAATTCAGTTGTTTTGTAATAATTATCACTGTCTGGATCCCTAATTACTTGTGAATTGTGATTAAATATGGTTTACTAGTTACAACAACTACAAGACATATGAATTAGAAATTTGGACAAATAATCAGGAAAAAAATATCATTTTGACGACGAATTTATTTTTCCTGCTAAGAAAAGTCAATAAACTACATGGCACACGTAATTAAGCCGACTAATCATCCGTAATTGGAGACAATTTCAAACATTTTTTTTTACAAAAATGTGGTAAATAGCTTATGCAATCATATTTTCATTTACAAAGTATGGATTTGATAAACAACAAGGAAAAATGGCATAATTTTCTGTCCGATCAGCTCAAGAACGACGGAGGAAGAAGAAATCATTTTGCAAGTAATAAGCAACAAGGAAATCATAATATGTCCCTTCCCCACAAAACCAACATACCGGATGAGTGGGCCGGCGGCGGCCTACATGGAAACCGGTACGATCGAGCTGCGCGCTTACAGTAGATTCCCCGGCGGCGGCCGCTTCCTCCACATAAAGAATCGGCTCCGACGACAAGAAGAGAAGGGGGAACTGTGAAGCCCAAGATGATGGGTTGAATCTCCAGCTAGCTAGTTGATTAAAGAACCCAATTAAGAGAAATTTATTAAGCCAAATCTACATATCAGCGGCAGAGAGAGAGAGAGAGAGAGAGAGGGGTTCTTTCCGGGCAGGACGGCTGGCCAAAATTTGATGGTGGATTGGAAATATATGCGATGTGGGTATAGGAATTAGACTTTTCGAATGCGGAAAAATCGATGAACAATAGTCTTTCAGAGAAACTTGGTCTTGGCTTTTAGGGGACGGCGCCCACACAGGACAGCTACAAAGGACTTTCTAGCTATATCGATGGAACCAACCCAAAAACAAAGAGACAATGGTTCGATCGAAACAGGGACGGCACTAACAAAGAACCCATTTCTCAGAGCGCGAGAGAAAGCGACCTGTTTAACGAGCATCCAATATCGTCAAATCTACGGGAAGCCATGGACGGGAACTAACTTCCACTTAATGGAGAAGAAGTCAAATACTAGGTAGTAATAATGGAGATTGGAGAGAGTGACCTGTAATATTTCTTGCAGCCAGTTTTCAGGGCAGGAGAGCTCCCATCCAGTTATGGCGGGCCGGCGATCCAAGAAGTGCGTATACGGATTTCTTTCTATGGGCCGTGGCCTGACTTGCTGCGGCCCGCCTAACGGACACGTGGATCATACGGCGAGTCAACAAGAACAAGAAGAGACTAGACTAGAGAGTAGAGAGTGTAGTTGAAAGAGGAAAGGAAGTCTGAACGGCGAAGCGATGCCGGCGATGGTGCGGTCACTGGCAGCTAGAGCTCTCAATGAGCCGTCGCAATCTGTATTCAATTTTCTACGGCGGATCCGTACTGCTCGGCCGCAACTGCAATCTGTTCGCGCGTTATCGGCTCTCATGTCGCCGCCGTCCAAGGCGGTTGTTTACGATCAGCACGGCCCGCCCGATTCCGTCGTTAGGTAAACCCGCTCTCTGAAATTCGGTGACGCAGTTAGGATAGCGGTTTACGTCAGGCTGACCGGATAGTTTTTGTGCTCAGGATGGTTGAGTTGCCTCCAGTGGAAGTGAAAGAGAATGATGTCTGCGTTAGGATGCTTGCTGCGCCGATCAATCCTTCTGATATCAATCGAATTGAAGGTCTGGAGTTAACCTAACAAGTCTATTTTGTCGCAATCCCCCTGTTTCTGAAATTGTTTTCGTCTTTGGTTGGTCGTAGGAGTGTATCCTGTGCGGCCGCCGGTGCCTGCAGTTGGAGGATACGAAGGCGTTGGAGAGGTGTATTCAGTGGGCTCGGCGGTGAAGGAGTTCTCGCTCGGTGATCGTGTTATCCCGTCTCCTCCCTCTTCCGGTATGCGGCTCTCTCGCATTGAAATTAAAAACTGTCAGTAATTAGGCCTGCTATAAAGCCAATTAGTAGTGTCTGTTGAAGAAGTACAGAATGTGAAATTGACATAATGTAGTGACTTGCAAGTTGCAACTTCTGTTCAGTTTGAGAAGAAATGCGAACTTAGTAAAGATCCATTGCCTTGGTAGTAGCCTTGATTAGAAGTATCAAATGTAGGTTTCCTGGTGTCTTTAATAGGTGGTTTTGTCGATGGTTAGGGACATGGCAGACTTACGTTGTGAAGGAGCAGGGCGTCTGGCACAAAGTTGATAAAGACTGTCCGATTGAATATGCTGCCACGATCATTGTTAATCCGCTGACTGCTTTGCTAATGCTTGATGATATCATTACTTTAAATTCAGGTGGGTATACTTCTTAAGGTTGATAATACGGAAGTTGGATTCTTAACCCCAAACGATTGTGCCTTACTTAAGTTTGACCGTGTTCAAGCAGGATATTCGGTTGTCCAAAATGGAGCTACAAGTATAGTAGGCCAGTGTATTGTCCAGCTTGCCCAACTTCGAGGCATCAATAGCATTAATATTATAAGGGACAGGTGCATCTTCAAATTTTGATTATGTGAAGTTGGCTCTTTTTAGAAAGTGAGAGGGAGTTGGGTTTTGCATGCATCTCTTGTTTTACCTTTCCTTTTGGGGGTTTGGAATTCTTGAGTGTGAATTATATTTCAATTGCGTGGTTCAATGCACCTAATATCGTTCCCGATGCTGGAAATGTCAGCTGCTATGTATGAGGCAGATTTGGAAAAGATTGTGAATTGTCAAAATGATTGATGACTTTGGGCGAAAGGCTTCAATCTTCTGTTGCCAAATGATTGGTAGAAGTCTAAGAATCTTTTGTTGTTCTTTTACTTCACCTTCTCCTCGGTTCTTTAGCTGAAGTTGAGCTGCATAGCATGACTTTCTCCTGAAATTAGAAATTCAACTAGTCAGTATTTCGTGATAAGATCTATTGTTAAGGATAGATTCATCACTTTTTTCCTGTGCTTTAGTGGTTAAATCTTGACAAGGAGTAACAAGAAGAGTTATGTTGATGGTCTTTCTCTAGGTGAAATACTATACTCTGCTAGTGCACCAGGCTGGACTCATTTCATTCCACGATTTCTGCTTGCTCCAGGGTTGGGTCAGATGATGCAAAGGAAATGTTGAAAAAGCTTGGTGCCGATGAAGTTTTCACTGAAAGCCAATTGAATGTGAAAAATGTGAAGAGTCTCCTGGTATCATGATCTTCAAACCTTTTGACAATTCGCAATTCATAGTTACTGGGTTAGAGTGGTTATTATCTTCTGCACATTTTTTGTATCAATGATTCTCATTGCATAAGCATATTTGCCAACTCACGAGCAGCAGAGCATTGGAATGCATGACATGTACATCATTTTAGTACATAATGTTAGATACTAAATTATCTCATTTCTATGCCAGAATAGTTTATCGGAACCTGCTCTGGGATTTAACTGTGTCGGTGGTAATTCTGCTTCTTTGGTTCTCAAATTTCTGAGGTAAAACTTTTGAGTCCAATAGAACACATTCTATCAAGGTTTATATAATACGTGTTAATCTGATAGTGTCTTGCACTATTCAGGCAGGGAGGAACGATGGTAACATATGGGGGCATGTCAAAAAAGCCTGTCACAGTATCAACATCAGCCTTCATTTTCAAAGCAAGTCATATCTCTATGCTGTGTTTTCTGTTTTGCATACTCTTGAATGGCATCAACACTAAATATGTGGTGAATAGGTTAATCTCTCAATAAGGGTGTTTGTCCGATGACTGCACGCAATACTACAACATATAATACTAGCTGCCCAATATGGTTGCAGGAACTCTCCTTGAGAGGATTCTGGTTGCAGAAGTGGCTGGGCAGTGATAAGGCAACTGACCGTGGGAGACGGATCGATTATCTTCTCTCGTTAGCGAAGGAAGGGAAGCTGAGATACGAGTAAGCCTACCATCACATCGCTTCCCCAGTTTTGGCCACTTTCTTGGGTTTTTCTCTCCTAATGATGATTCGATTCTGGGGGTGTGGGTCACTCACTCTGCAGGATGGAGCTGGTTCCTTTTGACAATTTCAATGTAGCATTGGATAGAGCACTTGGAAAGCTTGGGAGCCAACCGAAACAAGTCATTACTTTCTGAACCTGCCCTTCATAAGGGAACCCTGGGATTTGCTTGTTGAAAGAGATAGTGGTGCACTGGTGATTAGGTTTTGCAAGCTGATGCCGTCACTGATCCTCTTGGCCCAAGGCTAATGTTTGAAGGAAACATCGATCTAGGATTATGTTTTCCGGAAGCGAAGGAATGTGAAAGTAGAGTGAGGGAGTAACAAATTGTGTAAAGGGAATCCAGGAAGAAAGACGAAGATGCATTGTCCTAGTGTAATGAATAAAGAGATCAGCTTGTCTTTAGGGTTGCAAAAGAGTCGAGCTGCTCACGAGCTTACAAGCGTGTTGATGAGCCTCGACCTCGAGTAAAGCTTATGAGCTTATTAACGAGTTGAGTTCAAATCAAACATGAGCTGATGTTTCGGTAAATGAAACAAGATTGAGCCCTGCATATTTATTTACAAGTTGATTCCAATCTATGTCAAAACTTGACTCGAACCGACTCATTCGTTGCTCGTCCTACTTGTGTTGTATTTCGACAAACCAATAATTGTAGGTGGGCTTAAAATAGTCAATGCGCGTGGATGATAATTGCACTTGAACGCATTGGGTTGGCCCGTTGAAGTTAGTTTGCAAATAAATTAAAAAATGGCATGATTTTATAGCGTCTTGACCCTCTCGGTTTTCAATTCGAGCCACTATCTCTTGGGTGGTTTGATTATGACACTAGGTCCTTTTTTTCGAGCTCACGGTTCGGTCCAATTTGTAGACGTGGCATTATCACCCTCATTTCATCCTAGAGTCCTCAATCCATAGCTGGGTAGGGAGAGATTGGAAAGTTCAGATTACAAATGTTTTTCGAGAGAGCTACTTTGTAGCGGATTACCTAACGTCGGTTGGTCATTCTTTGTTTTATGTGGTATCGATTTTGATAATCCTAATCTGTCTATACTCCTCGCTTGAATAATACTTAAGGATTAAAGCGCCCCTGCGCTTTGATTATTAAAAAAAAAAGAGCAGACAGATTAGGATCAATCAATCAACCCGATTCCTATTTCCAATATGATAGCCATCATTCCTAAGGGTCTCAATCCGGGCCAACATATGTGCAGGAAAATCCGCAACAAAACCAAAGCTGATGAGTGACAAAAACTTCGTTTGATATTTCTAAAACATAGTACAACATATTAAGACTACAATATAAGATAAAATTAAAATAATAACATTACTACCTGCAGAATCATAAGCTGCCAGGACTTGGTCTGCTGGAGCTTCACGAAGTATCAAACACCTGTTTCTAATTTCATGGACGTTCTCTTGTAGCCCTACATTGCGAAAATCATTTACTATCTGTTCTGGATTCACACACCCATCTCTCTCGATTCCAGCAAATAAAGTTTCAAAATGAATATAGGTGACCAAAAACATGTCCTCCAATGGATAGCAATAGGTCGGGTTGGATCGCGTTTTGTCAAACCTAAAGCCAAACTGATGGGTTTATTCGTGAAAAAAACCCGGGGTATAACCCATTGGGTTTGAAAAACTCCAACCCAACCCGGTTGGTATCCGCGGGTTCATGAGTACCCACGGGTTTTTGTCATAAAGAATTTACAACAACAAGTTCCTATCAAAATTAAAGCCAAATATCAATCTCTCAATACAAATTATCCATATATAAAACACCATTCTAGAAAATTCAAGCAAATCACAAATTAATTATACAAATTGTTCAACACCAATCTAGAAAACTCAAGAAAATTGAAGTAAATCAAAAATTATCCATAAATAACATGATTAATTGAAAGCTTCTTCATTTCAATTAAGTTTCTTCACTCTCCACTTGATAGCATCAACTTCATTCCACACAATTAGAAAGAAAAATTAGACATGTCTCCACAAACATAAATAAGATGAGTTGTTTAGAATATTAAATATACCGAGAAAATTAATTATATGGGTGTGGGCGGGTACCCATGGGCCGATTTTACCTAAACCCAAACCCAACCCGGTGAATAGTGAACGGGTTAAAACCCAAACCCGGCCCAAAATCCGTCAACATGGATTTTACCCGCGTTGACCGGGTTGGGTCCGATGGGTACCCGTGGGTTCGAGTTTTGTTGCCATCTCGACCTCGATGCAACTCATTGGACAGTAAAATCATATCTGCAAACTAAGTGCTGGTATATGGATAAGGGACTGAGTTCAATTCTTCGATAAGCCTAGCTGGATCCGCTTATGGGAGGCTAATCTCCCTCCTAAGTTGAAGGTCTTCTGCTGGCAAATCTTTAATAGAATCCTCTCGACCACAGAAGCTCTTCGGGAGAAAGGGGTGGAGGTTCTTCCTCGGTGCCCGGTTTGCTGGGCGGAATCTGAGACTATGGAACATTTGTTTCTGGAGTGTCCAGTGGCACGTGCGCTGTGGGATTTATCGGGGTTGGAGTATCTCGGCCAAGGGTTGCCTCGACATACGTTCCCATTTTTCCTCAAAAGATTGATGACTTTAGTGCACCAGACCCCTCTTTTTATGAAAGTTGTGGCTGTCCTTTGGAGGATTTGGCGATCTAGAAACTGGGTAGTCTTTGAGGGCAAACAGTTTGGGATCCCGTCCTTGATGCGACAATTTAATCAACAGTTTGAGGAATGGGTTAGCCTGCCTGTCGATCGTCACCAGCCTCGATTTGCTCCTCTGTCAGGTCCCCAGTCGACGGGTTCCGCTGTGCGGGCTTCGTGTAGATGGGATGGGGCAACGAGGTCTGGTTCTCATTCGGCAGGTGGGATGGTGATTGTGGATGCTAATGGGGATCCGGTCTTGGCTGCTGGGTTTCAGATTCCACATATTGATACTCCTCCAGTTGTCGAGTTGTTGGTGCTGCGTGAGGCCATAAGGTGGTGCCTGAACTTGGGATTTGCAGAGATGCGATTTGAAGGTGATGCCAAGGTCGTTATCGATAAGCTTAATAGGGCAGATGCGAGAGATAGCCAGATGGGTGTGATTCTACAGGAAGTTATAAATCTTTTAGCTGTCCATTCTGGGTTTTGTGTACGGTTTGTAGGTCGGAGTAACAATAGGGTAGCCCATTTGGTGGCTAGGAAAGCCCTGTCTTTGTACAGGGCTACGTGCCGTTTCTTTGATTTCCAGGCCTGACTGTCTTCCAGGATGTAACTATCGTTCTTTGATCTAATGGATTATCTTTTGTAAAAAAAAAAAAATTCTTCGATAAAAACATCAACAGAGAAACGAGCATTCAACTCTTCCAAGAGGAGTTTAAAGTATTAATATCTCGATGGAGCAGTTCGAATTCTTTACGATCATCAGCATTCTCCCAGTCTTTTAAAAAATCCATCCTTGAGCTCATAGCAGAGATTTGCAAGTCTATAGCAGTGTATGCTCTTGCATTAAGCAGATGTAATCCAACAGAATGTACTCTGCGAATGTATGCAGATCGTTTGAATATCAATAAATGTGACAAATCTGCAAAAACACAAAAGTTGGATCAACAAACTGCACTAATGGAAATAATAAATGACAAAGAACTAGCATGACTAATACATGTCCAATGTAATGATTCACAGAGCTTAACGCAAAGCTCAGATTCTTCAAGTTCGCCAAACTCTGGTTCGAGTTGGTGTGAAACATGACAACAAGAATAGGGGTAAGGCAACCTTTGAAAGCCAATTCCAGCAAATCAATTGCCAAGGACATTTGACCATATGAAATTCGAAAAAATTGTAGATTTTGCCCTTCCACAGTTCCAGCAGACCTAAATACGAAAAACCATGAAATTGGCAAATCAGTGAAACAAGAGTAATTGATTCAGATTCCTAAAGAATTTATTAAAGATTTTCTCATTTTAAGTTTCAGGGATTCAAATTTCCCTTCTCCTTACATTTCCACATCAGCATACACTATTAGCTAATCATATCTTCTCCTTCCACAGTTCCAGCAGACCTAAATACGAAAAACCATGAAATTGGCAAATCAGTGAAAAAAGATTCCTAAAGAATTTACCGAATGAAGAAATAGAACCAAAGAAAACTGATCCACAAGCTTTATCATCTAAGAAACCCTAAAATCAAGAGTACAGTATGTTACTGATTCACAGATTTACATACAACATCAAACAGATCCGACATTCTTCAATTAATCCAGACACCATCAAACGAAAATTGATTACCAAAACCATAATGTATCACTTGCAGAAACCCTCATAACCAGTAAGAGACGAATACCAAAACAAGACATGCAGAAGTTACTGAATCACAAATTGACATATATAATATCATACAGATTTTCCATTCTCGAATGAATTCCAAGAGCAAGAGAGAAAAAGGCGAAGGGATGCTACCTCTCCCCTTGACCATCTTTGCTTCCAGATTCTTGAACAGAACTCGTACTTGAGAGGTTGCGTTCATCTTATCCACTGCTTTTGCGCGGTGTCCTTGCAACGTCCGACGGTGGTTGATATACGCAAAATTAAATAGATTGTCAATTCGAGAATAGATTCCGAATACGAAGGGAGAAAAACGAGAAAGAAAACTACCTCTGTCCTTCCCCTCCATTGTTTCCGGGTTCTTGATCAGAACTCGTACTGGAGAGGTTGCGTTCGTCTCCTCCATTGCTTCTGCGCGGTGTCCTTGCAACGTCCGAAGGTGATTGATATACGCAAAATCACATAGATTGTCAATTCTCGAATAGATTAAAAAAACAAAGTGAGAAAACCGAGAAAGAAAACTACCTATGTCTGTCCCCTCCATTGTTTCCAGGTTCTTGATTAGAACGCATACTGCAGAGATTGCGTTCGTCCTCTTCACTTCCTCTGCTCGGCGTCCTTGCCACATCCTCCAGTGATTGGGACAAGATGAACAGCGAGACTGGCTGTTTGGTAGTTGAAAAAGTGAAGTAAACAAGTCTGGAAATTTCTCACCAATTGTACGTACCATAGAGGTGACTAAAAGCTCCAGCTCTGTCAAAACCGGTGCAAAATAACAAACAACTAGTGGCATGCATATCAATTTTTTCCTGCTCAGCTCCAACATAGGGGTAGACCATATCTTCACCATGGGGGATCAACTATACGAGACCTTTAAAACTGTTCCAGTGAATTTGACATAGGTCAGATACAATCTTCTTATCTTCAATTAGAGCAAAGAGATCCTTCTCCTAAGCCAGCGGATTATTTAACGTGCCAGATTCACTATTAATCCAAGTAATTCGGCTTGTCATAGCTTTCAGCGGTGCATTCAGAGCTTCATATGTTGTCCAGGCACTGTAAGAACTAATTATTTGAGGAATGGATCTAAAATGTATGCAGCTTCTAATCAAAGAATTTGTCAGCTCAAAAGGTTATACTCTCTGCCTCTTATTTTCGGAATCGTCAGAATCATCATCAAGATAGCCTTCGTCATCAAAAGACAAAGGACCAGGTACATACCCAGATCTGTAGATTTGTAGCTAGTTATATTTAGGGTTTGCAAAACAAAAAAACGAAGGAAGGAAAAATCGAGGTAAAAAAGGGGGAAAGAAAAATCTTACACTTCATACTCTTGTTATGGGAAGCGCTCGTCGGGATCAGAACTGTGAGCCAAAAGAATGGATGAAAATAATAAAAATCAAACAAAGAAACCCTAATTCTCGATAAAAGGGATGGAAATAAAAATTGAATTTACCTAGAGGGTTCGTCATCACAAGAACCATAGCTTAAACAGAGGAAAGTAAGGCATGATAAATAGGAAGATTGAAATACAAATATCGAAAACGAAATACCTTGGCGTTGAATCGCCATTGTTCATCATTGATTTGGTGTTCCCAAATCTGGACAAGAAGACGGAGAACCGAAAAACAGAGTAAGGATAATGATAGAGAGAAGAGAGGGAAAAGATCATCCGAATGAAACAGAGAATACAGAGACGAAAGAGAGAATTGTAAAGAACACCTTAAAGATCTTCTCTTCGGTGGCATCTGATTCTCAAGGCGGCTATTGATATGATATACGCAAAATCACATAGATTGTCAATTCCTTTGACTAACGGTCAAACAAAAATAATATTTGTCAGTTTACTATTGACCACGAGCCAATTAAAATGTCCAATCACTTCATTTTTTTTACCTTCATCTCATATGTCCAACCCGACCCAACCTCAATTGTATTTATCACTAAGATGTAGGTTTAATGTTGGATGAATATTGTCCTTTATACAATCCATCTCTTTTGTGTGAGTATGTGTTTATACATATCCGACGCAACCCGTATTTCAACTATTATCCTCAATGTTCGCATTCAAATAAAGCCCAATTTCATATTAATATTAGTCACAAGTGCAGATTAATGTTGATTACTAATTAAGAAGGGGAGGGTGAACCTTGATGGAATGGAGAGTAGATCAATCTGAGGAGTAAGTCCCGATGAAGAAGACGAACAAATAATTTTATTTTATTCCATTAATTTATTAATAGAGGTGCTCTCTTGTATTAATTTATTTTCAAATCAACGTTATTTTCTTTTTTCCTTTAATTTATTCAAGTTATGTCTCTAAATTCTAACCACTTTTTTACTTGTAAGCTGCGAACACCTATGAGGGTGGTTTTTTGTAAGTTGCGTCCGTTCTTTTCTTTAACTGTCAATTCGAATTGAAAGAAGTGTATTGTTAAAGTTAACTGTGACAATAAAGTTGGGTTGGTGCAGTTAAAGTTTATCACTAATTATATATTCGAGATTGACAATAAAGAAGAAAGGAGTAAATCAGAAAAAAAAAATATAACCAAATCCATCTGTCCAACCGAACTAAGACCCATTTGTATTTATAGTGGGTTGAGAATATTAGTGTGTGATAATTAATTAATTAATTAATTAATTAATTAATTAATTGAATAACCAACCATTTCCCACATATATTTACCACCGCACTTTATCAAACCCGGTTTCAAATTAGTATTAGTCACAACTCACAAGTGTAGATTAATGTTGATTACTAACTAAGAAGGGGAGGATGAACCTCGATGGAATGGAGAGTATAGATAAATTTGGGCATGAGGAGTAAGTAAGTCCTGATGAAGAAGACAAACAAATGACTTTGTTTTATTTCATCAATTCATTAGCATTTATTAAAGGAGATGTTCTCTTGCATTTTAACATATAATTTATCAAATCCAACGGTCTTTTCTTTTTCCTTTAATTTACTACCGTCATATCAATTTTTTTACTTTCCTGTCTTGTGAGCTGTGAATACTTATCATGGTCCGCTTGTAACTAGTAAGCTGTGTCTGTCGTAGCTGGCAACAAAGAGAGGGGGAAAAGGTGATTGATGGTGATTGGTGAATGAATAAGACGATTGAGCAAAAAGAAAAAAAAATGAACCAGACAAAACCCAACTGAACAAACATAACAACAATTGTTAAGCAAGTTGGAGTGGATTTAAATTATTCAATTACGGAAACGGGTTTTAGTGGATCGACTTTGAACCAATCTTATATAATAACTATAAAATGGAAAAACAAAACAACCTCCCAATAAAAACACAACATGTCACCAATTCCACCAGTAACATCACATTTAACTCTTCAAGTGACAGGTGTAGTGTATAGATTCTCTATTATCAAATTTCTCTTGTTTTATTACATTTCAATAGTCTCTTCCCATATATTTCATTGAACACAAAAAACACTACATATGAAGAATTTGTATTCTATCATGAGCGATTAATACATTGAAGTAACGAATTGATGTCATTTACAATTGTATGCATGTTGGTGGGAAATAAACGAAAGTAATCCAACTACAAATATGTTCCTAACTGAAACATGACTCAGCTAAATAAATGAAGATGTAGAAAGAGCATAACCTCAGATCTTGTAAGCATGTTATAAAAATTGATAGCTTTAACAATCTCATACTTACAAACTTTTGATAATATATAAGTAGATGATGGACAAAATCTTTATGTGGGACCTTGACAAGCTTTGGCAACTTAATTTTAACCAATCAAAGGTTGTGTGCTCCAAAAATGTTAAATAACTCTATAAAATATATATTAATTCAATTCAACCTGCTGTTTTCCTTCCTTAGACATATAACTCAAATTTGATCAATCCATCCAGTCAAAAGAAGAGAAAAAAAAAGTTCGTCAATTTGAATCTATAAGGAGGTTCTCTCGCTTCCTACTGTATCATTTTCATGTTTTACCAATTATTAACAAACGATCTATTATTTCGTTGATAATATGAGTGTGAGAGAATTAAACAACCAACTATGTGCCACATATATTCATCACCGCACTATATATCAAACCCATGTTTATATTAATAATGGTTGCAATTTTAATAGTTTGTTCTGTTGTTATATTTGATTGCATTGTACAATTCGCACATAAGTACTCATTTGTGTCTTTGAGTTTTTGTGAACATGTTCCACATTCGGCATAACACTCATTTGTAACTTTGACAACCTTACATTTAATGGAATAAGCATCATATTATATAAAGTGTTAGCATTTGATAATGAATTATTTGATTTAAATTGGTAATCGCCTCTTCTCCATCGTCAATTTTTCGTTCACAAATTTCATGCAATGTTATGGTTGTGATTAATTCTCGGGTTGTGACTTTGGTTCTCGCCTGAGAAGGTAGTTCATATCTGATATGATCCTAGATTGGCCCTTAAACACGAATCAATTGCTTGCCAAAGGATCCATCTATGTTGGATTGAAAAATGGAAGAATTTGGTTAAGTGTTTGGGTTGTTTCGTGGTGCTTACTTTACAGGTTCATATCTTACATTATGATTGATGGAAATGCAAGCGGAAGGGTGGAGATTGAAGAACAAGCGTTTATGTACAAGTCTGGATGGTTATTTTCACAATTCCAAGCCTCTAAGTACATGGACGAGGATCATCAAGTAGCCAGGGTGAAACTGGGAAATTGGTTGTTTTTTGCCAAGTCTGGAAGCAGTTCAAGAGACCATATTTGGGAGCTTATTCAATACAGATGGAGCATCGTAGAGGGAAGAGGTGAGTTGGAACTTGTACTACGAGGACAGGAGAACAAACGACTTAAGCCGGTTTGGATCGACTTTCCCTGGAAGGCTACGATCGAGAGCTTCAAAGTGGCTCTGGACGCTGGAATGGTTGCTTGCGCAGGAAGGCAGCAGCTTGGGTATGAAGTAATTGAGTTTTGTTTCCTTTTCAAGTTAGGATTCTGTTTCCTTGTTAAGCTAGAACTAGAACTCGTATTTCCTTGTTTGGTTAGAGTTAGAATTAGGATAATTGTTGTCTATTTAAGGGCTTGAAAGCGAAGATTGAATGAAAAGTTGTGACTTCGTCACCAAATTCTTGTGTGTTGGTTGAATTCCAGCAACAAGCTTGCTTCGTATCGATTGAAACCACATCAATCGTGGCCGAATTCACCTGAAACCAATCGAGCCTTCTTCCACGTGAAAGATTGCACCTTTGGTCCATTTTCTTTCGTTTTAAGTTGATCAAATTCAAGTCCTTGTCGAGGGAGATTTGAGTTGCGCGCTTTGATCTCAAACAAGCACAACTGTGCTCATATTAATATCCGTCGTCATTTTTCATAAAATAATGAAAAGTAACCCTATTTTTGTGTAACTTCATACTTATAAATATAATGCACAACAAAACACGTGGATCAAATTATCGTAAATTTCACCTTATCCAAAGCTAATGACTTTTTAAATTCTTGAATTCCCCCGAACCGAGGTCGCTCTCTATGAGGAGAAGGTATTCTCACCGCAAAATTGACGGCCATTTAATTAACCGACATGATTTTATTTGTCAATGGGTAGATTGATAATAAAGCAACAAATATGTTTTTATTACCATTGACCATTGTATTGAGTGACGAATATTGATGTAATGATCACAATGAGAGGTCGATCGCCTCCATTTGCAAGGATGACATCTGATTTAGTAATTATCATAACAAACTAAGTTACCTTCACAACCAAACCCATGCATCCAAGTTAGATATTAGCTTTTAAATTAAAGCTAAAGTAATGCATGTTATTTTAAGATGAAAGTTCACAAAATTAAGTGCTCGGGAAGTTTGGTTGGAGCTTTTTCGAGTAAGTCTAGTAGATGCCAATAAACTCGAGTGTTGAATAAGCTGGACAACAACATTGGTGGAATAAACACAAACAGAGAGTTCCCAACTGATTCCAACCCTAACCAGACTGATTTACAGATGCATTGGTAAGCATAGACAAGAAGACACTGTCCTATAGGCTACACCCATATGAGGACTAACATACACAAGTAAGTTCAACAAAAGGAAGCACCCCCAACATTTACGTCATGCAAATCTTCAAGATGATCGTCGATAGTAATACCTGCAAAACGATAAACCCAGAAATAAGAGATCTAGCATGGTTTGATACATCCAACATGGAAGCCGCGGCGAGAGAGGGACGTACACGTATACGTTTACACCGTAAGCGGAAGCATATTTGCGTAGCAGACGCTCCACGGTGTACCATTGCGAGCGATCTGATCCATCCTGATACCCTATTCGAGGCATGTGGACTGATGCTGCGCTCCCCCCATGTTGAGAATACAGGGTAACCAAAAAATGGGATCAGCTGTTGGATTATTATCCAGACATTCATTAGTGTTATGTGCATAGGTGTGAGAGAAACGTACCAGAATGTTGTGCTGCTGCAAACAATGCCTTGGATAAGCAGCTTTCCAAGTCGGGAATGGAGATGTCACTACGAGGAACTTTGCGTCTGGGATTATATGACTGTACAACACCCAATGCCACCCACTGCGGCTTATTGCCCTCTCCACTGCCACTATCTCCATCTGGAGAAGTATTTACAGTTATAGACAAAGATGTATCGAGTATGGATAAGTCTAGTGAATAGAACTCCATAAAGAGAGAAAAAAGGAAAAACCTGACCATTTATTTTTATGAAATGCAGATCGCCTAGGTGCAAGTCGCCAAATTCTGAGGCCCGTTGATAGGCATCTGGGACAGCAGGAGAAAGTCTGGCCAGGGCGTCAAACAACCCTCCATTTCCCCAGTTTCCAGAATCGTCCACACAACTGCATATGTTTTTGAGCGAATAAATAGACTAGAGAACTGAAGAATAACATACTCTTGACGATCTCCTAATGGTAACTGGACATCAGATTAACAATTATCATAGCTTGACAAACAGAATGAAGAATAATGTAAGGATCAACAACCTGGAGCACCACAACGATGTAACACTACCTGAATATGACAGTGGGTTCGGACTGGCAAACTTGTGTTGGATGCGTACAATCTCCAGAAACAAAATGAACAGAACCTGAATCTGACAATAGATTGCCATTCTCAGGGGGATTCGGATCTTTGAGGGACAAGGAATGATATCCATGGGCTTCCCACTTTGCTAACTTCTTCTCCTCTGCCTTCTTCCTTGCCTCCTCAAGTCTACCATGTCTCTCCTGGATCAAATTATTCTTGTTCTCTAAACCGATCAATGGGCTGCAAGTTGATTCTGATTCTTTTTTGAACTTTTCAACCCAAGAAAGATATGATGCCTCATCGAGACCAGGATCATAGTCGACTAAAGCAGAATCTTCCCTAACTGGATTAATGAGTTCAACTTTCTGATTATCCTTCCCCAATCCACGTTTATGGCGGGTAGCAACTGCTTTCTCTGCAACAGCAAGCAGCTCTTCCTCACTTAGTTCATCTAATTTTTCACGATGGATATCCAAAGGATCAAACATGTGCAACCCAAATATGATGGATCGCATGTCACCAATGTCAGCTCCAGTTGCTTCTTCTCCCGTGCGATCTACAGTTTCATCTCCAATGACGTTATGGCTAAGCTGCAATTTCCTTTCCGCCCTTCGCATAATAATCTACATCCACAACCATACAAAGCTGACTGAATACCTTTTTTTTTTGAAAAATCTGTGATCTAGATCTAGTTAGTAGTTGATTACCTCCTCCACGGAATGCCTTGTAACCAAGTTTATGCACAACACGTGATTCATTTGACCAATTCGATGCGCTCGTTGCAGGGCCTGCTTGTCAACTTGGGGATTCCAGTCTTGCTCATAGAATATAACCTAAGTGTCCACAAATTTTCATAAGGTATCATTAATAATCCACTAATTCCGCATGTAAATTAAAATACTGTTAATCATGACAGGAATCCTTGCAAGTTTTAAAATTTCAAACTGAGAAGAAAGTTCCTCATAATAGTTAGATTAGCTGAATTAACCTGGAACATTTTCCATGAATCCAATGAAGAACGAACTTTAAAGAAAGCAGATAAAAGGTTTCAGACAAAAATGCTACAAGAACCTTAAACGCACTCACAGTATCTGCAGCAACAAGATTCAAGCCAACACCACCAGCTCTTGTAGAAATCATGAAAACGAAAGCAGTGCTTTCATCAGATGCAGAACTTTCGCTTCCCGATTTCCGGCTGAAACTTCTTATTGCAGCAAACCGCTCTTCTGCCCGAATGGAACCATCAAGACGCTCGTACGAGTACTTGCGTAACTCCAAATAATCCTATGTTGCATTCGAGTTGTAATTTTATATAGATTCGGAATGTAATCTTAAACTCTGAACCAAATCATGCAATATGAGCAAGAAAGCCAGGTGGATCACATACCTGCAAAATGTCTAGTGTGTTGGTCATCTGAGCAAAGAGCAGGACTCGATGCCCAGAAGCATGTAGCTTGTGAAGTATGTGATCCAGAATCAAGAGTTTCCCACAGGCCTAAAAATGAGAAGTGCAGACAAAATAGGGGAGTCAAACCATCAGCACTCAGCAGTTCAACACTGACAGGTTATACTTCAAGATTCTATTTCCATGTAAAAGACATCACCATCATAACCAAGCAGTCACGTGCTTCCAATACTCAGATAAACATGAAGAGGTAAGTTACTTGTTTTCATATGGTTAGACTAAGATCAGTTAGTCTGTTATAATGAGTTTGTACATATAAGGATTAAGGACCCCATATAAAATTCCCATGAACACACTTCTCAATGCAAGCTTCTACATGTATTCCGCATATTCTGTCCACAAACATGTTATTCATTGATAGTAAAACAGTAACAATACACATTAGTACTATACATTTCTCATCTGGAGAAGAACAAGAACTTCAATTTTATCACATGCTTTTCGTCCAATTAAGAAACAACCTTTGACTAAAAATAAACACTTAAAACTATCCCATCTCTTTGATTATATCTATGTTTTCTTATTTCAATGCCATCATGCAGTTAATGTTATACCAAGAACGAACCAGCTTAGAAGTTCAATTTCTTTGCTCTCTCAATTTGAAAATCAAGATATACCTGAACTAAGTGTTCACCCTCTTCATAGGGCTCAGGCTCAATTCCAGGAAAAAGGTAAGGGTGGCTACATGCTTTTCTTAGTTGTATCACCTGGAGAGAAGAAGCAAGGCGAACAAATGAATGTTATTTAAAGCATGAGATTGTCAAGTAGAACATGGTTATCACGGAAAGTCAAAATTACTTATATGAAGGAGCTGATCGGTTGCGTACAATATTCTGCAATGATGGCTGATTAGAAGCTGCAGAAGTTAGTGCAAGAAGCTTCGGAAGCTCTTTCCTCAATAGTGAAGTATAAACCTTCTTTTGCAGGCTAACCAACGGAGCCATCCTATAACGACAATGCATTTACTTCATGTGATGTTCTTGTTTGACCAATTAATAAAAAGATTGAGCTTTCAGCAGATCCCCAATTTAAAATGGCAACACAACTTACACGGTAATCTCGGTCAGCGGTGGCAGCACTAGGTTTCCACACTCAATAAGCTTAGCTTTTGTCCTCCGAAGCATGAAGGCTTTCAATATCTGTTTTAGAGACTTAAACTGCTCTTTGACTTTGGGATCATCAAGATCTACACAACATTTCAGCAGAATTATTAGCATTATGTAAATAAACCAACAGCCATGGCACCATATCAGCTGGCAATATGAAGTGACAACATGAGCAACATCGTGCTTGAATCTACTGTTATTTCGAAGATAAGTCAGTGTATGCAATAAAGCTTATCAGAGAAAAGAACCAATGAGTAGTCAAATAATCGACTTTGGAGAAAATTTTCAAGCATGAGAAAGATAGCATCCGTAGTAAATGAAGATAAGGACTAAGGAGACAACCTGTCATAGAATGAGTAGCTTCCTCGAATGTCGAAAGGAACTGTTCTAGCGTCCCAAATACTGAAGGCATACAAAAATGCATCAAAGACCAAAGTTCAATGAGATTATTCTGAATGGGAGTGCCAGTCATCAACAGTCGCCTTGGCAAGAGAAAGCGATCGCTAAGAACACCATACAGGACCTGGAGTTTTGCAGCAGTGAAACAGGAAATTTGTATACACAGTGAGTCAGTTTCGAATACTCCAGATATATGGTAAATTTCAATAGAACAGGTAGAATAACAGGATAACGACAGCCCTGCTCTTAGCACTGTCAACTGTAAAATTGCATGCCAGTTTGACATGCAAGTACCTAATTTCCAAATGTCTCAGGGCAAGTGCATAGAAGAACTCATTCAGATGCCAAATAAGGCGAGCTCAAGATACATATAAAATAAAATAAAAAATCCAATTGACATGATTCAGTATCAAAAGATCAACAAAATCAACACCAGAATTAGACACATAATCATCTCTAATGAACGAAAATGGAATCTCTAATCACATACACTGGAAGGATTTTTCAGTCTTTGAGCTTCATCGATTACTGCATATTGCCATGGGATTTGAGAAAGAAAATCTTGGTCCATCAATGCAGTCTCATAAGTCGTCAACAACACGTCAAAAGGCAATGTTACCTAAAAGGTAGGAAACGAACATGTAAAACTACACTTAACTTTTAAGTGAAACTTCTTATAACCTCTCGAGGAAATCAATGAGTCGCGAACTCACATTAGATGAAGAAGTCTGTTCTTCTACATGCTGATACATTGTCATTCGCAAAGAACGCCTATGTTCTTTATCACCAACATACCTAAGGATTTTAAGCATCGGAGTGAAGTTGGCCATCTCCAACACCCAACCATCTGTCACGCTTAGAGGACACAACACCACTGCCATAAATTGAATAAGGCAACTTTATCAAATTGGTTCCAACAAATTGATAATCTTTGGCTCAAAAGTTAAACAAAACGAATCTCGAGACTTACAAAATGGGCCAGGCGACTTCTGCATAACTTTCAAGTAACTAAGGAAAGATATAGCTTGCAGCGTTTTCCCCAACCCCATCTGCCAATGACAGTTCAAAATGATTACATATTATGAAGAGGAAAAGTTCGGCACAAATCCGGAGCTCGGTTCACGATAACAGTAACTTCCGGTGGGCGATTGAAGGGATGCAGAGCATATACCTCATCCCCTGCAATGACAATGCGAGTACAAATCAATAATTCAGTGTTTCAACCCTAAGTTTAAATTCAATCACGTCTGTATTTCAGTAGAGCAGGCAAAAACGCGGGAAAAAAATGAGTCAAATCGTCGGGCTTCAGGATGCCTCCTAAGAGAGAATCACGGAACGAAGATGCTCACCTAGAACAACATTGACCCCAAGAAGGTACCTCCGTATGAGCCAGGCAACACCTTCCACCTGGTGAGGCTTCAAGGTCGCTTCAACCCCGATTTCTCGAGGTTCTACGGTAGACTCGGCGGCGGCGGCGGCGGCGGTATCTTGCTCGTCGGAGTTGAGAATGATCTTCGCCGCCGTTAGTAATCGCTGCTCGTATTCCATCATCTTCTCCGGAGCTGCTTTTCCTTCTGCGAGACTCTGTCACTGTGATTGAGGCGGGAGGAGGTGGACAAAAAATGGGGAAAGGCGGTTAAAGAAATGAATGAAAGGACTGATTTGTCAAAAACTATACAGTACGAGGATTCGTCTATTCTAAAACATTAGTACAGGGACCAGAGATGAAAAAATAACCGCTGCAGAATTATAAACGGCAGCAGAATGTGACGTTTCCGTGATCTAACGGAAATCCAGTCGGTCGGCCCAAAAAATTAATTAAATGGAAAAAGAAAATTATAAGACCCCTGAGAGAATAACGACAGCAATAACCTCTCTCTTACACCATCGTCGTCTTCTACCAATCTCCGGCAGCAATAATGACTTCGGTATCGGCTGGGGATCTTTTAGTCGAGCAATCAGAACCTGATGTCCCTCCAGGGATGACGGAGGCGGCGACAGCGGAGGCGGAGCAAGGGATTGAAGCTGGAGCAGAAGCGCAGCAGGGCGAGGTCGCGGCGGCGCAACCACAAGCACTAGCTGAGGAGAAGTGGCCGGGATGGCCAGGGCATAACGTGTTCAGACTGATAGTTCCGGTACTGAAAGTAGGTAGCATTATCGGAAGAAAGGGCGAGCTGATTAAGAAGATGTGCGAGGAAACACGAGCACGAGTCCGCATCCTCGAAGGCCCTCTAAGTACTCCCGATCGAATCGTCAGTATCCCTCCCTTCCCCTTTCAATCCTATTATCGTTTGCGAAATTTGATCCTTGTTTACTTTGTGATTGAAAGGTTTGAGCTTTGATTGGGTTTCGTTGTTCAATTGTGAATTGGGATTGTTAGTATGCAAACCCTAGTTCTTGGTCGTCGTGTCCAGTTGTCGGATTGAGAACCATCAATGGCGCCTGAATGAGATAACGGAGTGTGGTTTTAGGTATTGTATGCCTGTTGCTAGCTGAACGATAGTTAGCTGGGGCAAAGCCATTGTATTTAGGATTTCTTTTCTTTTGTGCTTATTCAGCTTATACCATAATCGAATCCAGGATTGTTGAGCTTGCTATCTAGGATTTTTCTTATTTGGAAAATCATGGTTGGCGATTGAGTTTAGCCTGGCTGATAGATTGACTACTAAGTGAGCTTGATTTGTTTCAGCTACTTGAGTTTAGTTGGAAACCTTTTGTCTTTCTGCTAGTTCTGTGCTGAACTGGATGCATGAAAAAGCTGGTAGTTCCTCTATATAATTATTTCAAACACTAGTTTTGAGAGCCCTCTTCCAAAGTCTATCTGCAAATACCTTGATTGTCAAAGTTCTAGCAAATTGGATTCCAGGAGGCTGATGATTTAGTTGTGGAGAAGCTGGGAACTAAGTTGCCTTTCGATTAATTTTCTTGCAGTGTAGTTTGTAGTATAAAGCATAATCATTCCCCATGTTCTTCTGGTTAGATTTTTTCCTGGAAAATGCTTAAGGTACAGAATTTAGCTGGGTAATGTTACTGATCTGTTGGTCTAGGGTACAGTAATCTGTAGTTCTGTCTTGTGATCTAAGTTGTCTACAATTGTGTGTGGTAAGTGAGAAACTAATGAGAACTTCTAGGTCTTTATGAAATTGTCTTGCAATTTCCCTCCATTTCTGTTGTTCGTCATGTAGATAACAAGAAAGTGGAAGTGATTCCTTTTTTTCGGGCATTTCTGGAAGGGGTCCAAATGGTGGTTAATCAATCTACTCCACTGTGCATTTCTGATTTCTCCCATGTAAAGAAATTATGTTAGAGAACATGATAGATGTTGGTGGTGTTTAATAAGCTTTACTTACTATCTGACCCACAAATGTTGTCAACTGTGAATTTGACTGTGGTTCCCGAAGTATCTATTTGCTCATAGGTGAAATGTTGGGAGAGAGAAGTGACCGGCCATGGGCATTTGCTAGTTACTTGCATATGGTTTCTGTTCTCTTGTCATGAATATCTTCTTATTCTTGTGTCGGGATTTTGGGAAGGTCATTTATATTCTGGCTGAATTATGGAGCATACTGAATCTGTTATGGAAATAGGGGGTGAAATTCTTTTTTCTTTGTTCGTCCTTGCTAGGTTTTGATAACTGGAAAAGAAGAACCAGCAGCACCACTATCACCTGCAATGGATGCGGTGTTAAGAGTATGCAAACGTGTCAATGGTCCATCTTCTGGTGAAGGTGACAACACAAATGCTGCAGCTGCTGGTGCTGCAATTTGTTCCATTAAGTTATTAGTTGCAAGCTCACAAGCAATTAATTTAATTGGAAAGCAGGGATCCATAATCAGATCGATACAGGAGAGTAGTGGTGCAGCTGTAAGGGTGTTAGCAGAAGGTGAGCCTCAAATAGTATCTTTTTATTGCTCTTCATCTTCAAATGAATTCGTTGAAGTTTTTTTAGACGAATCTTTCCAGTTCCAACGTAACAACATATGACTATTTATTCATCTATAGTCTCTTTTTTACATGCTTGACTAATCATGCCTATGCCTATGCCTATGCCTATGTGGTGTTGTTTGCTATCAATTTAGCATAACAAATTGGAAAAACTGTTTTGACAGTATTCCTTTTCCAGAACCTCTTTAGGATCAGCATGGTTTTCTGAGTCGAGCATGTACTAATTTAAACTCAATACTTACCTTATCAGCATGGTTTACTCAAAACTTTGTCTGGAAGTTGCTAACTTTTTTTTCCTTCTTTATTTCCGGGAAAGGAAAAATCTTAATATGCATGCTTCTCTTTGTAGATCAATCGCCATCATATGCTGCTTCAGAAGAGCGACTTGTTGAGATACACGGTGAAACACTGAAGGTACTTAGTGCTCTAGAAGCAGTAATTGGACAACTGAGGAAGTTCTTGGTTGACCAGAGCGTCATTCCCATATTTGAGAAAATTGTAAGTTGTAATGTTTAACCTTAGTTGATCGTGGTTTAGGAATTAAAATAGCGTTATGCTAATATGCTCTGTCTGCTGCAGACACAGGAGCGCTCTGCTGATTGCAAGCCTGATAGGGTACAGCCCTCAATGCAGCAGACTGTTTCTGCTTCTCAGGCAAGGAGTATCAGTTCTGAATATTCCCTGTCTATAAAGCGGGATCCTTTACTATTTGAGCGCGAGGCACACATTGAACAACAAAAAGTTCTACAGCCTGGGCGCTCTCTCTATGGACAAGAACATGCACTTGGATTGCGTTCAACGGGTCTTGGCCACGCTAATGTACCCATAGTCACTCAGGTAGGGTCTGGAATTGCTCATGGTAGTCTTTTAAATCACAGTTTCAGTGATCTTTGCACCATTTTGTTCTGTTAAATTGTTACTCAAGAAATCTGGAACATTCAAGTATGAAATTGTTATGGGCTTTTTGTTTCAGGTGACACAAACTATGCAAGTGCCCCTCTCATATGCAGGGGATATAATTGGAGTTAATGGGACGAACATAGCCTACATTCGCCGTGTCAGCGGAGCAGTTCTCACAATTCAAGAGAGTAGAGGTTATCCTGATGAGATAGTCGTGGAACTCAAGGGCAGTACTTCCCAGGTCGAGAGGGCTCAACAGCTAATTCAGGTTCGTTTACAACTTTCCCTTCGATCAGAACATCAGAGCTGGTACTAAACTACTAATAGGCTAATACAATCATTCTTCTGTTGCTGGAGTATCTAAAACAATAACGGTGTTCGTAATTTGTTTTGCAGGAGTTTGTAGGTAATCACAAGGATCCGGTGGTGGCACCGCCGAGTTCGTACGGGAAGATTGATGCAGGATACAGTTCCTACTCACAACAGTTGTCAGAGACCAACTATTCATCTTCGTACTCTCCTAGACTAGGTGGAGAAGGAGCTTATGGCTCCCATGGTTTAGGATTAGGAGGCTATAGCGGTTACAGATATTGAACAATACCGTGTTGTAATGTAATCAAATCTAAGGTGGTCTGCTGGTTTTTATCCTTTTAGCTCTTGGACAGAGTTGATATTGCAGTTTGAAGCCATGACGAGATAAAAAAAATGTTCCCAAATTACATTACAGTTAGGAGACTCGCTCACTCCCGTCAATATAGTGACATTCGCACATTTTCACGCAGTCTCATCAATGTCGCCGATCAACACGACACCTGCGATTAGAGGTGGCAATTAGGATCCAAATCCATGAATCCAATTCAATCCATCCACCAAATTATCCACCTAATCCTATCCATTTAAATTCAATCCATTTGATCCAAATCCAATTGGATTGGTGGATTCATGGATCAATCCATGGATCCAAATGGCAAATTACAATTTGGTACCTATATTTTTTATATTTTACATTTTGGTACCTAAAATTTATATTTTTATACGAAAAATATCGTTGGAAAATTACATTTTGGTACCTAAAATTTTTCATTATGACATTTTAGTACCTAAACTTTTCAAAATTTACATTTTGGTCCAAGCCTTGGATGTCATTTGGATTCATGGATCAATCCACCAATCCATTTGATCCAATCCATGGATCCACCCATCCATTTGATCCATGGATCCACCAATCCAATCCACGAATCCACGAATCTGATCCAATTGCCACCTCTACCTGCGATCGAAGTGGGGATAAAGAGAGTGGAATGTGATTAGAGAACAAAGATTGCTACCAAACACTGAATTGGCTGTTTGCTTCACCTTTGCCCATTTATGCTTCTAATGTAATTGCACTGAATTATATTCGAGAACCAGGATAGAATGCGAAATGAGAATCAAAATTGGTAGATTTAATGTTTAGTTTGCTACAGAAAAACAAAATTGATAGACACATCAATGTCCATAAACCAATTCAAACTATGCGATGCAAGGCAAACCAGCCCCAAATCCTATCTGATAACACTAACACGAAAGATCTAGCTCCAACTAGCTTGAATTTCAGAACAGCTTACTCTAAAAAAATCAACTAGAGCATGCAATCCGTCTATACACGGCCTGGAACGTCTGTCCCCCATTCCTAGCAACTTTCTGCCCTTCTTCCGTCGCAGTACTCAAGAGCTTGACAACAGGATCCGCTTCAAGTTCTTCATGTGTCAGGGACTCAAACATGGGGTGCTGCTCCAAACAAGCCTTCATCCACTCCCCGAGCTCTTCCACATCAGTGATGGTGTATACGATCCCACCAACCTGGAGCACATATGCGTACTCGTCCAACAAGTGCGGGCTGATCACTCGCCTCCGGTGATTCTTCTCCTTGAAGTGGGGATCGGGGAAAAGGAAGAACATCTTCGACAGCTGACCTTTCTCAAAGTAATTAGGGATGTACTTCATCGAATTCGTCCTAAAAACCGAGACATTTCGGTACTGTCCAGGATTCGTTACCCTCAACGCCAAGATTCGTTCTTTGACATACTCTGTCACCTTATCTCTGAGCTCCATCCCAACCATCAAAGTTTCAGGGAAAAGGGTGGCCAGACTGATCAGCAAACCTCCAAAGCCACAACCAACATCTGCAAACTGAATTCTTTTGGAACTACTGTCAACTTGATCGGACGAAGGAAAGAGTTCCGGGAAGTGGGCAGTGTAGTCGACATGACGAGGAGAGACCGGGACAGGGAAATGCGAATCACTTAACGGGTTGCTGTGTGCTCTTGCTCGATAGAAGCGTTTCCTAGGAAGGCCAGTCGACTTGCTGAAAGTTGGGTTTGCCTCACTTTCCGGCATTGCTTCCTTATCTGAAAATTGCCAGAGAAGAAAACATCAGGGCAATAGCAGCAGAAACAGCAGTTACAAACGAACTAACTACAGATACCATCCTAATTTTAGTCTGTTAAGAAATTCTGATCACCAATTCCATCAAGAAGACGAGATCATTTTCTCCACAAGACTTAAGCTAATATCTAACAGTCCTATCATTGGTTGAATCAAGCAACGACCGAGAAGAAACTACCAATAGCGGTTGGGAGCAAATAATTAGAAGGGGAGGAAATTCGGTTACCTGATGCGACGAAACAGACTGGTGATTCGCCGGGAAGCTCTGAGCGACGGCGAAGGAGACGGGGAAGCCGCCTAGAAGATTCGGAATTGGACGGTGGATGGTCGCTAGCTCGGGGGATTAGGGTTTGCGACGGTTGAATTGGTAATCTTTGATTTCGAGTGTCCCCCTGAGTTGGAAGAAGGAGCCCAGGAGATTGGCGGAATCGCGGAAGACTGTGTAAGAAAAAAATCAGAGATACAAAGCTATTGCCAAATAGAATGGGCCTATAGGCTGGACTATTTTGAGGCAATATGTAAGGCCAAGGGTTCATGGTGGCCCAATTAGTTTGGGTCTCTAGCCCGGAACGAAATTTAGGTCGCCTAGAAGGTAGTTCACCAAATTGCGCGTAAAGTTATAACTCAATTGACATTAGTATCAGCAATGTAGATGTCAAACGATCTGACGTCTTTGTTAATATTCACGAGTCTCATTCACACATGATCAAAACTTGTCAATTCGTTCGACATGGATCCAAATGAATTTCAATGAACCATTTCATGACTCACGAGTACTCAAAATTCGAATTTTGTACACGTAAGTCGTAGAAAAATATGAACTCGTCACTATCTAAAACCCGTCCGCCACTTTAACCACAGGTAGAAAGTTTAACGATCGAGCTCATCCAATCTCTTCGTTGAATCAAATGATGAAGCACATTTAGCATCTCCGAAGACATGGAAAAGCCAGTAAAAGGAGTAAAATTTTCGTTCGTGAACATAATGAGAGTCCATGATTACCACAGCACGTTTGAAGCTATTTTCGACTTAAGTGAATGAAATATGACCTTTTCCGTGCAAAGAAAGAAATACAATGTGTGACACTGAGTGATAACTACATCTCTAACCCCATAAAATACATCTCTCTCTAAATCTTCTCGGTACAAAAGAACTGCAGCATCTATTGTGTTGAAACTGGAGTGTTCGTTCTTCTACACTTTCTCACAGACTACTGGCATCGGCAACAAAGATAAAAACTGAAGGAGGAGCTCCAGAGCCTCGAACCAATCTCGAATTTTCGCACACGAGCTTGAAGAATATACCCCCTAAAAACGAAACTAGCCATGAAGACCACTAGTGCCATCTGAAGAAGGGGAAGTCAAAAGGGGTTAGAACAACCATAACATGTAGCTTAATGACGGCAACAATCACGATGATCAAGCATATACCTCGAACGCGCCATGATGGAAGGCACCAAACACGACCTTCAGCTATTTCACTTTTCTGCATGGGCCCTTTTACCCTTCCGCCTGGAGTGGCTGGAATGGGCACTTCTAGCTGGTCTCTTTGATTTCTTACTGCAAGATCATTGAACCATATTGAGAGGCAATTTCAAAAAATCATACTGGAAAAAGGAGATGGCATTTGATCAGAGTTCTGAGACCAACCAGAAAACAGCTGAACAGACTCTGGACAGGAGAATGATAGGCAGGGCCAATATTGCTGATGCCTACAACAGTTCAAGTAGCCATAAGTTAGTTAGTTCTAATGTACTAAACAAAATTCTTGAGCTGATTTTCACGATTGAATAATGATATGTTTGGCGGATTATAGACAGTAACAAGTACATACCACAAACCAGACGAATTCTTTCGTTGCAAGGGTTTCTGTCAATTCATGCCTTTTCAGGGTATCTTGAACAGTTTCTTGCACCTAATGAGAAATGCGAACAAGTCTGCTCAAGGTATGATATTTGTGGAAAAGCATCGAGAGAGGTCATTCTAAGATGATCTTCCAAAAGCAAAGTACACAACTAATCTACAGAGGATATTTCTTGAAATAGTTCTGAAAGCCTAAACAATAAAAACAAAAATTTACACCAACCTGATGATGATAGGTAGTGGCCGACTCCAGGAACTTCCCATATGCCCGAACTGCTTTCTTTGTGTAAGGTTTCACGACGACCCTAATTTTGTCGACATGGGGTTTAGTAATGGTGGCAACTTGATCAATATATGGCTTACTGAACTTCTTAGCCTCCTGTGATAGTAGTAACCAGTTTAAAGGACAGCAACGAACAAGCATACAACAACAAACATGTGTAGTTGAAATTCACCTGAAAGTAAGGGTCCACAATCTCTTGTACTCGAACTAAGTGAACAGTAACTGCAGTCTTTGAGGTCTCATAAGCTTCCACACTTTTTGCACACAATGACCGCACATGAGGTTCAGCCTGAGTTGTTACCACCACCCACTGATCCTTCACAGTTGGGATCCATTTCTGCATTGAGATGACAAACGGGGAAAAAAGAAGAATAGGCCAATAAATATAAGAGGCATGATAGGAATTAAAACATGTCAGGCTAGCAAGAAACTGAGATCACAAAGAGTTACTACCCCTGACAACTACGAGCAACTGTTTTCACTTTAACACGATATATCTAGAATACAATAGCTCAAAATATACACATTCTATATGGAAAACGAAATCATGTTATAGTGAAATGAATTGCTCAGGCAAAGGGCTAACCATTGCCACTAGGTCCAGGGTAATACGTTTCAACTTCTCAGATGCAGCACTTACTACCTAAACGATTACTAGTAGCAATAGGAGATGCAAGAAAGAACTTACAGTTTTAACTGTCTCTAGGTGTGGCTCAGCCCACTTTGCAGCCTTAACCTTGTTTTCTTGGGCCTGAATCAGATTTCAATAAATTATCTTTATGCCAAAATAATGTTCATGCAAGATTAAATTAAACATGAAGAGAAAACCAAGAGCACTTTGGTGTACCCAAACGATTCAAAAACAAAAGAAAGCAACTGCTTACCTTTTGGATGACTAATTCCAGTCTAGGCTTGCCATGGACATTCCAATGCTTCTGTGCCAACGACTGGAACAGGAAGAATCGTGTTAGATTTATAAGCAGGTCAACTGGCCGAGCATACAAAGAAGCCTACATTGATCTAATCACAAACTTAAACAAATGTCCCCAAATACAGTTTACAAGGAGTTTTATGGGGACCCCGAAACAGGTTTTTGAATATGCAACAAACATTACATTTGTTGTTAACCTTCAACAGAACCACATATTCATTATTGACTGTCACAGCAGAGTTCATAATCTGTTTCTTTTGATAAATGATGTAGGCAGAGTTCATAATATATTACCTGGAAACGAACTAATTGCACAGCAAGCCATGGAGGAAGCCAGGCACCGTGAACCTAAACAAGTACCACAAGCTCAAATTAGAACCAGTGGAGTAGTTAAATGCATTATTCAACACAGTAGATGTGCTAAGACATAAACTACGTGATCCTACAAACAGTTGATCCAATAATAGAGGTAAAAGACATATAGCCAAGATGTGTACTACATTTGAAAAAAAAAAATTCTCCACACCGCCCACAACGTCAAACACAAACTGAGAGTAGAATTCTTGGATGACACAAAGATCATCATAAGTTGCATCATGTCTTGGCTTTATTAAGGAAGACAACAAGCTTCCAACTTCACTAATGCGTAAAGCCCTTCAAGGGTATGTGAAACCAACACCAGTTCTTACCTCCATCAACTCTTTAGTTCTCGAGCTGACCTCTAATTTTGCCTTCAGCATTTCTTCCTGAAAGAAAGAAAGGAGAAGATGAACAGGAATTCTCGGAAGGACTAACCACTGAGATAAATGTTTGCACCGTTTGTTGTATAAGACAAATATACCTCAGCAACTTTAAGAGCACGCTCTGTTTTGCGGATTTTGCTCATTTGCTCATCACTGATCTTCTGAAGCTGCACATCGAACAATTTTGAGCAACAGTAATATCAGATGGTGTATAGCCTATAGAAAGTACAGTCCATTTTAAAGAAGGCTGTTGTATCTAGAGAAAACAACAAACTGTTAAATGAGGACCAAGTAAATCAAGAGTGATTTCTACAACAAGTCAAGAACCTATTATAAGTACATTTGTTTTTGGCATCAAGATACGGACAAGATAAAATGTCCTAGAATGTTATCTTATACTTGAAACTACAACTTCAGTTCCACATAGCACAAAAGGTTTTCAGTTACCACCCAAATTCAGTCTGCAACAGCCGCCCCAAAAAATTAGTAAGAGATGGGTGTATGTATTAATCCAATTGAAATCAGAAGAAAGCAGATTCCAGTTATGTTTAAAGGAAGAATTAATGGCAAGAAGAAGTAAACAATAACATTGGAGAAATGAGACCGAAGGAAGTAATAAAAAGGAACTTACATTCTTTAGTTTCAAGTTCAACTCATCAACCTTCCTTTCACCTTCACTAGCTTTGGTACCCAGAGCCTCTTTCTCAGCATTTTGTGCTTCAAATTCATTTTTAAGTTTCTCAAACTGCAGAAGTGGGGAAAACTTCAGAAAATGCAAAACAACTTCCTGAAATTTAGTACTTCATTCTCCAAATTTTTACAAACCTGCTTCTGCAACTCTGCAGCTCGTGCATTGGCCTTGTTCAGCTGTTCAGCATCATCCAACTTCCCTCTTTTCTGTATAACAACAAGAAAGAACAAGTCTATGATGCATTACAGGGGGGGGTCTATTTTATCAGAAAGGAACCGAGGACAACCAGCAAAATGCATACTTCAATTACCCAACTAAGGATATCGTTACATCCATCGCACAGAAATGACATGTATATGGACAAAGAAGAAAGGCAAGCGATCCTAAACTACAAACCTGAAGAGAGGATATTTCACTCAGCAGGGACCCAACGATATCTGCTTTATCTTTGATGAGTTTCTCCTTCTCAGCCAATTTCTCATCTTTCGCTTTCAATTCCCTTGTCTTCTTACTGATCTTGGACTCTTTACACCACGCAGAAAATCAAAAGCAACAGAGAAAGCACAAATTCAGAACCTTTGTCCGCAATAGCAGCAATTAAACCAGGAAGCGAATTCAAGCATCAACAGTTGCAGCGCAAGGCTGAACTGCTCAGTCAAGCAGTTAGAAACACACTGAATCAGGGGGAGAACCGTCCATGAAATAGCCGGCAGTTCAATTCCTAAAACGAAATCGGAAAAACCTAACCACCACTTCACAGTTCCCCCCAATAGAACAGAAGACTTGCTGCTGATTCAGTACAAGTCGGCATCAATCAATCAGTGAAGAATTTCTGAAGAGTTGGAACTGACCAAGGGATTGGATCTTGGACGTGAGCTGGTCGAGTTCGATCTTCAGAGCGGATGTCTCGAGGTCTTTAGATCCAGTGACTTGACTCACCGGCGCAGCAACATCGCCGTCGCTATCGGCCGAGGCGTCCGCCCAAGCAGTGGTGAGAACTAGGGCGAGGAAGAGCGAGAAAACCAGAAACTTAGCGGCCGCCATGAACCGCCGGATCCCGTCACCCGAAAGTCGCGACGGAGGGGAGAAGTAGAAGAAGTGGAAGGAAGACGACCAGTAAGGAATCCAATTTGATATTTTGGTAGTTGATTGTATAAAAGCTTTTCGGACGGTCGGGTCGATAGAATTGAAAGAGAAAATCAATTAACATAATAAAATTAAAATATTAAATAGATGTAAAAAAATATGAATCGGAGGAACACCGCCACGTCATTTGATACGTTTGGTTGGGATTTAAGTCGGCGACGAACGAACGGCGGTTACTCTGACGAACACTACCCTACTAGCGATGGGCTCGACTTGTGGGCCGACTGATTTCCTTTATATCGGGTGTATGGATCTGTAGGCGGCCCATATAGCGAGTATCTTATTTTTATATGATTTGTATCTCTAATTTAATAAAAATATTTTACAATCTTTTGTTCAATGCGTTCATAACCCTAACCTATACCACTAACAAACTTTTCAATCAAGATATTCTATCTTCACCCAAAAATTATTAATCCTGATTTGTTGCTTACTCACTCAATACATGCAATGTTCTGTCGACCAGTGGACCTCGACTAAAGAAGAAATTACTCATTACCATACTCGGAGACCGTCGGCCGGCGCCCCAAAGGGAGTAGAGGAATACATATGTCTAGCATGATAAGAAGGGAGCACAATGTAGCCAGGATTAACTCGCCGGCTTGTCCCCGGCCGGCCGGCAAGTCATCCTTGGCTAAAACAAGCCCCTCTCCATCTCCATGCCAGGCCTATGGCATTCGAGGACACAATATGCTCTGAACTGCTACATATATGTGTTGGATGTTAGCTATTTATAAGCTTTTCTAAGCAAGTGGCACCGATTAGCTAGCATCCCAAAGGGTAAAAGACAGGGAAAAAGCGGAGCACTAGCTATGCTGCTTACAGCTATATATGTCGACAGCATAGTCAAGCCTCGCCAGCTAGTTTGCTTTAGTTTTGGTAATTACCAGGGTTGTGATCAACTCGGTTTGGCCAGTTTTCTTGATCGAACAAATGGATGAAAAGCGAGGTTAATTAATGTTCTTATCGGATCAGTTACGATGTTGTTAATCTCATACTTTAATGTATAATATGAATATAGAATAAAAGATGGACCAAATTGATATTTGAATCGAACCACCCATATCGAATGCAGTAATGGTTCGGTTCTTGGTCATCGAAACTCTTCTACTATTTGATTCGTGATTCTCATGGTATGAATTTCAGGCTTATACCTTGTTCATAAATATTTGTTGTACCTCCTCGCATGCTCATAAATTAGTTGCCTAATATATGATAAGTTGTATACACAAAATCTCAACACTCCATGATATATTTGCACTAATTGTCGTGGTACATCTTTATAAGTGAACATATTCAAGTCCTAATTGTCTAACATTAACTTTTGGCTAAATATTTAGCAAACTTGTGTTAAAAAAAAATTCGGCATTTATTAGCATGGGATTGCATGAACGAGTACGTGGAAAGTCTTATAAGATATTTCAAGAGATACTAGCCTAGACCCTGCCCTTTGGACATGTAAGATTTTTCTTTTAATTTTTATAATATAATTTATTAATATATATAATTATAATCTATGTTGTTTAATTATTTTGACTATAACAATACTTATTTTTACAATATAGTTAAATATGCTTCAATAATTTATCCATGTAAATTCAAGAACAAAACAATCAGTTCTTCCTAAGTTATAAGTATTTTTTAAGGAGGTGTAACATGCATGCTAATTTTACGGAGAATCCATGTCCCTCCTATTTCCATAACACTATATCAAGTATTTTGTTGATATAAGTCATTATACTAACCACTCACCTTATTATGTTGGTAAATCTTTTTGTTTTATTAAAACTTTTCTAGATTTTCATTAGTGAGAGTTTGTGATTACATTGTCCCTCTTAATTTGATTAACGTAACAAAAAACAGACGTCCTATCAAGCCAAATCGCCATCTCATTCCATTTCATTTCCGAGTGGGCCAACACATGTGCTGATGTGTTGCCTTCTAGAGGGGTGGAGCACGAGACTCATTCTTCATCTCACAAAGGTACCTCAGAAAACTTATGCATACGGTACCAATCTCCATATTAAACTTCTCTGTCATTACCAACTTTTGGATAAGCTGCCGGTAAATCCTTGATTTAGCTAATCATCTCATAAAAACTTCAACATCAACCTCTACTTATATCTAAAATTGGACAAATAATCACTATTTGTTCTTTTTTGTTTATCTTTTAATGTTTAATTTTCGTAGCCCTTTTATGCCAGTGAAAAATTATGGCACATTGTTACTTAAATATCTTCATTTGCGAAGAATGTAAGAAACAAATGAATATTTTTAAAATTAAAATAATCATAGACCTTGATAATTGATATAGTGAATAACCATTAGTCAGTAGAGTTTTGTTCTTCCTGAAAGATACAAAGAAAAAAGGTTAATGTTGCTTGCAATCTAGTTAACACACTAAATAAAGAATAAAGAAAAAAAAAATCTTTAGGAGACTTTTGGACAAAGAGGCGAGATGATTTTTTTGGAGGAAAAATAATAATGCTAAAATAAGAGAAAATTGGCAGATTTTTAGAGATAAAACTGAAAGGTTGAAAAAATAAGGAGAATTTTTTTCTTTCTCAAAGCCTTATTGTCATATGTCTTTTAATGTTTTTATAGATTCATTTTCCTCGTTCATCAAATCTCTAGATAATGGGCAAGCTCATGATTTGTGTTCATTCCTCCTTATGAAGAATGGATAACAATTTCTTTCGTCTTTCCTTCTGTTCCTTTTGGTCAATTTGTATCGCTCGTGTGCTTCGCTATATGGCATGTGAGTCTTCGTTTCCGTCATTTACCCATTATGGTACTTCATAAAAAGTTTTTTGATTGTTTCCTTTACATGTTTTGATTTCCATTGTGGAGAAGCAAGAAAAGCATTTTACAAAAAAAGAGAAGCAAGAAAAACAATCTATACTTATTTGTGAGGGATTGTTCTCGACTATGTTCTGCATAATGTGCTCTATATTGGTTCGAGATTGTCATTTTTTGTTGAAATAGCAATGAAAAGGGTGGAATTGTCCCGCTTGAAATTATATGTAATGTTTAGAATATGTTTTTTATCCGTATCAATTATGACGGGGATCGAAGGAGGAGAATCAGGACCCTAGAGCCTCAAGGAGAAATGACATCGAAACAACAAATGGTAATATCCTCTCTTCCTTGTTAATTTAAACGTTGATGATATAGTTCAATGCCTTCTTATTACTACTGCGGTTGGATAAGAATTGTACTTTGGTAATATAGAGAGATACTTGTTGATCGTCGTTTAGGGTTAGAAATTTATGTACTCGTTTGAAATTTTGTTCTCGAGAGTTAAGTAGGTCGGTTATCTGAGACATTTTTAGATAAACTTCTATCCCGTGCACGAAATGTTGCAACCGAATTGCTAAGAACCATTGCATGTAGTATTGAAATGTTGTTGATATGGTAACTGCTTGGATAATGTTCTTGATATGTTAATTACTCAACAACTTGCATTTAAAGTTTTTTAAAAAGGTTGCTTGTGGGTTCTAATAGTTTGCTCTCTCCAATCACAGGTTGGTTTCCTCACTAATTTTCGAAGATCCTAGCGTCATCTATCTACTGTGAGAAATCCTTGAGATAGGATCAGAACAAGGATAACCTGAGCTTCGTGTCATTAGATTTTTCTTCTTCTTAGTTCTTATGGGTTAGAACCCTAGATTAAGCAAATGAATTCTTTTTACTACGCTCAAAGTGAGGTTATGGGCAATGTCAATGATGTGAAAGATGAAGTTTTTAATGCGCATATTTCTGAAATTCTAATACGGATACGCGTGTCTTGTTTTGTGATATGTCATCAGCAAAATTTCACAGGTTCTATTGTTACTGGTTGAAAATGCTGCCTTTCATCCGATGGGCTAATATCTACCTAAGACGCTTGAGAGTGTTTACACTGGCTATACTTATTTACCTTGATTACAAGGTAAAGACTTTTAACCGCCATTGTTACATTTATAAGATAATCTTGTGATGAATAACTTTACATGCCAAATATACTTCTATATGTTGCAGACTTTACAACAAAGAGAGAAATGGACTCGCCCATCTAAAAGAGCAGCTCTATGGGACAAAGCACACGAGAGGAATGCCAGGCGCCTGCTAAATGCGATGATCGAACTGGAAGGTTTGTGGGTGAAATTTGGGCAGTACTTATCGACTCGTGCTGATGTGCTTCCTCGTGCTTACATATCACTTCTCAAACAGCTACAAGATGCCCTTCCTCCTCGTTCATTGCAAGAGGTTATATAGCTTTTTTAATGAAAATAACGATGAAATGAAATACTCTATTACCTTCACGAATATAACTAGGGATGACAAGGTATCGAGTCGGGACAGAGGCAAATAGTGCATATCTGTTACCCTATTCAAAGTAGGTTGAGTTTCACTCATACCATACCCACCTAAGAATCGGGTAGAAAATCAAAATCATGCTCATACCTGTTCGGATTTTAGGAATTCGTAGATAATAAGTTCTCTTTATAACTCCAACCAACATGTTAACATTCACACGTATACTCGCATTACATAAGAGGAAAAGTACGGGAATAAATCACTAGAACGAAGAAAATTAATAAAAAAACAACACCGATTATATGAAGATATTATATTCATGTTCTAAATACAAAATATGATGCGAAAAATAATGATCATTTTTGAAAAAAATTACATATGCATATGTATAATCGGGCGGATTCAGGTTGCATGGTGAGAAAACCATGTCCACCACTCGTAATATTCGGGTTCGGGTTTGTACCCATACCCACCAAAAATCTTTCGGGTTCGAGTTTACCCTACCCAATTAGGATCGGATTCAAATTGATTTCCACGATTGCAGATATTTTTTTACCATCCCTGAATACAATCTTATGTATTCATATTTGTTATGATCAGCATAAGAAGCCCAATGATATGCTGAAAAAATTACTGTTCAATGTCACAGATTCACGCTACTATAAAGAAGGAGCTGGGACGGGCCACTGATGATCTCTTTTCCTATTTTGACGAAACCCCTTTAGCAACCGCGTCGGTGAGATATGTTGGTGCAAGATGAATTTGCCGCAACAATGATTTTGTAACCATGTTATTTCGCCAACATAAATACGTAGATATCATAGTGCTGCCTGTTTCTTAAAACAGATCGCACAGGTCCACCGAGCAACTTTGATCAGTGGACGAAAAGTGGTTGTAAAAGTTCAGCATCGAGGCATAAAAACTGTTATACTCGAAGATCTGAAGAACGCTAAAGCAATTATTGACTGGATAGCATGGGCAGAGCCACAGTACAACTTCAATCCCGTGATTGATGAGTGGTGCAGAGAAGCTCCAAAAGAGCTTGATTTCAACCATGAAGCTGGTATGTCGTCGTTGGTAAAATCTCACGTCTTTTTCCCCTCTCATCTTTGAATTAGATCTCACATTTTGCTCTGTTGGCTTTCATTTGCAGAGAACACTAAAACAGTGGCTAAAAATCTAGGATGCAAGAAAAAGGATGATAACAAGAAACAAGACAGTAAAGTGGATGTTCTTATCCCAGAGGTGATTGAGGTAGTACTGTATGTCTCTTTAACTGCAATGGGTTCATTTGCTTTAGATGTAATTGTCATTTCCTGTTACCTTAAAGAAGTTGACATTATGAATCTCAAGTCATTGTCTTGCTTTTTTGACTGCCAGTCCAGTGAGAGGGTTCTGGTTTTGGAGTACATGGATGGGATTCGTTTGAATGATCATGTCGCTTTGGAAGCTGCTGGTGTTACCAAACAGAGAATCGTTGAAGAAATTACGCGTGCTTATGCTCATCAAATATATATCGATGGAATGTTCAACGGTGATCCCCATCCTGGTATATTACAATCTCACAGTCAATACTAAACAAGATGCAGAATAAGTGTCTTCAGCTTTTCTAACCCTCGAATCGCTGTAATCGTCGTATGATTCATGGTTTAGGAAATTTCTTGGTTAGCAAGGAAGCTCCCCATCGTCCGATCTTGCTGGACTTTGGATTGACAAAGAAACTGTCGAACACCTTGAAACAGGCACTGGCAAAACTGTTCCTTGCATCTGTCGAAGTGAGTTTCGATTTGCCTCTGTCTATGTTGTTGCATTCCCTCTTTGTTGCTGCTTTGATTTTCATCGCCTAACTATAAATCTCTTCAATGTCTTTTGGGTTTATAGGGTGACCATGTGGCTCTTTTGTCTGCTTTGTCAGAAATGGGTCTCAAGCTTCGCTTGGACGTCCCAGAGCAAGCAATGGAGGCAGCTAATGTGTTCTTCCGTACTGCAAATCCAGCTAATGATCCTACAGTAAGTGTGCGGTTTGTATCAAGAACTAGCTGATCCCAATAACTCGAGTTACGAATCTTGTCAACTCCGTCTTGTGATTGCTGGTGCTCTTGTGCAGGCAAATATGAGATCTTTGTCTGCACAAAGATCAAGGCATATGAAGGTGGTCCAGGAAAAGATGAAACTGAACCAGAAGGAAGCTAAGCGGTTTAATCCAGTAAGTTATGTACAGCAAGGGGGAAAAAAAATCCTAACAATTCATATACATCGGCTTATATCGTGCACCAAAATAACATTTCGTACTTCCAGATTGATGCATTTCCCGGCGACATTGTCATATTCGGTCGGGTGCTTAATCTTCTCAGAGGTGTGACAGAAGAAAAAATAGATCTATTGCTTCAACTTCTCTAATTGAGAGTCGAACTTTCTTCTGCTGATATTTATGTGTCACTTCTATTCAGGACTTTCATCCACTCTGAATGTTCGCATAGTATACCATGAAATCATGAGACCGTTTGCTGAACATGCATTACAAGGGTCAGTTCTTCACAAGGCACCAGCAGAAAGTACAGAATGGATCCATGACACACCGATTCATTCTGGCGTGGAGGTCAAGTTAAGGCAGCTACTGGTCGAGCTTGGGAAAGAGGAGAAGATACTTGGAATCCAGGTCAGTAACAAAGTATCAGACTGTTACAGTTTTGGGAAACAACTTATGGTGTTGATGGGTTTTCTTCTAAATTCTGTTATGTTAAGGTTTGTGCTTATAAAGATGGCAAGGTCATTATTGATACGGCTGCTGGAGTACTTGGGAGATACGACCCTCGCCCAGTTCAACTAGATAGCCTCTTCCCAGTTTTCTCTGCAACAAAGGGTGTCACAGCTGGTTTACTGCACTGGCTTGCGGATAACGGGTGTGTATTCTAATGGAAAAAACCAGATAGCTCGTGTTGATACTGGCAGGATCGACCAGGTAGCATTCCCTATTTTCCGTTGCTCTTACACCGTATGATTTTTCTTGTAGAAAACTCAAGCTTGATGACAATGTCGCGAAGATCTGGCCAGAATTCGGAACGAAAGGGAAAGAGGTTATCAAGGTCAATCACGTTCTTAACCATACATCTGGTTTGCATAATGCTATGGCCAATCTCAGAGGTGGAAATCCCTTGTCATTGTGTGATTGGAAAGACTGCCTCAATCAAATTGCAGAGGCAGAACCCGAGACAGAACCCGGGCAGAAGCAGTTGTATCACTATCTTTCTTATGGTTGGCTATGTGGTGGGATTATTGAGGTACTGTTCTTTGTTTGTTATTGCTAGAATGAGGAGAATTTACTGTGCCTGTTTAGTTTAACAGTGTTCTTAAATGGAGCAGAATGCTTCCAGGAAGACATTTCAGGAGATTCTTGAAGAAGCAGTTGTTAAACCCCTCAATATTGAAGGCGAGCTATACGTCGGAATACCTCCTGGTATGGCCATGTAACATTTGCTTGTATCATTTCAATATTTGCAGAACTGTTGAACATGTAACCTTTACTGCTAACTAAGCAAATTGAGCTTTGCAATCGACAGGTGTGGAATCCAGACTTGCCAGCCTCACATTAGACACAAATGACATGAGCAAGCTGCCACAGGTCACCAACCGTCTCGATCTACCTTCAACGTTCCAACCGGACATGGCTGGCCATTTACTGGCTGCCATTCCTGCTCTGTTCAACACATTGATGGCTCGTCGTGCAATCATTCCTGCAGCGAATGGACATTGCTCGGCTCGTGCTCTTGCACGATACTACGCAGCTCTTGTCGATGGTGGCATTGTACCACCTCCACATTCCTCTTCATCACATGATCCACCTCTTGGAAGCCACCCTCACATCCCCAAATTAGGCGGCGTGAAGAAGAAATCCTCCAAACCGAAAGGAAAGAGACGCATTCGAGCGGTCTATCCTTTGAAGCACAAATCGAACAGAGACGATGAGAAAAGTGACACTACTGCTAGGAAGCCTCGACGGAACCACAGCTACACCAAGCTGGATGAGGAAAATTGCAGTAGTGATGATGGTCACGGGGAGTTACTTGGAAATGGGGCAACTCGTATGTATAGTAACCCTAGGATTCATGAAGCATTCTTAGGCATTGGAGAGGAGCATGGTAGGTTGGCTTTGGCAAATGGGGCATTTGGGTTAGGGTTCAAGAGGATGAAAACCAAGGATGGGACGATTGTTGGGTTCGGGCACTCTGGGATGGGTGGTTCGACCGGTTTTTGCTACACAAAGGATAAGTTTGCTATAGCAGTGACAGTGAACAAGATGTCGTTAGGGTATGCAACTAGGAAGATCATCGAGTTGGTTTGTTCCGAGTTGAACCTGCCTTTACCGGAAGAGTTAGAGTCGAGCTTAGGAACGCCTCTAATTAACTGAGCACAAAGATTCTTGTCTATGTACATACACAACCTTGTATATAGTGAACACATGCACAACTGATAATATGGACCTCAAGTTGGCTAGTCTATTTAAAGGGGTAACCCATTTTGTACTCTCCCAATTAGAACCCTAACTAGGCAACTTTTTGTGAGTTTAAGTTCTTAGCTGGTTTAGCAACCTATCCCAATACTCAGTTTTCAAACTGTTCAGTCTTACTTTTAGTGTTCATTTGTGGGCTACATTGGATTGATTGTTGCACAAGTTAAAGAGCATTGAACTATAGTTTGGCTGCTCAACCCTATTGACTTGTTGTAAGGGTTAAAGAGGATCGAAGTATAGTTACGCTGTTCAACCCTATTCTCCCTTCGGTTAGACTTGTAAAGTGTCACTTAACAACGTTGATAGTTCGAGATGAACTGTTTCTTGTCCTGATATTCAAGCGTTCATTAAGAAGTTTGTGTATGAATCTTCACAATCCTCAATATTATCAATTGATTTAACTACAAGACGTATAATACGAAATCATGATACACAAAAGTCAAACCCTTATCTACATGATTGAGCAATAAAAAACAGAGGTGTGGGCAGGGCAGGGTTGGGGAGTGGCAAAGAGAATTATGTATGCTACAGCTAGAGTGTTCAATGTACTGCATGGCCGATTCACTTGACAGCCAGACAGTCAGTGACAGCCTACTCCTAAAACGCGTTCTTCTCCACCACATGTACTCCCATCAAACGGCAGAATATCATCTAATCCGATTTGTCAACGGATTCTGAAAATTGCCCACCATTATTATTACTCTAAAATTATAGAAATCGATGGCCAGCTACGTACTAAGAGTCTAAAATACCTCAAGTATGCGCATAAACTATACATTTATTTCCAGATCCAATCACAAATAACAGCTCGCAAGCAATAAGGTCATTAAGTGGAATTAATCATCTGTTAATTAATTAATTAATGATAGTACCCTTCTCCTCCTATATATAAACCTCCAAGTGATTTGGGTGTCATAAGAAAAACAAAACCCACAAAAAGATAAAGAGTTGACATTTGACAGTGTCAGTAAGTAGAGTGAATTCAGCGTAGAAGAAATGACGATAGGGATCAGCAGCATCACTGGAGTTTGCTCCAGGTTGGTGGGAGACATCCTGCAGAACATGGTAGCCTCCCGCCGCCGCCGCCACAACGAGGAACAGAAGGATGCTCCAGGGGAGCAGAAGCAGGCCAGGAAAGGACATGATCACGAGGAAGACGAGGTGATGATGAGGGCGCTGACCGCGGTGTTTGGGATGGCCAACAACGGGAAGATCGACAAGGTCAAGGCTCGCGAGGTGGTCGAGAACCTTGGCCTCGTTGCAGGGGAGGAGGAAGAAGGAGATGAAGAAGGAGGAGAGGTCGGAGTGGAGGAAGTGCTGAGCGATGTGTATTGTTCGTCGTTGCTGAGAGATGCGTTCAGGATATTCGACCAGGACGGGAATGGGTTCATCGAGCCAGACGAGCTGAAGCGAGTCCTGCATTGCTTGGGTCTGGATCGAGGCAGCAGCTGGGATCTCTCTGACTTCAACGCCATGCTCAAGTGTGTGGATTTGAACTCGGATGGTAAGGTTGATTTCAATGAGTTTCAGCTCATGATGATGGTGCCCTCCTCGTCATGAACACCCCATTCGAACCGGGCTACGATCCTAACCTCGAAGGGCGTTAGGACCATAGTCGGGTTTTGTACCATTCATTCATTTGTTCGTTGTTGTTATGTCTTGCTACTCGAATTTATGTCGATTTTAAGTAGTTTTTATTTCGCTCTACTCGATTTGTAAGACTAATAATGATGATGATACCTTTAAGTTCTACATTTCTACTCATGTCCCCAAATTGTATAATTCCTTTTGCAATAATAAGTCCATCGTTCTCATAAAATTAGAAACTGCACGGAGGCACTTATTCGAATGTGATCCATAACAACAGATCACCAATTTACCAGACTGTACATTGTCAGAAGATGGTGATTTGAAGGAACCTGGTTCAAGGCCAGATATCTGTTGATACACAGCTGACAACCTCGTTAAGAACAGCGTTGTTGATACTTCCATTGCTGAGGTCGACGTTGTTAATCCCCATCCCGAGTCCAGAATTCTGTGCTGGAATCTTGAGTCCGTCGTAAGATATCTCATCTCCTTGTACTGTAATGGTTGGCGACACGTTTGCCATTCGAGGAGGATGAAGGTCGGGAGTGTTCAGAAGCTGAGGTGTTGCAGCAGGTGGGTTGTTTGGATGGAGACTGTTCATGGTACTGCTAAACGTTCCACGAGCTACCATGTCTTCAGCCAACTTAACCTGGTGTCAAATTCAAGCTAATATCAGGTTTAACTAGTCTTAAGATAATTGCTAGATCTCCTTAATTGGGGCCATTTTCATCACATCATGCTAGTACTGGTTTACCTTGGCTCTCAAGGCTTCAACATCCGATTTCAGCACCTGATGACTCGTATCAGCATCACGATACTGTTGAGTAGCTTCGGAAAGCTGTTTGTACATAGCTGCATTTTCTCCTATCAGTTGTTCTACCTGAAGACACCAAATGACCACAACTTTTCAATCATCTCCTATCAATCAGTTCCTCAAGTTGCTTGATTATTCCTAACTGCGACCCTTTTGATTAACTAACAATTTGACTCAACAGTTGATATCAGAAATCCAAGTACAACCTGCGATTCCAGTTCAGCCAAATGAGCTTGTTTCCTTCTTCGCGATCGTCTAGCAGACTCCCGGTTGGAAACCATCCTAATTAAGAAAAGCAATAGCAGATAGAAGATAAGGCCAATCTGGAGTAACTATACATCTGTGATCTCTTCAAGACATAGTAATTTTTAATCACCTTCTAACACGTTTGACATCAACAGCAGGGTTAGTGCTCTGCTCAGAAGGTCCTGCTTCTGTCTCAGCATCTTCTTCGTCCTCATTTGATGGTTCTGACGAACCGCTCCATGTAACTCTTCGTTCTATCTCTCTCACTTTTCGCTTAGCTGATATTGGACTCCCAACTGATCAATTGATTACCCATTTTTTGGAGGGGAAATGTCAATCAACTAACCAGAGAAACTCAAGCAGACCAACATTTCTCACTGATTAAAAACCTTCAAGGGGAAGCTACCACTAAAGCAAGAACATATCACCTATGCCATGCCATGATCTTAGCAGAAACCATATGAAAACTACAAAAAGGTATAGCACAAAGGTTATATACCATAACTTGATGGCTGAGCATCGATAGAAACTGAATTGTTGTATTGCTGGGGGTTGAAATCATCATGCAACCATAGTAAAGAATCTGCTAACCCACCACAAGCTGCAAATCCATCCATGGAACCCTGTATTTGCACAAAGGACGAAACAAAAATTCTACATAACTAAGCCAAGTGAGCTGTTGCTAAACCCATTACCCTCACAACTAATGTCAGCAAGTGATCATCATTCCCATGGATGCTTTATTGCATTGCAGAACATTTAGGTTAAGTGTGATGAATAAATAATCTGAATTTCAACGAACCCACGAAAGCTTCGCAACAACAACAACCCACAGCTAAAAGAAAAGGCACAATGATTCCGATAGAAGCTGAACAGAGTACCTCTGCCTCAACCACCGAGCAAGAAGAGCCGCCGGGAAAGGAATGGTATTGGGGCGACTACTAACAAGACAGCAGAGACTAAGGAGAACCAGACAAGGAAGAGTGGCTAAAGATGGAGGCGACTAGAGAACTCAAAACAAACGCAGGGAAATCCAGAAAGAAGAGCTGCATGAAACAGGAAAGCAGGGGAAGAAGAGGGGAAAAGGAAATGAAGAACAAAGTTGGGGAAGAAAGGTCGATACTTGAAAACCGGTTCAGGAGAGTAGCAGAGAGATTGGCTTTCGGACTTTCTTTTTCTAACGGTAATGAAATGTTTGGTTGATTACATGGACAATTGGGTTGGGCTCTCTACAGAAATAACATGCCCGCCATCGCCAGGGGACAAAACGAACACCCACATTCCACACAGCCAACCAATTTGATGGATGTTCTGGTTTTTATGAATCGAACCTAAAAAAAAGACAGAGGGAGACGGTAACTTAGGACAAGAGAGCAGTAAGATGTCTTTTGTTGTGTGCATAGATGACAACGCGGCCAGCAACAGCAAAATTAAAATTAACATCATCACTAAAGGAAACCACCTCTAGAATGGCAGTAAAAGCAGAGGAGGACAAGTGGTTTTTCTTGTCCACAATGGAATGTTTGGTGGAAGTACGCTTTCAGGAACAGTATGTACTACTGCAAGTCCTCCTCAGCAACTTTTGTCACAAACGCATTTGACCACCATCTTCTGCTTTCGGAAGCACACCTGATCTGAATAGGCGTCAGCAAACAACCCCAATGTCATCTTTGGTACTGAAGCTACACTCATCTGCGAATGATCTAGCGACGAATCTAACAGCCGAATACGTGTAAGCACATGTTCGAAATGGCGCATGTGATTACACTTTCTTGGCTATTAGATACGTGATCGGATAATTGTGGTGTGCACGAAACGAACGCAAATACATCATAGTCACGCACCTTATCACAAATTGGACATCTGAGGAGACATGAGAAACGTCACCATTCCAATTCGATAGAAAGCATTCTCCACACTGCTTTTGGTATTCTCTATTATTAGAGTTCCAAAAGCAGTCAAAGCAGAGTCGTTGGTTAGACCGTAGCTTTACTTGTTGGACTGAACTGATGATGGATCTGCTTTGCGTTACTTTGCTCTATCACCCGACACCCGTTCTAAGCTGCCTGAGCTAGTGGGTTACGACAAAGGCAAAATAGGCCATTCCATGCACGTTGATTCCACCAATCAAGTACTTCCCTTTCCACATTGAAAAATACATAAAGCCCTACTCAGAAAAGGCAGAAACTTTGAATGTACTTTGCATCTCTGCAACATCCTGTCAACTATAGCAGGCATCAGAAATTGAGATTTCTTCCACTGTCAGCACACATAGATGGACAGATGAATCGAGTTCAGAGGCGGCACTAAAATGAACTGACAAATTCATCACCTGGAAAGATAGTATCATGGATCACATAGCTAAGAAAACGGAGATGCCACTACTTAGCCATCATCCAACCATAAGTTCCACCACTGAGACGGTCCATCAGAGGAACAAGAAAGCAAGGTAAAAAGCAAACAAATGTACCAGTAACTCTCCATAGAGTAACCATGATTTCTTCTACAGCTAAACAATGGAGGGGAGAAAGGGCATGCTGGAGTCAAACCCCACATAAATTTAATGTCTTTCTTCCGGGGAATTGCTAGGCAGAAAGATCTATTGGCAATGTCCCGATAAGGATACAGCATCCTATTCACGCCATGATCTTGGCAGACCTCACAAAAAGGCTGTCGACGACCTTCCCCATATTGGCGATGGTTTCTAATGTATCGGGATATATAGCATCCGTCTTGGGATCATCAAAGATCACGAGACAGCCGGCGCCTTGATCCAAGGTCCCGGCAAACTTCTTGTCCAGAATCATCTGTGAGAGCTTCTTCTCCACATGATCGGTAGGCAGCTCAATGAGCTCAGCAATGTGTCCAATCTCAACCCTGGAGAAAGGCTCAATCAGCCTGCACAAGTTTTGCTCCAATAACGTGTCATACAGAGAAGACAGATGCCGATGAACAATGGGGTCTTCCTCCAGCTGAGCCTTGTAATCACGCAGTGCCGTCTCGAACGACATCAATGATCTCTTGGAGTGAGCATCAGCAACAGCTTTCATAGCATCCAGCTCTGGCCCCACATACTGGAGTCCAGCTTTGGAGGAAATTATGCCGGCGACATCATCAGCCTGACTCACCATGATCTTGCACAGTAGCATGTACTTAAGACTGAAAACTGCCCTGGGGTCCTCAAGAGCATTGAAAGACTCAAATGCCTCAAAGAAGTAGCTGTAGGCAGTCTTGTAATCCTTCTCCTCCGCATGAAGAATCCCACTCTGCAAATCGATAGTGCCTTGCTGGGCCGGAGGTACATATATTGCATTCGCAGCGGTTCTTGCAGCTGTTAGTGCAGCTTTTGCCTTGGGCAGGTTCCTCAGTGAAAAGTGAAGCTTGCTCTCTAGCAAGTCTATGTCCACAAGGAGTAGCTTGTCATCTAACCTCCTTACCTCTTTTACCAAGTCGGTAAGAAGGGTTAATGCTTCTGTATACTCCTTGTTCTCCATCAGAAGTGCTGCAAGCCTTGATTCGACTCGCTGCCTGAGGAATGTCCTCTTCTCTGCACGGGTCCACTGCACCATTTCCTTGCACAGGGCGATTTGCAGGTCGGACGTGCCGGGTATTTTGGCAACAGCATCGAGTACTCCTCTGACAATTTTTGCAGTTTTAGCCTTGGGAATCACAGCAAAAAAGGGTCGCAGCTGAGTCAGAAGACTGCGAAGATCCTCAGCCCTATTCTCTTGCCTAAGCAGATCAGTGAGATCTGTAATGGCTTGTTCTTTAATTTGCAGTGCTTCTGGAGATGAGGAAGGATTTTCAATTACACGGTAGAGCATGGAGATGGATTCAGATGGAGCATCAGCTTCCATAGCCTGAGAAATAGAGTCTTTCGTCGCAGGAAGGTAAGAGGTAGACATGTCTGCAGTTCCTAATTAAAGTCCTGAAACATAAGAGTTCCAAAATGTGTCATGCCAACTTTCTCGCACATCAGCTGATGAAGGGGTGAACACAAACACAAATGCTAAAATGTCGACTAGAAAACTGAGACTGTAAGTGAGACAGAAGCAGAATAATAGATCAAACCCGTACCACTGATCGAAACCGCACAAGTTCATAAAGTATCAAAACTGAACCATACAACTAGAACTAAGTCAATTCAACAGACAAGGGCAATCAATTCTTAACAATCCATTTGCATGCATCAAAGTCTGGCAAAGAACCCCAGAGAGAGCACAAAGCACTCTGAAATTGAATCAGAAAGCGGCACAAACTCTGCTGCTATGACAAATATCCAGGGACTAACTGAACACACAATACTAGCTGCAATGGAGATATCATGAGACTATCGTTACTGCAGCGGCAATCAACCAATTCCATGTTTTCCTTCAGTGAACTTCAACTTAAATTTCCCTGACGACGTAACAACATGATGACCGAGCTATGGTATCAGCGGCCTTTCAGGCGTACAAAGAGACATCAATACGGCAAAAACCCAATCAAACTTGAAGACAAAAGCTTCGGACTTTACGAAGACACGAGAACCCTAAACGAAGTTCAATTGCAGGAAGGGGAAAAAAATCGGATCTTTACCAGACAAATCAATTCACTAAACCCTAGAAATAGAGGCTATGAATTCAGGACAGTCAAGCTACAGTCAGGACTCGGAATAGGCCCATCCCTTCTCCAATCTATTCTCTTTCAGTAAGAAGAGCAACGGGCAATGTCAGAATGACTGCGTTGGATAATTTGATAGATCTGCTGAAATTGAAAAAGTTTCTTACTTGATTCACTAAGCCCTCAACGCTACTCCTTGCTCGTCGAACTTAAATCTCTTTGGTCGTCGGCGATGCAGAGTATTTGCCTCTAGCTTGTGCCCGACTCCAACTTCACAGCCGATACTCGGTAGAGAAAGAACTAGAGATTGCAAAAAACGAAAAGAGAGGCAGAAAGGAAAAGAACTAGGAATTCAGAGGGTTACCTTTTCGCCCCTAAATTATGCGTTTTCTACAAACGGGCTCTGAGGTTGTGAATTTTGCAATTTGGTCCTTACAGATAGAAATTATGTCGATTTTACAAATAACACACAAGAGTCACTGTTTTTCATCCAAAATACGTTATTTTAGAAGCAAAATCAAAAGGAAAATTATTTTAACCTCCCCATTATGCAATTCGATGCACCCGATCGAGAATCCTCCCATCAACGGCATCCCGAGACATTTTGGGCACAACCTTCATTTTATCAACAAGTATATAATTATGTCATTATAGGAGCCCTGAGCAGAGTTACGGATATATTTAGTTTATATTATAATAGAAATTTTATTGGTTTGTATTACGTTATCATACTCCGCAGGTCGTACTTTCAACCTAACAAAATTGTAATCGAAATAGTTGAGACGCCCAACTCACCTAGTTATACACATCTCAAATTCCGATGCAATCATCTCTCATCATAACTCTTTTAGAGGCACCATTAACCCCTCTCATTCAATCATAAAAATAAAAAACTCTCATCTTGGACCATAATTCCAATCAAGAGACACAAAAGAGAAATGTTACCCACCCAATAAGAGAAAGTAATGAATTTTGAGTACAAGCATACCAATACTAATACATCTATATTTATGTGGTTGATCACTAATATGATCTATGTTGGTTAATCCACGGACAACATCAGCCAGTTAATGCAAATTACAGATATGAGAGAGAATATGTATATCATTTTCTCCAAGTGGCCTAACCCTAATCCACCATAGAAAGGAAAACGTTACAAACCAGACCCAAAAGAGTAAAACAAATTCGTATAAGCCCGTGACAGCATGATTATCAACTCCTTGCTTTATGAAAGGAAAGAAGAAGGGAAAAAAGAGGCTCGTGGATGGTTTACAGCTCGGACCATTTGACCACTGGCTACCAACAACCATTAAAACCAGCAACATGATATTGCGGGGAGTCGTATTTTCACTGCTGCCGGCCTCCACGATCAAGCAAAATGGACAACTTGACCCTTTACCAAAATAGGAGGCACACTTAGACTCTGTTATCTCTATCTTGTGTTTTGTTTGTGTCTCCACCCTTTCCTTAAAAATGCTGTCCAAGTCGGATCACCACTAGACATTTTCCTTTCCCATGGTTATCGGCTTCCACCACTACAAACAAAATTCCATAAGGCAACTATGGATTGTGTTAGGTGACTAAACATATAGGAGCAAAATAGTTGCCCTTAATTGGCTCCCTAAAAGTTAGTCATAATTTCCCTTTTTAGGTCATGGTTAACCAACTCATGAGGTTTACTTTACTAATCAAATCCCCCTCGATCGTTACAAATCAACCTCGCGAATGTGCTTGATTACCGCAATGAACCATATGGTCGTGTGGTTTGTGTCGACAATCTATGACGAGACCAGAGTGATCCCGGACATCGATCTCGTGAGATCCGTGTCAGTGTGCAACTGTGTGCTTGACTTATAGCGTCTTTGCTCTTGCACCGCGAGTCTCGTCGTGTCCTTTTGAATCCAAGGATCATGGAGGGTATCGAGCACCCTCATGATGATCACGAAGATTTCATCGTCAACTATGTGATCAAATGTGCACTCATAGACGAAGTCATGTATGTAAATCTTCTATATTACCTTGCTTTCGGTCATTGGTCCCCCCCCCCCCCCCCCCGATTCTCTAGAAACCAAGCCTCTGTGTAGTTGACGATAGAAGACGAGAAGCACTTATGGTTCGACTTCTTTATGGTTCACGGTTTGTCCCTATGTTACTACGTTCCTAGACGACCTCTCCTTCCATCGCCCGCTAGGCAACTAGAGATACGAGTTCACGTGTTTTGGTTAAAATGACCTCAGAGCAACATAATACATGATAACACGAGAGTGTTGAAGGAGGGAAGCGTGGATGATATGTGTTTGAGAAATAAAGGTGTAGGATGAGATGGTAATCTCAAGTTATAAAAAAAAAAGAGAAGAATAAAAAGATCACCGTTACGACAACAACCATCGTAAGAGATGAAAGATAGATATCGATAACTTAAAAAAAATAGTGTTCTATCTTAAATCTTAATAAATACAAAAGTACGAAATCCTCTCCATCATGATACTTATAAATTGTGGCTGTGGAACTATGATATCCATTTATGTGCAAATCCAAAAGTAGAAAAAGAAACTGAAAGAAAAATGGCACACATGAAGTGGCAAACACAGTCAATATTTTTAAAGTCCCAAGCAATACGCAAAATTAAATAATCAAGCTTATCATGGAGGGAAGCTTTAGGGTTTGCATGATAATTTTCATTGGCCCTGCAGAAAATAAAATAAGCGCAGAAAACAAAAAGCAAGTCAAGATAAAGACAGAAACACACTACACTAACACACGCTTAATGTGATAGCTTATAGCTAGTGTGTTTCTTGCTAAGATTCCATATTCTAATAACTTCAGTTACAAAGGTAACTCGTGAATAGTCCGTTCATTGTGATCATTCAAATCGAGCCAATTCAAAAACTTAAAACTGAAAAAAAAATGTGCAATTTTATGTATACATTAACAACCAACAAATGCTGAAAACCATCGAATTCCAGATACAAACCTACTCGGTCGAAAATTCTGATACTACGATGAGAACCCATTCTTCACAAAGTTGAGGTTGCACCCTTATATGAACATTTCTTTTCCATCCTATATAGGGTAATTAAAAAATCACAAAGGAAAAAAAAAAAGAGGAAACTGCTGGCTTTTTTGCTGTTATTGTGGTTATGAATCTAGGAATGTGAACAAGTCCAAATGCATTATCTGGGCCCCTGGATTGTGGATCCTCATGGGCCATGGGCCATGGGCCATGTCCACTAACCATGAGCTCTCTCTCTCTCTCTCTCTCTCTCTGACTGTATATATAAAGACAGTGCCAAACTCGTGTTTAAGTAACTCCAACAAACACACAAAGAGAAAAGACTAAAGAGTTACTTACTTACACGTACACGAGTCCCTCCCTCCAACCCAAAACAGTACCCTTTTTCCCAGGACGCAACAAACATACAAAAAACAAACTAGCTAGCTAGTTCGGAACCAGAAGCAACAAACCAATCATCATCACCGCAATGATGAAGTGGAGCCAGAGCGATCTGGACGTGATCCTGGTTCCGATGGCCTTGATGGTGATCGCCGGCTACCACGCCTGGCTCTGGCACAAAGTCCGCACCCAGCCCCTCTCCACCACCCTCGGCACCAACGCCGCCGGCCGCCGATACTGGGTCGCCGCCATGATGAAGGTATATCCACATATGCATATCTCATTTCTTTCATTTCGTGATTGAAAAAAAGGTCTTATGTTCAAATCCCATTTTTTTCGTATTGGGCTAGTTTCGAGGCCATATGAGCGACTTGAGTTTGTAATTGAGTATGTTATAGTATGTATATAAGATTCATTATTGAACATCTCCCAACAGCTTAAATTATTGGGACTTGATCCCATATTGGTTTATATATCTTATATTGGTTTCGGATTTAAAAAAAAAAAACACAATATGAAACCGAAATATATTAAAAAACACTATATAAGAAGTGTAGGGAGTTTCTAATTCGATTGGAGTGCATGGGTGTTTCGATTTTGGGAAAACAGTCCGGCTCAATTTTTCGTTTTTTCTTAAATAATCTCGGTTCGGTTAACTGAACCGAACCAACACCACTAATTAAAACCCGTTGTTGGTTCTTGAAACTACCACCCAAATCATTCACATTCTAACGACGTCCCTTTTTTTAGTAGAACGATCCAACAATGTCAACACGAAAGTTTGGTGACGGACTGAACCGAGTGCAATTATTTGGTTGCAGGACAACGAGAAGAAGAACATCCTTGCGGTTCAAACACTGAGGAACCTGATCATGGGCTCCACGCTGATGGCCACGACGTCGATCCTCCTCTCGGCCGGGCTGGCCGCCATCATCAGCAGCACCTACAGCGTCAAGCGGCCCCTAAACGACACCGTTTTCGGGGCCCAGGGCGACTTCATGATGGCCGTGAAATACGTCACCATCCTCACCATCTTCCTCTTCTCCTTCTTCTGCCACTCCCTCTCCATCCGCTTCGTCAACCAGGTCAACCTCCTCATCAACACGCCTCAAAGTCAAGACCCCGCCGCCGGCGGCGGCCACGTCATCGTCACCCCGGAGTACGTCGCCGACCTCCTCGAAAAAGGTTACGTCCTCAACACGGTGGGTAACCGCCTCTTCTACGCCGCGCTGCCGCTTCTTCTCTGGATCTTCGGCCCGGTGCTGGTTTTCATCTGCTCCGTCGCCATGGTCCCCGTGCTCTACAACCTCGACTTCCTGTTCGGAGGGGGCAGTGACGGAGCTGGTGGGAAGAGGAAACCCGCCGCCGACCACCGTCGTCAGGGCTCGAGTTTGGTGTAGAAAGTAATGTCGACCTTTTGTGGCGGTGGTGGCACGTAATGGTGGATCGGCGGTTTTTCAACTTTCAAAATGTTGTTGAATCATAAATATTATTATTATTATTATTATTATTATTATTATTATTATTATTATTATTATTATTATTATTATTATCCATCGGTGGTTGTGTATTATCAATTATGTGACATTTTGATAATATAATTGAGTGGGTGTATGTTTTATGTGGTGTGGCTTAATTGATGATTGGCTTGTACTAACACACAGACCTAGTACAATCTGTTGGTCAAATGGTGTTGAATTTATCATTTGTTTATTATGTAACGCGCGTGGTATACGATATGTTATTTAAATGCTACTGTCTCTCAACAATTGGAATTATTTAATTTTTATTGTTTTTATGACATGATCTGTTTTGAATTCGCGGGTGATCGCTCTATTTGTTGAACACATGATATTGCCGAAGCAAATTAAGAGAATATTCCATGGCGTAGGATATTAATTATTGATTGTGCTATCTTAGGTGTTCCACTACTTCCACCTAAGCACGCACAATAACCCTAATAAGCGAGGGTTTGGAGGATAGTGAATTTTGTGATTCTTCCGCAGTTCATGTATAATATGCTGATAAGGTGCAGTAATGAGATATGCGTGATCGAGAAATTAAGGAGACTATGGAGGTTCCGTACGTCTAACATTCTCTAATTGATACGGATTCCAGTTCCTTCATGTCAAGTTTAGGGGGATGAAACTTGTCTCATTCGAGTTCTGATAATTGATATTCGTTTGTTGGCCATATATATAGAGGATGATGTCGTCGCTTTCTTTATTGTGGGATCTATAGGGTTTAGCGCAGGGAATTAAAGAAAAAAATCGAGTGAGCTTCGTAATAACCGACGTTCATTTATGCGTATGTTTCAATTAGGTCATCCGTCGACATTGATAGTAAGAAATTAAAATAAATGACGATTGAGTGCGTTGGAGAAGTCGATTGAATTCGGAAACACCATGAAAATCAACACTTTGGAGCTGGTGGTGATGCACTCATTGAGAAAACACGGAGAATTTGGGAACAAAAGATAAGCTCGTCATAATTATTGTAGATTCGATAGTGAATTTTTCACAAAGCATGATTGAACATCTCTCGACTATTCGAGTTATTGGAATCAAACACATTGAGATGATTTTGGTGACACTGATGGGCTTAATGGGCCACTGGGTCATTATAGTTCCATTGGGCTTGGATCATTCTCTAGGCTGAGTTAATTTTTTGGGCTTCTATAGAAAAACAATTATTCAGCGTACGTCAACCTGAACCACACACACAAATATATAGTTCTAGCTAGCATGCGCCAGGAGTACACACAAAAATAAACACTAAATACCGAAAATGACGGGCTGATCTCTCAGGCTTACTTGTGATAGGTGCTAATCTTAAAGTGCTTTATAATATTTTAAGATTAAGATTAACGTATTAATGGAATAAAGTAATATCCGAGACAAGGGAGTGAACCACCGTTTTCAAAAATGTTTGTATTTTTTTAACCCGACCTTATCTGTGGTTCATCTATAAGGATTCTTGATCCTCTCTCATCCCCATTTCTCTGGTTCCTCCCTCTCACTTTCTGGTACTTCAATTCCACAACGAAGAAGAAGAAAATATTTCCTTTGGAATCCAATTGGAACAAACTGGTCCATGGTTCATCCTTAATCCAAACATAGAAATATAACCTAATTCTCATTTTTCCTCTCTTTCTTCTTTCTCATGGGACAAAGGAATTTTAACCAGAAGTTGATTAACATGTGATTGCTCAGATGGTCCTTTAGGAAACACAAGTCTTCTGAATCCTATGTTAGTATGAATTTGATCATCATTCCACCTCTAGAGCCCCAATTGACTGTTGCAATTTTGAGGTCTTTGGAGGTGTTCAGGAGTATGCCACAGCATGCTGTGTACTTGGCTACTGACGTTGATTGTGGATCTCTAGAGCTGCTTCGTGACTTTATGCTTGATAAACAATCAAGGGTAAAGGTTTTTTGGGCAGATTTGATATGAGCAAGTTTGAGGATGAAAATGATTATCCGACTGAAGCTTTTCGCAAGTATCGTGATGAAGAGGTTGCTTTGACTGAAGATATGGAGATTGTTGATGAAGTTTATAACGCTCACAGAATCGAGGCTAATGAGTTGTGAAGAGCTTTTGAGGGAGGATTTGGAGAGCTTTCTTACCCTTACAGAGCTATACCTGCTGGTGGTGAAGTGGTGGAACAAGATGAAATGGATCCTTTGGCGAGAATGTTATCTGTGAAGTTTGATGAGGCTCGAGTCTGCGGGAAGTTGGCCAGCGTTTGTAAAGAATTTGGTAATTTACATTTTGAAGTAAATTTTGGTAATTGAAAGATAATTTACATTTTGATGAAAAATTATATTATATTATATGAACAAGAAAACTAGACCTAATTATATTAGAGATTGATTACTCCCAAACTTGACGGATGTCTCTATGAGGGGGAGACAATACGCAATGCACTCTTTTCCCCTTAGTCATGGTTTTTTTCACTGGGTTTTTCTGGTAAGGTTTTTAATGAGGCAGTATATAAACGCGTATACAAGAATGATGTACTCTTTTTCCTTAACTGGGTTTTATCCCACAGGGTTTTTTCTAATAAGGTTTTAACGAGGCATGTTCTTTGTCAATGAATATCCAAGGGGGAGTATTATGAATATACATACATATGTATATTAGGTGGATGTCCATACCACAATTACCATGTGGCAATTAGTTACATGAGCCAACTACGTACCTAATTACTATTACTAGCTTTTTACCCGGCCTGTTGGCTGGAGAGATTTATTTTATAATTTATATTAATTAACTTCTTTATATGTTTAAATTATTTTGGATTGTCTACATATTTTGTGTTCTTGATTCATAACAGAGTTTGTAGTATATATTGAAAATTTCTAATATTTAGCACACTCACTTTTGATGCTTCGGGTTTCTAATCATAAGTGATGTCACTGTCACGTCCCATTTATAACTTATGTCAAAATTTGTCAACCAAAATACTAATATTCAGCGTACGCCAACCTGAACCACACACACAAACCGGTTTATACCGATACGCTGGTTTCGCAAGTGGAATGGTTCTACCAGTGGTACAACCAGTTATACCGGTTTATGCCAGTTTGAATAAAATTCTAGTGTATGAATATACTAAGCCAACCTTCCCTATGCAAATCAGCAACCATCATCATTTATCAGAAGACAAACAGCCAACCTAAGTGGGAAACCCACTATTTCACCCGTAAAAAGGTTAGCCAAGGCCAAGCTAACAGCTTTCGGCCGCGAACACAATTAAACAAGGAGCCTAAAGCCTATAGATCTCCTCATCCGTGGCAACGACAAGCCGCCATTTGTGATGAATTAGAAGAGTAATCGGAGACTCCTGCTCTCACCCGCATGTATCAAGCAGAATTCACAACCGAGAAGCTCCTACTCTCACCCGCAAGCATAGAATGAAGCTTAAAAATCGGAGGCGGCGATGGTAAAACAAACAGACGGCGGGATCGGACATAAGGGGCGGCCAATCAATTTCGGCCAAAGACTGGGGAAAGGAAAGTCAATACAAGGGGCAGAAGCAAACCCCCACCCCCGATTTGCCGGGAAGAAACGCAAAGGGGAAATGCCCTTGTTCGATTTGATGGGAATCGTGAATTTCGGACTGTAAAAATGGCGAGAATGAGTGCCTGCGGCAGTCGATGAGACCGAGAGGGCCTGGAGAAACTTTGATTTAATTTTTTTCTTTTAAACAATCAGATAAAAACGTCAGCGTTTTAAGCTAGAGACTGGTATCTGATTCCGGTTGAACCACCAGGAATTTTCGATTTTGACCGGTTTTGACCGAAATTGACCAGAGCATCCTACCGGTGACATTCCAGCCGGTTTCACCACCGGTACCGGTTTCACCTAGCTCAACCAACCGGCATGCCACTGACACGACAACCATGCTTGGCCCCAAAGAAGAATTCAACAACTGTCATTAAATACTGATTACCCACTGACATTCAAAGAATCAAAACCATTTAATTTTACTGCCACTGGGATTTGAGTTTGACTGGCAGGCACCGGCCTAAGTTGAGCTAATAAAACACTATTTCTGGAGATTGCGAACATTAAAGAATGAGAAGGCCATTATTTTTTTTTTAAAAAAAGCCCATGCTAACGGTCTCACATGGGCCTTTGGCCTTTCTATTGGGAGTTTGTCAGTTCCTTGAAATTGAAGGTACCCTTCCTTTCCTTCCTTCAATGAAAAGGAATCTTGGAAGTTGGAAGGGTACGGACCAGGACCTTCTCTCTTCAGTTTGCCCTTTTTCTTTAATGGGGTTTGGATTAGTGGATTGTCAGCCACAATTTAGGGTGGATTTAGATTTTAGACCATGATGATAGCTTAATATTCATACTCATGTTGGACTTATTTGGAGGTAATGTTTCTTTTTTAAAAGGGTTATATATTTTTCATTTGATGTTAGGTGCTACTGCTCAGCATATTTGAAACGGGTGACCTCTATGTCGAAGGTCAACCATTTTGTCGCCAAATCGAGCGTTATTTTGCATTGTTTTGAGATAATTAGCGTGAGGAATAAATCAGAGCAGGGTAGCTTGTTGAGGTGGTCTCGATCGGTAAAGAAAATATGCGCAAACTATTTTGTATGGAAATAGAGAGAATTGAGCATATGTTGTAATTTGGTTTTAGTTTTGTACTCCTATCGTTCTAAGAATGAAAATCAATCACTGTAAACAAAAAAAAAAATCGGTGAGAAAGAGATGGAAACTCACGTTTTTGTTACATGAGTGAAAATATGAGGCAATGTATATAAGCGTGTGATGAGATACACTGATTAGAGAAAGTACGAGACAAGTGATCGGGACAAAATTATCACTCCTACTTAAGATCAATGATTTGTTTACTTTAACATGAATTATTATTTTTTTAAACAATTGATAAATTTTGAACGCAATTCGAAACTGAAATCTTCAAACTCAAAATTAGTAGTACTACGGCTACTCCAAAGTCCAAACCCTAATTAGCCAATTTATCCAATTATCTTGATAATACCGGTTATTAATGAGGGCCACACCCACTGATTTTCCTCATAATCTCCTTTCCCTTTCCAAGAAAAGGGCACCGTTTGAGAAAACTAATCCGCCTTAACCCTAAGTACCTTTGACCATCGGAATGCTAGCTAGCTAGTCGTTGCGACAGTTGGTAAACACACAAATTACACAAATAAAATAAACTTATTATTTCTAGAATTTCCCGCGTATTGTAACTTTTCCGGTGCCCAAAAAAACAAAGGAACTGAAAAAACTGCAAACCACAATTCCCCACAATTAATTAATTAATTAAATTAATCAATTCCTCACCACTTCATGAGTGCCATGCCATTTTCCTGCCTCATTTCTGCACCTGCAAGGAAGAGTTCTAACTTCTACAGAAACAAACGAAAAAAACTCTATCCATCCACCAGACAAACCACTCCTCCTCCATGGGGAACCAGCAAATTACAAACCCTATCCCCTGAATTCATACATACTCTCTGCAGGTCATGTTTTTTTCACCACGGGGTCACAGGTTCGATGTACGCACATGTTTAATACGACCCCAATCGTATCAGTATCTGACAAATACACGAGAGATCCGTTTACAATCCTGATTACGATCACACACACAAAAAAAACTCTTCTCAGAACAATAGTCCAATAGTCTGGAGGAATTCAGCTTGTGAACACACCGTGCCCAGTTCACGTCGTTGCGCATTTGATTTAAATTCGTCGACATTCTTGTTTATTTATTTCTTGACCAACTTAAAAAGAAAAAACAACCCTACAGCCAGCCTTCTCTCTGGCAGTGGGTGATGACTTCTTCAAGCCTGTATATTATATTGAGCTATATACAGTTAGTATGAACAAATATATTATGCATAGGATTTTTTAAAAAAAACGGGAAACAAATTAGAATTCTGAAGCCTCACCTCCATGCCTATAAGTACACAGCTCCCATTGTTACACCAAACCCTCAAAAACAAAGAAAGCAGCTCCCTTTCCCCCCAGCAAGCCTTCTTTCACCAACCTGAACAAAGAAGAAGAAGAAGAAGAAGAAGAAAATGGAGTGCAAGAAGTCCAACAAGATCAGAGAAATCGTCAGGCTGCAACAAATCCTGAAGAAATGGAGAAAGGTTGCCAACTCATCCAAGCCCACCTCCATCACCACCACCACCACCACCACCATCACCGGTTCGCCTACAACCACCACCAACAGCAGCAGCGGCAGCAAGAGCATAAAGTTCCTGAAGAGAACTCTGTCATTGTCAGAGAGAAGCAGCAGCGACGATGGCACAGTGCCGAAGGGTTACCTGGCGATCAGCGTCGGGCTGGAGCAGAAGCGGTTCACGATCCCGACGGAGTACCTGAGCCACCCTGCATTCCACATCCTGCTGAGGGAGGCAGAGGAGGAGTTCGGGTTCCAGCAGGCCGGGGTCCTGAGGATCCCTTGCGAGGTCTCGGTGTTCGAGAGCGTGGTGAAGATCGTCGAGGAGAAGAAAGGTGGTGCTGTCTACTTCACGCAGCAGCAGCAGGATTGCAGGTTTGACTTTGAAGATGGTGCAGCAGGAGGGTATGGTTACTGTTCATTGCCGGGGCAGCAGGGCAGTGCTCCGGCTCACCACCCTCAAAGCCCTATGTGCAGATGATTTCTGTATTGACAATGTCATTGTTTTTCACTTCTTCTTTTCCCCTCCTTTTTTCTTGTGTGACCCTCGTTCCACTTTTTTCATGTTGTTGGATGAGGTCATGTAATTGGTAGAGAGAGAGACAGATCCTGCGGGAGGTAGTTCAATAACTTCGATTCTTCAATGTTTGAGAAAGAGAGAGAGAGAGATGTCCTTGTAAGAGATCACTGTTTCTTCCAAATCTGCAGAAACAACCCAGATAATATATCCATCAGTTATTCACATTTCTGTTTCTACTCCATTTTTCTCCAGCGCATGGAAAAGCACCACCGGTGACTGGTTGTTTGGCTCTATCAAAGATTCAGTGAAGGTAACCAAACAGACATGCAATACTTTCCAAGTAACTCTGTTACAAGCGGACGGCAATACACAAATGATAGCCTGCGCCTTATACTTTGACGTCAACAATTATCTAGTAAGAAAAAATTAGCTTTACCCCTTCAATAGAGGCTAAAATCTGAACAAAGGTAACCCACCAAAGATACCTAGCATTCAACAACCTGACTCTACATTTTTCAGACTACCAAGTCCAGAACCCTGAAAACCTAGGGAAACCCAACCTCCCAATTGTTAAGTCACTCTTCATCAGGAATTCCGTGCCACCGACAGATTCGTAACAAACCGACTTTATCAAGTTACAGATAGTTTCAAGGTATCTGAGACTAGGGATGATGATGGGGTAAGTGCAAGAACAACCAAAATGATACATAACACTGAGAACTAATTCAACATAACCAGCCATGCTAAATCACAGCACAGGGTCTGCAAATCTAAATACCACAGCCGTTGGGTGCATACATGACAATCAACTACCGGTTATGGATCGCGATCAATCCACCGATAAGGATATACATCGTTATGCCAACTCCCATGAGCGTCGTAAACCCAATTCTGAAAATTTTGAACAAGTTCAGGACAACTTTTTGGGTACGGATTGCTGTGGAAAACACACGTTACTGCACTTGGATAAAAAAAACATCTCTTATTTAAGCTGGTCAAACATTGGTACCAATGATAAGTGGTACTACAGTACAGCATCCTATGCAATTTGAATACGGAAACCTGTACAGCAGCAGATGCATAATTACAGCAGCTAGCTTAGCTAGCTTAGTGCACAAACCAAGTCGTGCTTAAAATACTCATCCATTTGCAGAGCATTCACATGTATAATCCACATGGTGAGACCAGGAAATGGCACGCCAAATCCCCTCTTATGGTCCTCACCATGAGAGGCCCAAAATGAAAGAAAGAAGTCTGTAGGACTCCATATGACTTTCTTCTTGGGCAAAATAATAATAACGATGCTAATAATGAGACTTGTACTACAAGGGGAAATGATGATGAGATCCATTAAAAAAGGGGAACTCACATGTTATCATTTCAATACACACCATTTCTCCTGACAAATCTCGATGCCCTTATCGGTGCCACAACCCGAAATCAATCATCATGCCAAATGGGCAATTTATTATCCTGATAATATATGATTAATAATAAACCAGACTTGCAGTCACAGAGAACTAAATTCATGCCAGAGCTGTACATACCAACTTCTGATACAGAATTGACTAACAGCTAATGGAGACAAATTTAATTAGCATTGTTCACCAAAATCCAAAAGGTTAGCATATTTAATATTGTTTAGTGATCATTAGATGAACATCCTAGTCGGTCAATGGCATAACAAGAAGGGCAGGGAAAAGTAGAGTCAAATGATTCATACATTAGATTTATTTTGAGATGTTCGATTAAATTGGAACGATATAAAGAAGATTCGCATGGTCCTGCATAAGGAATTGGCCAACAAAGCAAGCAGAAGTTAGTCATTAACAAGTAAAAGCTAAGCAACTATAAGCATGAAGAAAAATATGCTGAGGAAAGATAGCATTAAAACCTAGAACCTGGAACTAGATGCCGTTACTGATAGACACTCGGAATCAAAGCGTGTTGAATTGATCTCTGTTATAGTGTACAAATTACGGGAAACCCCCTTTGTGCCCATGCTGGTGGCGCTGTAACCCTCGAATTGCTTTTTCCTATGAGTTTGTCATGTATTCATGGGTTGGGGTAGTCTCGGACGTACGCAATAAGTCCCTCGTCATAAAAATGGTATACAAGTTATGCATTTTAGGTTAGCCAAGCTCGAACCAATGAGACATGCAGATAAGGTAACACATGCCAATCAACAATAGCAAGGCAATCTAAGAAAAATGGTTTAGTCTGATAACCAAACATCCCAACAATCTCATCCTATTCAGCCCGACATGGGCTCATCATTGAAATTGGGACAACTAGCTGTATCACAGTTAGGAAGCATATTCTTGGCAGATGAGAGTGGTTATGTCTATATATTACAATGCCTAATTGTACTTCAGCTACTTCGACCCACTTGGTTCTGATGGGATAATGTTCTGTTATGTTCAAGGCAATGCTAAACGAATTATGTAAATATCAGGAAGGATTGACAATACTTGAGAAGTAATGAACATGGTTTACACTTTACAGTAAAAATGCAGAGCCTCAGCAATCATAAGCACAGAGGTTCTTAGTTAGTGAAGGTGGAGGAACCAGAACTGATATAAAAAGTCAACAAGGGACACCTTTCACAATCAAATACGGAAAAAAATTGGATTCATGAATCGTCGTCGAATTCAATTTACATCAATAACAATAAGCACAAGTGAGGTAAATGATAGGAACCTGCGAATCAAGATTTCCCAACACTTCAACAAACTAACAGTATTCTGCATCGTTCCACTACTCACAAGGATTGCACTTGGCAATGGCAATAGACAGGCAGGTTGATTAGAAGGATAGCTCCTCTCCATCACTGTAATTCGGAAAGGTAACACATTTGAACACTTTGCACTTTGAACACAAGAGGTATCCAACCTGCAGTACCATTGAAGCAAAAACCATTCATCGACCATGAACAAAATGTAGTAGGCACGGCACACACTCAAGAGTGCTAAGAATTCAATGGCTTTTCTCAAAGCTGGTACATGGTCACATTTACTTACAGCTTTGCAAGATGGACACCGGCGGTAGACTCGCTTGTTCTCGGCTTTCACATTGGTTTTCTGCCCTTTGCAGAAATCACAAACTAACCATCCTTGGCCATTGCAAGGTTCGCACATAATCCCTGAATCAACCTTCAACAAAACCACTTATCTTGTAAGGAAACAGCTTCTTCTTCTCCGAACATCAGAAAATGATGACCGAAAACAATTACCTGTCCTTGTTCTTGGACCTGCGAAGAAGAAGCAGCGCAATTTACAGGCTTCAAGAAATGCTTTGTCGAGCCTCTACTTGACGACAACGACGAAAACTTCTCCCTACTCCAGCAATTCACATTCACCGTCGCCGGAACTAACAAAAGCATTTCCATTCTCGTTACCTTCCCCGGAATTGCAGCCTTCAGAGTGTCGCTGCCGCTGCCAGCGCCCCGCCACCCATTATCCGATAACCCGCCCATGAAAGCATAATTTTCAAAACAGCCCCTATCCTGCCTTCTAATTACGCAAACAGTCCCGCAGATTTTAATTTCCCCCTATTTCTGCTCCGCCGCCCTCCACCGTCCACCGTCCACTAACAAGTAACATCTTCTTTATATCACCAGAACGGAATTCTAATCTATGGTGAACGATTTCTCTGCTCAACTTCCCGCCGGAAAAGTCGTTCGCTCAGACATGATTTGCACCGGTAAAGCTCCCTGCCGGTAATTGTAAACAACGGAATCGTAAGTGTTCATCTTTTCTCCTTTACCACTGATTGGCCAGCGTATTTACATTTTCTACCTGAGAAGTTGGGAACGGGAAACCCCCTACGTACCTGAGTTTTTCAGTTCAGAAATCGGAATTTTTTTTACGAAAACGAGAGTCGCCGCAGGCATAAACTTCAATCTGAAGACGGAGGTCGGCGTCGCCATTTCCCAGGAAGTGAGCACCACCGCCGGCCGAGCACAGATAGTCGTTAGAGGTGAGCCTCGAGCCTGACGATGGGCTGTCAGTTATTTGCGGAATAGAAGGCCCAATGTAGCTCAATCTCAAGGCCCATTAGGACTCTCGGCCTGGTTTAGTTAGGCGCGCTCGGTAGAGGAAAACCCCGGGAAGGACAACAAGAAACTACCAGAAGATACAGGGAGGAAAACAGTAATACCGACTACCGATCGCTAGAACGGCTGATTTAATTCGTGCAGGCGAATTTATCCTCATCGTACCGGAGGAATTGCGATCTGAAAGCCGGCGTCGGTAGCCGTTCCGGTGATCTATTTTGGGTAACTGAGGTATCGTCAGAGAATCTAGGGTTGTGTTTCGCCTTAATGCTCGAGTTCCAAGTGTTCGACAGTAATCGTCGGCAATGAAGCGCAAGGGTTTTCAAGAAATCGAGGAAGATTACTCTTCTCCTTTCAACTCTCACCCCGCGAAGTGCAGGAGACTGGTGCGCTCTCGTACTCTTCCCCTTCATTATTTGCGCCGGCAATTGAAGTTTGTAGAATGATCCGCCTGTCCGACGAACTTCGTTTTCTTTTACCGATTGTCAGTTTGTTCCTTTTTTGTTCTGTTTGGAAAGGATGGAGAGTTGCTGCATTCTCTGACTTTTCCATTGTGCTAGATTCCAAATGATTCCAGAGCTAAGAGGCGAGTATTTCTGTCGCTTGCTGCTTGACATGGTCTGCTTGCTTCTTTGATTGTTGTATTAAGTGACATTGTTGGTCATGTGCTTATTGCTAGGTTTGTAGCACAAGCAACAAGTTTAGCTTAACAATGATCCTTGGAACTTGATTTTGGTGCAGTAAATAAGTTGTGATCATGGATAGTATGCGATGAAGAGCAGATAGCTGCTAAGTAGGTCAAGCACATGTCAAGTACAGACTCCAGAATCACAATTCTTATGAATTGAACATCAACTGTTATTAGTGTAACATCTTTGGTACTCTGTTATATGGCCATAATTCTACATGAGGGAATAACCCTGTTTCTATCTGCTTTCTTCATGTCCAAATAAAGAGTTACCAACTGATGTTGAAATGAACTTGTGTATTGGACCATTTGATGTGATTAGTGGAGTTCAAAGCTAATGTTTTCCGGCAAGAATTAGTTTTTTGGATTAAGCAAGTGATGATGATGATAACTGCTAATTCAGAATCCAGAACCTTACTTTAGAAACTATCTGTCAACTGTTATTCCCATTTGATGTGATTTCCAGTGTTTTTGGATTAAGTAGGACCCTAGTCACTGATGAGGTAGGTCGGATTGTGCCAGTAGGAGTCAATGTATGATCACCATATAACTAACTGAGATATGCCACCGTCTGTTGGATATAGATCGTATCTGGTGGCCAGGACATCAGAAGCAAGATAAATCTGCTGAAGAGAAATTGACAGCAGAGAAAAGCATCAACAGTTTGGCTGTTATTCCATGGGTTGCTCCCCAAACACTCATGAACTCAGATGGACAAGCCACAGCGTGGTCAGAAGCCATGGAGGCAGAAGATACTGTAACGATGGATACAGATGAATCGCATTTTCATTGGCAGCCAACGCCGCCATGGATTATCTTACCAGTAGTCCAAAACATACCTACACCCATTACTTGGTGAAAATGTCATAGATGATGTATATAGTAGTTTCTTCAGAATGCAATGATAGTACAGAGTAGTTCTTGTTTCACGTGCAGTGAGGCTTTGTAATAGCTAGTTTCTGTCAAAATTTTCACAGTTGTATATTTATCTGAGTTTGACTGATAGTTATATACTTGGTTCAAGTTCATTTTCAATACAGTTCTTATTATTTGTCTCAGTTCTGTCAAAAATTGCAGAACTATGTCTGATGATATAATAAGAAAAAATTGACAGGTCCCACCGGGATTCGAACCCAGGTCGCTGGATTCAAAGTCCAGAGTGCTCACCACTACACCATGGAACCGACTGTTGATGCCCAGTTTAGTTCTTCCCTTTGCAAAGAACAACCAGATCAAATCAAGAACAGAGGATGAGATCCCAAAAGAAGAGGGGGAAAACCCTAGTCCAAAGATTTTGGGGATGTGCTTAAGCTTACTAGACCAGCTTCATAGAGAAAATTCTCAGCAAGTCTGAAGAGTCAAAAGACATTACTTTACGAGCAGTTAAACACCTTCTTCGCCATCTGTTTATTGGCTAAGAGGCTGCCTGAATCACCACTCGAATGAATTAAAGACATTAAGAGAAAGCGTATTTGTGAAATTGATAAAACCAGATAGGCAATGGAAGGAGATGTATCAACCCTTCCATCCCCTGAGATATCGACCCAGAAACCAGGCTGAGAAGAAAAGGATGAAAAGCGTTGAATTTGTTATTGGGTAGCTGCATTCATCCCTATGGCATTAAAACATGAGCCAAAGAGCCAAACTTCAGCCCCGTTTTCGTTAAAAGAATCCATCTTTCCCAAAACCCAAACAGTAAACAAGAAAGAAGGGAAGGGGAACAGAGACTGTGAATTGCCGGAGGTGAGGAAGAAAAGAGGAGACGCCATGCGGCGAACCAATATGAAACCCTAATTACAGAAGCTCTGCATCGTTGGAGGCGGAGGATGATTATCTTTCTTTGCAACTGAAGTTAAGATGTATATATATAGAACATTTTTGGGCAGTACCGGCGAAACCCTGATTTCATCACACAATTACGAATTAGCCCACAAATTACCTTTATTTACATTATACGGCTTTCCTTTAGCAAATAATATCAATTGACCTCTTGTTTTTCTTGGATTTCATCGTTCTAGTACATAAATTTTTAATTTTGAAACTCTTGTTTCAAGTCAGGTCAAATACACTTGTGTGTCCAAACCTTTTCGAGTTTGTGACAAAAGGGAGTGATTACTACATACATTTAAGTAAAGAGGAAAAACTTTACTTCAATGATGTGGTTAACCATAAAAGTTGACATTGATGAAATACACATAACCTTTAGAGGTGAGCCTTGGGTGGGTTGGGTGGATTTCGTCTCAAATTTATTCACTACTTCTCACATATGTGGATTTCATGTTTTTTAGTAGATGTTATCAATGATTACATTACTTCATACAAAATTGTAGAGACAAATAACGCTTATGGTGATTTTTATACAATTATTTATTTATTTATAAATGCACCCTAATATCTAATGGACATTAGACAACATAGTAACTGATATTATTAATTTAAGGGCATTGTCTATTTTTTACCCAAACCTTTTTCAGATTCTTTTATTTTAATCAAACCTATAGAAATTCTATTTATTATCCAAACGTATTCTAATTTAACAAAGTCTGGGCATTCATTCTGTTACCGTTACTTATTTCGTCCACGTGAGAGGTGAGATTTTGTTTTGTTTTTTGATAATCTTTTTATTAAAAATAGTAAATGATGGTATTCTGACCGCCACGTAGGAAGTCAACTCATTATGGTCATACTTAGTCAGCATTACTAACAAAAAAGTTGACGGAGAGTTAACGTTTGGATAATTTTTAGGAATTCAATAGGTTTGGTTAAAATAAAAGAATCTGAAAAAGGTTTGGGTAAAAAATAGACATTGCCCTTAATTTAAAATTCTTTGTTTTCGGACTTTAGAGGTCAACTATTAGTGTGTGAGAAGATTGGAAAATATGATAATATTTATGGGAAAAACAACTCTTTTGTCACATAAACATGGTTGCAGAGCATCTATTAATCTCCAACCCACCCACCAAAATAAGTGTGAACATGAGATTTGTCACCCATTAGCAATGCTGTCAAAACCGAACCGGAGTATGAACCGATATAGTGAGTGGCTCGCACTTTATTGGTTCGGCCGGTGTTAGACCGCTAAAAACCGTTAACGAACCAATACCTTATAAACAAGAATATGATAAATACTATACATATTAGACCATAAATTCACAATAGAATTCATCATTAATAAACAAATTTAAAATATGAGTATTAAAGTTCAAAAGTTCAAACATCATATGAACCACACTATTTTCAAATAAAAACAATGAATAAATAGTCAAATTTATATAATTATTAATTTTCCATTTTAGTTCTAAAATCCAAAATTTAGATTTCTAGTCATGACCATCTAGCATTATGATTATGAAAATGTTAAAATTATGCGGAAAAAATAAAGTTTGTCCATATATTAACCAAAATAAAAAAATACTAAAAAATAAAAAAAATCCATACGAGACATGCAGATGGCATTGGGAAGGAAAATTTCAACGCATGCAGCATTCCACCTTATAATTTGAGAGAATGAGCTTAAAAAGACTATTGGCGCACCAAAAAAGAGGTGAAAAGCCCATTTTCCGGAGTCCGGATCTGGTGACTAAGGGGGGGTGCTTAGTCACTTGGCTAAGCCCCCCTCAGCCCTTGGATCAATCTAATGGTGTAGATAATGAAAGGACTATTTTATTAATAAGAAGGGCAATTCTGGAATTAGGAAAAATTCAAAAAAAAAAAAATTCTCCACCTTCTCTTCTGCGCTGCCAGCCACGGGATGAAGGCGACGATGGAAAAGAGGCGACCGGCGGCGACGATGGAGAGAGAGAAAGGAGACCTCGACCACGACGGCGACAGCGACGGCGACGGCGACGATGGAAAGAGGGAAAGGAGATCGCGACGGAGGCGAAGGCGGCGCGACGGAGGCGAAGGCGGCGCGACAATGGAGGAGAGAGAGGCGGTGCGACGATGGAGGAGAGAGAGGCGGCGCGACGATGGAGAGAGAGAGAGAGGTTGCGATGGCAGTAGATTGAATCAGCGGCGGCAGCGGTGGAGAGAGAGTCGACGGCGGCGGCAGCGGTGGAGAGAGAGTCGTCTGAAGGAAGAACAGTGATTTGTATAGTTTGTATGTTTTGTAACATTAGTTTGTATTGTTAGTATTTTTGTACAAAATGTCAGTATGGTTTGTATGTTTTTCTTTGACAGTTTGTACTCTTAGTATGTTTTTCTTTGACAGTTTGTACTCTTAGTATGTTTTTCTTTGACAGTATGGTTTGTATGTTTTTCTTTGACAGTTTGTACTCTTAGTATGTTTTGCTTGTATTCTTAGTATGTTTCGCTTTGTATTGTAAGTACTAATAATTTGTATACTTTATATGTATTGATTTGTGGACAAAAATAACAAACATTACAAACAATACAAAAGAAACCAACAAACATTACAAACATTACAAAATAACAAACATTACAAACATTGCAAACAAACATTACAAACATTACAAACAAACATTACAAACAGTACAAAACATACTACACGTACAGAATATCACTACTTACAATACAGATTGGTAAACTTGTATTACAAACAAATGAATACAAAGTATACAAATCATAACATAAAAGTATACAAACTTGAATAACAAAAGTTACAAATACAAATCAATGAATAGAAAGTGTATAAATCATAACATAAAGTATACAAACTAGACAAACAAACATTACTAACATTACAAACATTACAAACAGTACAAAAGAAACCAACAAACATTACAAACATTACAAAATAACAAACATTGCAAACAAACATTACAAACATTACAAACAAACATTACAAACAGTACAAAGCATACTACACGTACAGAATATCACTACTTACAATACAGATTGGTAAACTTGTATTACAAACAAATGAATACAAAGTATACAAATCATAACATAAAAGTATACAAACTTGAATAACAAAAGTTACAAATACAAATCAATGAATAGAAAGTGTATAAATCATAACATAAAGTATACAAACTAGACAAACAAACATTACTAACATTACAAACATTACAATGTATACAAAATAGTAATATAAACATTACAAACATCACGAACTCAAATACTGTTGTCGGAAAACCATCCACCACCGTCTCTGGTCGCCGGAAAATTGCTCCGCCGTCGCCGGAAAAGTTGACTCTCTCTCTCTCTCTCTCTCTCTCTCAATGGCGCAGGTTGGGGAATTAATGGCGCCCCTCTCTCTGTGGACTGTGGTGGGAAATAATGGCGCCCAGACCAAGTTGCCGGCGGCGCAATTATTGGAACGGAGATGGGAGGCGACGGGAAGAGACGGACGGCTGGGTTAGTTTTTTTTTATTTCTTTTATAATTAAAAATTAAAAATAACTATGCAATTACTACATTGCCCTTCATTAAATTGGATTAATAAGAGCCCTTGGATTTTAATGAGGTGCAATGGTGGAGATTTACTTAGCCATGTGACTAAGGGGGGTCCCCTTAGTCACCAGATCTTAGCCCCATTTTCCGGGAAGCGGAGAGACAGCCCAGCGTCTCAACTCCTGTGCACTTCTCGGATACCGTACTAATTCATTCAATATGGGATTTGATAGTTTAGAACTGGCTGACCGGGTTGAATGGTTTTGGCGGTTAATTGTTCAAACCGTTAACGAGCCGACCAATTCAACCGTAGCGTTTTTTAACTGTTCCGAGCCGGGCTGGTGATCGGGTCCCAGTTTTACCGGTCCGACCGACAGGCTCGGCTCGGTTTTGACAGCACTGCCCATTAGTCATTATCTACCCACATCAATCACTCACACAATGTTTCAGATTATTTGCTGGTGGGTTTATGTCAATCCGTAGATCCACCACCCACTTACCCACCCTAATATTCACAATCCACCTTTACATTGGTTTTTTGTTGAAGATTTTCTTCTTCAAATTTTTTAAAAATCTATAGCAATCTTATTCCAGCATGCTATCAGTTAGTATTGAATTGCTCTAATACCATGTTGAAATAGAAGAGTCAATCACATTACTAGCGATAGCATGTGTATAAGTATATAATTTACAAGAGATCATCATAGAAATGTAGCACATTAGTACACTAAACTACACACCTCTATCATTCAAAACCCCATATCCATGGATTCGCATTATCAGGATTTTGTATTTCATGGAATGTACTCTATTTGCAGCAACCTTACAAACAATTATCATCATATGCATGTGTTGATTGGGCTGCGAAACATAGCAGTCTCTGCCGTTTGCTCTTACAAGGATTATTTGATTTTTGTTTTATGGAGGGAAAATCTTCCCAGGATTTGCTCGAAGTTGTAACAGAACTCCTACCTGTTTATCCATCGGATAAGAAGTGTGTCACGACCCGAGCTCGCCGGTTTAGAGTTCGGTTCATCAGATCAGAAACACAGATGCATTTACCGTACCTAACCGATAAACCTTTTTTACCCGATAACTCATCCCCGCGCTTCGCACGATCTTTTTCCCGATACTGCAAATCAAATCCTTCCCAATTCCGGTAAATGCATCGTCACCCATTCTTATCCGTTCTTCAATTCCCACATTTAAAGTCCCCTCCTTTCTTCCCTTTTCAGGCACCATCGTCCCCCCTCAGTCAAACTCTCTTCTTCTCATTTTCACCCCTGTCGTCCTAAATTACAGTGCAGGAATTGGAGGAGTGTGGCGTGTAGAAGAAGAAAGATATGCGGATAGAGGAGAGCGAGGGCGTCTCTGCGTCGAGGAAGCACCTCGTCTTCGCTTACTACGTCACCGGCCATGGCTTCGGCCATGCCACTCGTGTTGTTGAGGTCCCCTTTCTCTCTCTTTCACTCCCCCAATTCGTTCCCGTCAATTGTGCATATATGGGTTTCCTAATCGGATTGATCAAAGCTAGTGTAAAATGGGGGTTTTGAGCTATGCTAACAGTAGAATTACGGCTGTGATCATGCAATTAATCCAACGATCGATCATGTTACTGTGAGCTTCCCGATTCTGATATGGGTATTCGTGTCTGTGTGTGTGATGGCAGGTAGTGAGGAATTTGATTCTGGCAGGGCATGACGTACACGTGGTGACGGGTGCTCCTGATTTTGTGTTCACTTCAGAGATACAGTCTCCCCGTCTCTTTATCCGCAAGGTAAATAGCTATATCCTGTTTCCCCTTTTGTTGATCTTGTGAAAGATTGCTGCTTTGGAAGTTTCGACTTGTGGGTATTGGGAAGAGCTAATAAAGTTTTGAGCTTTCAGGTACTTCTGGACTGCGGTGCTGTTCAAGCTGATGCATTGACAGTTGATCGGCTTGCTTCCTTGGAGAAGGTAATCATTTTACATCATATAGCTTTGTCTATTAGCTGACTCGTTTGGGACAAGGGTGTTCCTCATTGTGTAATAGATGTTGTTTCTTGTTCTTCCCTTGATTAGATTACTTTTACCTTTTTGTGTGCTTTGATTATTCATTCTTCTTGTTTTGATCCTTTTGGTGTCTTTTGAATGCTGTTTTTAGTATTCAGAGACGGCAGTTAAACCCCGGGAATCTATTTTGGCTACTGAGGTTGAGTGGCTCAATACCATCAAAGCTGACTTAGTGGTACGTCATACTGGTCTGTCTCTCAGTTGTTTCTTCTAGTGCGGCCATTAATTGACATGATTTCTTCGAATTGTAAATGTTATAGCAGAAGGTGAAATGGGGTCTCTGATGTTGGTTTGGGTTGGTACTGCAGGTTTCAGATGTTGTTCCAGTTGCTTGTCGTGCTGCAGCTGAAGCTGGTATTCGATCTGTTTGTGTGACCAACTTTAGGTACTTGTCATTACTGTTTACTATTTTGGTGGGTTGATCGTTTTTTGAACTCCCTATCCGGGGAAGGAATTGTGTTGGCAAGCCAAGCCCTTTTGTTCTTAACTTATTAAGCTGAAGCACCCTGGGTCATATTCAAGTGTTACATGCAGTTCAGTTATTTTTGTTGGGTCCTTACTGTATATGCATGTATGCCCTGATGGATTTTCGAAGTCGCAAAACAGTTCTTATTCATGATTTAAATAATTTTTCATGATGAATTTGTCATGTCATATTGACGAGTCTGTATATTTTGAGCTTATCAATCTTACACTTACCCTGTCATTTTGTAAATGTTTGCTGAAAACACAAGAAAATTTGCTCAAGTTTTGCTATGGCTGCAGTTGGGATTTCATATATGCGGAGTATGTGATGGCGGCTGGGAATCATCACCGTTCAATAGTTTGGCAGGTGGTTTTCTTTTTCCCTGCATGAGATTGTTGCTAAAATTTACTTTTAGGCAGTTTACTTGGCAATTTGTATGCACGATTATCTGGGTCGGTCCTGATCTGGTATGAAGAATGTGCACCAGGACAAGGCCATTAGTACCTTTGATGTTAGCTGATCGAAGTGCTTGTAAACCTTCCCTATTTGCATGTTGAACTTTATCTTTTGGAACTCAAAACCTTTATGTTTCCTTTTGTTCTACTGTATTATCTCAAGGTGTACAGAACTAAGCTAACTAATCAACCCTTTTCCAATTTCATGTAGATTGCAGAGGACTATTCTCATTGCGAGTTCCTGATCCGTCTCCCTGGATATTGCCCCAGTATGTTACTTATCGTTTAGCATCAATTTGAAGACTTGGAAAAGGTTAACTTTGGTTGTAAGATTGCTAACTTCATGTTTTCTCTCTTTGCAGTGCCAGCATTCCGTGATGTCATTGATGTACCCCTCGTTGTCAGGAGGTTGCACAAGTCCCGCAAAGAGGTTCATACTGTGCCAATGATAAACTCTTTCATCTTATATGTAATGATTTATTCAGATCCTTGTTGGTGCTTTTGTTACAGATAAGAAAAGAACTTGCCATTGGAGAGGATGTCAAAGTTGTTATCCTTAACTTTGGTGGACAGGTAAGGATACAATTATCATACAACATTAATTGGTTGATTTCTATTTTTACTGCCTCTCTGCTCCCCTGTTTAGCACCAACACAGAAGAATAATCCACCAAGACATGTAATTGCCCTGAATTACCTTGTTTTGCTATTGTGTCTAACTTTGAAGTACTTTTGCTGTTTTGCAGCCGTCTGGCTGGAGGCTGAAGGAGGAGTTTTTGCCTCCTGGTTGGTTGTGCCTGGTAACTATTATAGCAATTTCTAGGCGATAAACAGATTATGTTCTTATATCTTAGAAGCATGTTTCACTGATGCTACTTTCTCCGCCTTTTCTCCCCTTGGTTGATCTAGGTTTGTGGTGCATCTGATACCCAAGAACTTCCGCCAAATTTCATAAAACTCGCAAAAGATGCCTACACGCCTGATGTTATGGCGGCATCAGACTGCATGCTAGGTCTGTATGAGATACTTTGATAACTGAACTGCATTAAGCGATCATGGTTCTCACTTCTTAGTGATTATGTTTTCGTTCCAGGGAAGATTGGGTATGGTACCGTTAGCGAAGCCTTGGCCTACAAGTTACCATTTGTGTTTGTACGGAGAGATTATTTTAATGAAGAGCCCTTCTTACGGAATATGCTTGAGGTTCGTTTCTGTTCATCCCCATAATTGTTACCTGTCGATTGATAATTTCTTCCGCTGTATCTTTTCTTATTGTACTACTTACTTCTTATGATTATAATTCAAGCAAATTATGTGAACAGTATTATCAGGGTGGTGTTGAGATGATTCGTAGGGATTTACTTACTGGTCACTGGAAGCCTTACCTTGAACGTGCAATCAGCTTAAAACCATGTTATGAGGGCGGGATTAATGGTGGTGAGGTATTGTACTCTTTTCCTCTGCTTTGCTCAAAATAAATATATCATACTGCCACTTTACTGGCTGGCTCTGTTCAGAATATGAGAACTGTCTTTAGAGAACTAGTTGATGCAAAGAAGAGAATGGGGTATCTGATGTATTTTTCTAGACTGAAATTAGTAGACACATGCTGCATCGTTTTCCTTTTACTAGGGGTACAAAGACACGATATAGAGTTTAGTAGATTTAAGTCATTATATTTACTATGGTTGAACTTATTGAATGTTTAACTATGACTAAGAGTGTTTTCCTTGTTGTAAATGCAAGAGTGATATCCTTCCTTCAATATTTATGTCTATTCACCTCCTGAACTTTATGCAGACATTGATATATTGCTTGCTGATACATACAATCTGAAAATTGCAGGTTGCAGCTCATATTATACAAGAGACAGCTATTGGGAAGAACTATGCCTCAGATAAGGTACATTGCCGGCTAGTTTAATTTATTGAACTGAAAATTGATCTTATCAGCCGTCCTTTCAATACACATCTCTAACACGTTATGAACAAAAGTAAGAGCCTATTGATTTTATCCCAAACATGAATAAAAGATGATGAAATGAGAGAGCAGTGGGCAGGTGAGGATGATGAATAAATTATGGAGCATTCTTAATGCTTTCTGAATATACGAGGCTTCTTGGGTGTGTTGCACTTAATTACCTGGCTGTTATCTCATTCTCACGTGTCAGACTAGATGTACCTCCATGCATGAACTGAAAACGTCTGTTTCCAGCATTTCAACATTTTTTAATGTACTTTTCTTTGAATTTTCCACGTCGATATGTAGCTCAGTGGTGCAAGAAGATTACGGGATGCAATAGTTCTTGGATATCAGCTACAAAGGGTCCCCGGAAGGGATATACTTGTCCCAGAATGGTATGCAAATGCTGCAACTGAACTTAGTAAGTCTACAGGTTCACTAACTGTTCAAGCAGTAGAGGGCGGACCTTTAATGAGCTCGTGAGTTATCCTACTTCTTTTCAACTTTATTAAGCTTTATGCATTTTATAATTGTTATCTAATACTCTGATTCTTTCAGATATATAGAAGATTTTGAAATTCTTCATGGTGACCTTCAAGGCCTGCCAGATACAATGAGCTTCTTGAAGAGCATGGCAGAGCTAGATGCTATAAATGAATATGAAAAGAATTCAGAGAAACGCCAAATGCGGGAACGTAAAGCTGCTGCAGGACTTTTCATTTGGGAGGTCCTTATTCAAACAAAATTTATTTCCCTGTTATCTTACCTTATCCTGGAGTGTTGGCTATATTGTACTGTTTTGTTATGAACGGATCAAGTTGTGTCCTCCTCATGTGCAATTTAAACGTCCGTTGTTTCAAGCAGGAAGATATCTATGTGGCAAGAGCTCCCGGGAGGTTGGATGTGATGGGAGGAATAGCTGACTATTCAGGAAGCCTTGTCTTGCAGGTTGGATTTCTAGTTCACAGTTTAACCTTGTGAAAAAATGAAATGCTTCTAGTTATCGTAGAACTTTTGTTTGGTATTAGATGCAGTTTCCAATTTTGTGCCTTCTCTAGCTTCTATGCACATATTTACTTTTTCATGTTCTTGCTCCCAACTACTCGGGCGACTGAATGTTGTTTCCAAATGCCTGATGCTTCTTGTGAAATGGCTTCCTTTATTTCTGTTTCTTCTTGCAGTTGCCTACAAGAGAAGCTTGTCATGTTGCTGTACAAAGGAATGATCCTAGCAAACATAAGCTCTGGAAACATGCCCAGGCAAGGCAAAATGCAAAGGGCCAAGGACCTACCCCTGTTCTTCAGATTGTAAGTTGTGGCCTAAAGCTCTATTCTTCCATGTTTCTCCACTCATCCTTCCCAAGCCAACTTATGCCACTTATTACTAACTTATGCCAATCAAACAGAAGAACAAAGGCAAACAGAAATCACTATAGGAGTACGTTAGTTTATACATACTCTTTTAAGTACCACTCTTATGTTCATATCTTTTATCAGGTGTCTTATGGGTCTGAGTTAAGCAATCGCAGCCCAACCTTTGACATGGACTTATCTGATTTCCTTGAAGATGGGAAGCCAATGGCGTATGAGAAGGCAAATAAATACTTTGCTCAAGATCCCTCACAAAAGTGGGTTGCTCTTTTCTATTTTGGTGATACCTGTTTATGATTTATACATCTTACAGATTATGTTCCTTTTCAGGTGGGCAGCATATGTTGCAGGGACCATTTTGGTTTTGATGAAAGAACTAGGTGTGCGGTTTGAAGATAGCATAAGCATGCTGGTATAATCTTAAGCTCTGAATTGGTGAATGTTTTCCTGTTTTGTGCCAACTTTTAGCTGCAACGCTGTCTGATTCTAAGCTTAGCTTCTTCATTATTCCCTCCTGAAAGTTAGTTTGAAGCTCGACAACTTTCTTCTAGTAGGCTATAATTTGATGACTTTCACTATGTTGCCAGAATAGATAACAAGTACACATGGAATTTATTTCAGTACGACATTTCATACAAGGCATGGCTAATGGAAGACCTAATGATCCAATGAGTCACATTTAGATCTTAATTCGTTTGGGATCAGTATTCATTCTCATTATCATATCTGATGTTGTACATTCCATCAGTTACGAAATTCATAAAAGCAAGTTTTCCGTGTACCAATCTGCAGGTTTCTTCTGCTGTCCCTGAAGGCAAAGGTGTCTCTTCTTCTGCCTCTGTGGAAGTGGCAAGCATGTCTGCCATTGCTGCTGCTCATGGTAATTTGTTATTCTTAATCTTCACGTACATGATTTTTGTGCTAAAATGCTTATGTATGTTTTCTTTTTCTCGCTATTACTCCTACATGCATGATAGACCTTAGGAGCATTGCTAATACAATTCAACTTTGAAATATGTAGGATTGAGCATCAGCCCAAGAGATATTGCGCTTCTCAGCCAAAAGGTTAGCTATTGTGCATTCACATAAATCCCTGTTCCACAGAGTCAGATATTCTCTCAGAGTTATTTAGATCCAAAATCTTTGAACAGGTGGAGAACCATATAGTTGGAGCCCCTTGTGGTGTAATGGATCAGATGACTTCGGCATGTGGTGAGGCTGACAAGCTTCTGGCGATGGTTTGCCAGGTATGCTAATCCCTCAGTTAATGAGCTGAGTCTCCTTCATGAAGGTGCTTTCTCGAATCTTGACTGTACAGTATTTTTTTTTTGCAGCCTGCTGAGGTGATTGGGCTAGTCGAAATTCCTAGCCATATTCGTTTCTGGGGCATTGATTCCGGAATACGTCACAGGTAACTTGTCTTGCACACTACCTTCAGATATATGTGTTCCTTTCTATGCCTTACCTTTGTTTTCGATTTCTTGTATTCATGATGTAGTTCTGTCCGTCCTGAAAACTTTAATTAAGTAGAAAATGCTCAATGTCTGATACTATGGAATCAATCCCTGCAGCCTTTCCTATGGAAATAAAACTCGGCTTCTCTTATTTTGGCAGTGTCGGTGGTGCGGACTATGGATCTGTGAGAATTGGGGCCTTCATGGGTCGGAAGATCATAAAATCCTTAGCATCTGATGTGGTGTCTAAATCATCTGACTTCAGTAACGGGTTCATCCATGACGAGCTGGAAGATGACGGTGTGGCACTACTAGAAGCTGAAGCATCACTAGACTACTTATGCAACTTGACACCACACAGGTCTGTGGACCGATTAGTCCTTATTACTTAGCATTTTAAAACAGAACAGAACCATTGACTTTTCATTATTTCGGGCAGTCCCTATATGATTTCTCCATCTTGACTCTGCAGATTTGAAGCCCTATATGCAAAGATGCTTCCCGAGACGCTGCTGGGTCAAGAATTCCTGGACAGGTACATTGATCACAGCGATCCCGTTACAGTGATTGATACGAACAGGAAATATGTGGTGAGAGCGCCAGCGACACATCCCATCTACGAGAATTTCCGAGTGAAGGTCAGTTATTAGCTCGCTCTTTTTCGCAAATATTTGCAAGAAATTGCTGTCACTACAGTTCAGTCTTCTGTAACCCCAAATCATTTTGCTATACCAGAACTTCAAAGCATTGCTTACCTCTGCTACTTCGGATGACCAACTCACGGCTCTAGGAGAATTACTGTATCAGGTATTTGATTTCTCAACAGTTGCTTTGTTACGTGGATAAAAGGGTCCCCAGAAAGAAGAAAGAAAATCAGTTAAACACTAATGGCATGTGGAACTTTGAACTGTTTTGCAGTGTCATTACAGCTACAGTGCGTGCGGGCTAGGCACTGATGGAACAGATAGGCTTGTAAGGATGGTCCAAGAAATGCAGCACAGTTCCAAGTCGAAATCTGAAGGTGGGACTTTATATGGAGCCAAAATCACCGGTGGCGGCTCTGGTGGCACCGTTTGTGTTATTGGTAGGAACTCCTTGTGCAGCAGCCAACAAATTCTAGAGGTATGTATATATGTGTCCAGTACGAGAGTAGTAGCATAGTCTATAAGAGTGCTTTTTTCAATATATTTCTCCATAGAGGAACTGACTGAGTTATTACCACCTGATGGATTCTCTCCCACGTTTGTCTCATCAGGTTCAGCAGAAGTACAAAGTAGCAACCGGGTATTTGCCATTTATTTTTGAGGGGTCATCTCCTGGAGCTGGGAAGTTCGGGTACCTGCGAATTCGTCGACGGTAGCTCACCACGCCTTTCCCACTGATGACATTTATTTCTGCTGCTCCATATAGTTAGCTGCCACCAGTCGAGTGTCGCGAATTCTTCACACGATGATGACGACGAAATGGCATTCTGGTCACTAGATATAGCATAGTTATAGACTTATAGCTTAGTTAGTTGAGCAATAGGATTACCAGGTAGCAATTAAGCCCTCTCTCAGAAGAGAGGATTCAATAAGTTGAGAAGGATGAACAAATCCTTGTTATACAAGTTCGTGCATTTAACGTTAAAACGTGTTTGGCGTTGGTTCATCAAAGGGTACTCTATAGTATTACGAAATCTTGCACAAGTATTGACAATTCCATACCAGCTTGATCATTGTTACATGGTTTAACCGGTAAGGTCTTACAATACAAATGCTGGTTATTTGTACTAAACCGATAGCAGTGTACCAAATTGGGATAGTTCATCCATGACATCCATCTCATCAAAGGCCTTGTGATGGGTAAACATGTGCTATAGAAAGTTTCTCTTTTGAATCAGGTGGTTGCAGACTGCAGCTCTTTAATGAACCTGACAGTCATCTCCAGAAACTCGCTCATGTGCAATCTCCTCCACTCCTACCAGGCAAAACCCAGAAATGAGTTTTCGGTCAACATCGATTCCACGTAGACAATGATGAACTACCTTAAATATTGGTTACCTCAACATCCCACTCTCCATACAAGTCAGGATCGTCTTTGTTCAGCCAAATGTAGGTATTCACTTCTAGCTTCTTTTCCTGTCATGAAAAAAACGTCAGTTAACTACAGAGAGAGGCAGGGCTGGTGAAGCAAGTAAATCAGATGAGATCACTGCATTGTTCTTTACCGGGAGCGAAACTTCAAGGACGAGACGCTCGTACTGATCTTCGAACGCATCAAACACTCGCAGTTCAGGATCTGTGATTCCAAACAGGACCCTCCCTGGAACTTGAACTTCCTTGTCTCCTACTACCGGTAAAATGGCAGGGTAGACTTTTTCTCTTATGCTAAACCTGTGACTGCCCACATTCATCAAATTCACCATCAGAGTTCAGAATCATACCAAACAGGGGAAGGGAAAAGCAAAGTAAAGTAACACACTAGCCGTAGAGAATGGCGGGAGAGGATGGAGGGACGCGCTTCAGTAGGATGCTAACAACTTCATCGGCCATCAGGCTTCCGTAAACGAACACCTTGTGACCATCATTGCTTCCACCATCCATAGCCACAGCTGCTGGAGTTGCAGGCTCTGAAATGTCAACGGAAGAGTTATCAAATATCTCCTCCACAAGTTGCAGAGGGCGAGAGCTCTGTACGTACAATCAACGGTTCAGATTTTGGGGCAGTTTGGTTATGAAGGAAATCGCGTTACCATTCATTATTGGGGAGGTGAATCCATCTTTTGATGCAATCCTGGTCTTAGAGTCAGGCTGCTGCACTTCTTCCATGAATTCTGCTGTCATCTTCACAAAATCACTCATGTGTGATTTCTTCCACTCCTTCCCACCCACCAAAACAAGTAAAGGTCAAAAGAAGCTTCAAACTATATGAAGCCTTTCCCATTCAAGCGCCAAACTCAATGGGAGAAAGAAACAAAGAGTTAGTACCTCAAAATCCCACTCTCCATACAATTCAGGATCATCTTTGTTCCCCCAGACATAGGCATTCACTTGTACCTTCTGCTCCTCCTACAAAAAATACAAAAACAAAAAGACTCCATTTTTAAGGAAAGGGAAATGAATGATAACCAAATGGAAGATGGGGTTTTAAAAAAGAAACCAACTTTCGAAAAAACGATCATCACTGTGTTTTACCGGGAGTGAAACTTCAACAGTGTGACGCTCATACTCAACAGCCTCAAACGTATCCAGGATTTCAAGCTCAGGCTGGGTGATCTCACACAGGACTCTACCTTCAACGCTCTTGTCCTCCATGGGTATAATGGCAGGATAAACCCGCCCCTTGATGCCACACCTGTGACTGTCAGAGGCAAATCATCAAACAGCTGGTCTGCAACACTTTCTGATTTGGAGAAAACAGGGGAGAAACAGAGGGCAGAGAAACAGAGGAACATACTAGTTGTTGAGGATGGCGGAGGAGGATTGAGGCACGCGGTTCAGCAGGACGTGAACAACTTCATCGGCCATTAGGCTGCCGTAGACGAACACCATGTGAGCATCCATGGCTGCTGCTGCTGCTACAGAACCCATCTTCCTTCTTCCTTCAGTACTCTGCCTCTCCAAAAGCTTGGTTCGCTTTCGAATTAGTTGAGAGATTGGGCTACGTCCAGAGGCTGGCTGCCACCTTATTTAAACCATTAGTGGCTAATTATTGAGACGTGGATCACGTTACCTTTACATGAAAATGACGAAAATAGTCATTGATTAGCAAAAAAAAAAAAAAAGGAACTAGTAGGTAAATTGGGTACGTATAGCGCGATAAAGCGATAAAAGATATCGAATTCATCGGGATTAGTTTCGATTAATAAAATTTAATCGTCTGATCTCTCATTCCTTACTGTTGCTTCAATAGGGTTATTATAAGGATATGTCGGTATTTAATCTCCAAAATTTCCAGCTAAGTACACATTGGAGACAACATGTCGATAGCTTGGAAGTTAATCAATTTAGGGCTTTCTAAATAACGTACCGTTTAAGCAAACAACCATGATTAGCACGCTCCCATGCACACTTACGTAGACCAAGGAAAGGAAATCTTTTCACACACAAAAAGAAGGAAAGGGAATAGACAAATACTGTTTATTTAAATCAAGTCGTGACAAGAAGGTAATTATAAAGGAAATGCATAGAACAAAGCGCACACAGAGACAGAATGCCATACATGAACCACTAACGTTATTAAATTTGAATTGGATGATTTGTCCCACCTTATCTCATTATCATATTAATTTGGATTTAGAGATGGTAATAGGTCGGATAGATATTAACTATCCATTACTCTATTTTAACCCGTTCTGATTTTATTATATCCATACTTATTCAAATTTCGATAGTATAATTATATTCATATTCGATTCGGTTTCGGGTAGGGGTGGACCCAAGTTGAGGGCTAAAATTTGGAAGAAAAATTAACCAACCATAGGTAGTAGTTTGAGTATGAAAAAAAGTACATAAATGATAGTATATGTGATTCGGATCTATAACACAGTAGTTATTAGTGAACATCTTTCCTATTTTGTTACACTTCCTTTGTTGTTATAATTTTTTCATAAATGTAATTATCAACGTGTAACCCAACCCTTATCCTTAATTTTTTCAAAGTCTAAAACTAAACCCACGAACTAGCCCTTGTCTTCATCGTATTCTAACACATGATTTTATCCTAAGGAGTTTGGTCACCTTTCTTATTCTTTTCTTCTACAGGATTTTGAGAATTATTATCATTGTGTTAAAAATGATGAGACGATGATAGCTACGAAATGTGCCGAGCCTATGTCCTTCCCAATCTAAGGGACAGTGTAGAGCGAACTTACCAGATTCTTCCCGATCCTTTCGGGGGAGGCTTTCTAAATTCCTATTATACCTATTTCGTTATTTTGTGGATCAAAAGGAACCGATGAATTATCTGAGTTGATGACGAAGACTAAATTGAATCTATCATATCCATGGGTCTATTTGTTCCTCAAAGTTGTATTGATTTTATCGGTTGCAACTCCAAATGTTGTTAGAGCTTTTTCAGCTCTGGGTTACATCAATAAAAGTTTCAAAATCGAATAGACTATCAGTTTGTGAGTGATTGTCTAGTAAAATATATTAAATTAGATTTGTTGAGCAATGCAGACATTTAGTGTATTTTACAATTTTTTTCCAAAATATGATAACAAGTCTTGAACTTTCGTGTCATTAATCACAACTATTGTATCACTAATCACAAGTATATTAACATTAGTGGAAAATTATAAAACATTACATAAGTGGAAAATTATAAATAACAAATCACTCATACAAAAAGGAATAATAAAAAAGGAACACTAGTTCATGAGACGCTATATGCCTATATGTATACTATAATGATTCATACAAAACATTGTATATGCATGTATAATCTAGCATGTTCGTATTGGATAGTAAGAAAACCATACTCACTCATTAATCGTAATTATTCGGGTTCGTACCCATACTACTAGATATTTTATTTAATCCATATCTTATCCTATTCAATTGAATTCGAACAACTATCCATAATTATGACTATTGAACCACCCACCAAACTAAACACAGTGTGGTGGCTTTCTCTTCGTTCGTTCGTTCATTCGTTCATCACTGACATCCTTTCATTTTCTTATTTGTGCATATTCAGCTTTGTGGATCCAAGTCCCAATATTGTATGCTCCAATTATTGAACCAGCTCAGCTCCAATTCATGACTGTGTCTTCCATTCACGTTGAAAGTAGAAGCCAATGCAAGTCTACCTTTTATGATTCATTAAGCTCCAGTTATTGCTCTCTTATTCATTTAGCCAAAGACTGCAACTTTTATGCGTTCTAGTGCCTTGTTCTCCGTGACATCAGGTCCCATACACGCATTCTAGGACTTAACTTAAGATACAAGCATTCTAGGTCGAATCAGAGTAGGTAAAATATATGCAAATTGTACTCTCTATCACATACACGTCACCATCGATATGGTGGTTAACAAAAATCAATCGAAGACAATTCTAGATTAGACAGAGAAATGACATTGCATGCAGGTCATTCGATCAGTGATCTCGAGGCCACAGGAAATTCAACACCGCCACATAGAGAAAACACCATTCGAAGGTGTCACAGAACAGCAAACATGCTCATAAACTATAAGACTTGCACATCATCTTACAGTAAATGAAGTGTGTTCATATACGCCATATTGATGTACCAAACCGATTATATCAACTACCTAGCGCCCGAGAGGACTGCAGCGGACGCTGTAAGGACGTCTTTACAGATGGTGTTGCAAGCACCGGATACCAGGGCCAATGTTGAAGGACCATTTCTTATATGGTTAACAGTTGGATGTGACGAGGGATGAAGTAAATCAATCCAACAGAGTAAAACAGAAGATCTGAAGTAATTCACTAACAACCGTAAAAGAGCCAAAACAGTACATTACAAATGCAGCAGCTCATCAGGATATTCATAAACCCAGAACCTTTTTTAGAAATGGAAGGAGTACATAGAACCAAACCAACTGATACTGAAAGGGGTTTTCGGGCATAACTACGAAATGCCAACAGCATCTACCAACGTCATACCTTCCTTCAGATGTTCATTGGCTCAGGGCTTTGTCCTTGTGCATTGAGTATATCCAGTAACGAGTTCTGTGCCTCCAACTCTTCATGCCACAGAGGTAGAGTGTCACCAGGGTAGAAGTTTCTCGTCACTCCATCAGAGTTGATCTACCCAAAAGAAGGGAAACCAAAGGGGTTTTTCAGTTGCATTCTTATGAACAAACTCAAACTATAAAGAGCTCTGAAGCCAGATACTTACAACTACAGTGCGAACGACACCACCGCTTGCGCCATCTCTTGCTATGGCAAGGGAAACTGCCTTCACCACTAATTGCTGCATGCACCAAAGCAGAAGGAAGAATAAAAACATTGCTGATATTATCGATTCGTCCCCATTATGGGAGGCAGGAGGGTTCTTTAACAGTCTGTTACCTCAGCTTCCTCTTTGGTCATGCCTTCTTTCCAAACTTGATCAAAGAACCCATATAAGTAACTGGAGCCAGATCCTACAAAATATCATTCATTATCTTCCCATTGCCTACAACTATCACGATAATACATTCCTACTTCTTTAATATGATAACATTAATGAGACCTGCCAACCATGGTTATAGTCGGTTTAATCCTTGCTCGATTCCCTACTTCATCCAGACTAGTTTGTCCTCTTACTCAACCCAATATTCATAACTTTAGAAGTGTAACATCTTATTATGTGTACCAAAACCCAAAAGAATTGAAGAGGCGGAATACATAGGCAAATGACGAAAGAAGCATACACACAGTAAAAGCTTAAGAAAGTGTTGCCTAGGCTACAATTTAATCGACCTAATTATGGTTACCCATGAAAAATCTTATCAGACCATTCATAAATGGAACATGAATAGAAGCCGAAACAAGAAGATATGCACATCATTCTCCACGCAGATAACTACAAAAAGAAGTACCTCCAATAGCAAAGGGTGCCTCTACCAATGTTCCACCAAGAGGAACTCCATAAATTTTCCCGCCTTCATACTTGTCCCATCCACCAATAATGAGACCAGTTTGTAGCATGTTCTGGAAGTCGAGAGAAAACATGAAGTCAAAGTTAGTACCCAAAGAAAAATAGGTAAAGCAACAAGCAGCTCTCTACCTACCAGAACACTCTACTTCGTAACCAGATTTTCCCCCCATCTCCTCTCAGAGAACCCTTTTTTCACTAGATACTTTATAGCAGGAAAGACAACTCGAAACCAACCTTATTGCCATAAGATATTAATCGGACAAGGTTTGCAGCAACTTTCACTGTTGCAGGCTGTCCCAGTTGTATTCTGCAAAAGAAATGAAACATAGTAGATAAGACTTCTAAAAGATAACCTTAACAAGGACTGAAAGCTGCCTGCTTCTACATTGGCAAACAGAAACAACTACATATGAAATAAGAAATCTCCCCAGAATATCATCACGTTTAGGCATCGAATGGAGTATCTGTCAACAACTATGATGCACATAATCCAACAAAGCTTTACCCTGCTAAATATGAACCAGCATCCTGGTGTAGATAATGCAGCCACACAATGGCAAGCAGTGGTTTTTCTTATCCCTGATAACTATAGGGTTTCGCCCGAGTTCTAAAATTTGTCAGTAATTGTTGGTTCTTGGGAGCTGAATGCAGAACCATACGGACAATATTTTCAAGAGGGTAGTTTTTCTATATCACTAGTTCCTAACTCTGGTTATTCTTTCTAACATGTAGTCTCGAGCATATGACGGAGGAACTGGTTCACAAACCCCCAGTCACATAACAGTGATAAGCTAAGCCCCGATATTTTCATAATGGGTTAAAATAGACGAAGGCACAAGAATGTAAGCAAAGCATCATAAGGCAGGTCAACTCACGTGTGTTGATGCAAGAAGTATCGTACATAGTCAGAAACAATCTGGGAATCAGCAGCCTGCATCATAGGAGAACATGATCATAAATTCCGAAGCCCACAAACAGCTTTGAGAGGATCATTAAGAGTAATGCAATTGATGCCTGAGCTGAAATTGGAGAGCAAATGCCCCAGAACAAACTATTCCAAGCATCTACGCCAAAGTTCAACAAGCACTAGTGTTCACAATAATTGCAAAAGCTGCCATTAGTACCGATCCAGAACGACAAACGTAGACGTTGTCGGTGAGCTGGGTAATCTTGTCCGAAGCCCTGTTAGCGACGTACATTCCTACAATTTGCAGACACCGAAATTAGTCAGAACCAAAACCCTAAAATCGCATAATTCTTTGATCGAGTCCATACCCAACAAAAATGTCCTCTCTTTTCACTATCAAATCAACATTAGCGACCTCCTCAGTTCTATGAATGAACGAGAAACCCCAACACTAATAAATTTAGCAGGACGAGTTCTGTGCTTAACCTACCGGTGCTGGTACGGGAATCTGCACCGAGGATAACGCCGCCGTTGTAAGTGACGCCGATGATGGTGGTGCCCATCGAGTGGGGAGCATTCAGATCCTGGAGAGTCGTATCCATTGTAGCAAATCCTAGCGACGATAAGCGGGAAGGGATATTTTCGATTGATGGAAGTAAATAAGCTTTCGGGCTCGACGATACTGAGTTTCTGATTTATATTTTTAGACCTAATGCTTCGTAGAGAACAAGTAAGAGATTAAAAGTTCAATTTCCATTTTCCATTTTTCCTTTGAGCGTTAAATGCCAAATTTAACCCCTAAACTTTACATTTTATCAAAATGACCCTTGAACTATGATTTATCCTTAATTGGCCCTTGAACTTGTTGACGATTCCTGAACGAGCCCTTTTCTATTTTTCTGTAAACCATATAGAAGAAAATTACATATTTCCTCTTAGGGAAGAAAGGTTGTACTAGAAGAAGAAATCGATTACAAAGACTTGGTGTCAGAAAAGACGATTACGTGATGCTCCACGAGAGCTTCATCGAGACCCAACATGACCTACTCAAAGTTAACATCGTTGAATGGTGCCCTCGTGCCCCAAATATGGCCACATTGTTGGTTATGTGCCGTAAAATCGTAAATGATGATTGTAGTAATACGTATAAATCTTCTTCATCAACGTAAAACATATTTATGGCAATTCAAACAATATGATTTGCTTGTGTTCTCTGTCATGAACAAATGATTTCAAAAGAAAAGTATAGAGCCTCAACGTTCCTAACATGAGAATCAAGGTTGACATAATGCGCCTTGAATTAGCTTGTGAGTAAAATTCATTTCTTCAACTATTATGCCACAAGTACAACAAGAATTCTACATATCAAAGGACCCAGAACGACGTTGCAAGCCTGCTTGCTTTCCCTGTGCTCTACTACCAAAATTGCTGAGGGAGGAACTCTTCTGCCTTAAAGAAGTGTGTTCGCTTCAGTCGGATGGTCCAATCATCTTCTCAGGTACAACCAGCTGATCGAACTCATCGCCGGTCAGAACTGCCAATTTCAGTGCAGCTTCCTGCAGACATCATTACCGGTATATATGTTCAAGTTCCCTCATGTCATTGGGGAAAACACACACAAAACAGAACGCCACCAGCCCTTTCTTGTAACCAATGGAAAGAAATAAAGAATCACACAAGGAGTTCGGAGAAGGAGTAGTAACCTTCAAAGTAAGTCCTTCCTTGTGAGCAAGCTTAGCAAGTGCAGCGGCATTGTCATACCCAATTTTCTACGGCGAAATCAACAGTGCAACAAGATCAGCAATCAGCAGGTTAAGAAAGTGAAGGCTGAGTTTTAAATGATATTATTATTCGAATGGATCGAGAGAACTTACGGGATTCAGGGATGTCACGAGCATTAGTGACTGAAAAAGGCCGACAAAAGAAAAATCCATCAGGGTTCATTAGCCATTGCAGTCCAATACTTATAGGTAGTTTCTACTATTCATTCCAATTACTTACCTCGTGCAGCAACTTGGAAATTCTTTCCTTGTTAGCTTGAATTCCCTTCACGCAGTTCTTTTCAAACGAAGCAGATGCATCTCCAAGCAATCTTACCGACTGTTTCACAGGTTTTTGAACAGGACAATGCACTGAGTATGCAATACATCTTGGTTTTATAGATACTTGGCACAAAGGAACAAGATAATTTGAGGAACATAACATACATGAAGGAGGTTACTAGCAATCATAGGCTTGAATACATTCAACTCAAAGTGGCCATTTGATCCACCAACAGTTAAGGCCACATGGTTCCCCATAACCTGTATGGATATAACAATCATGTGACTGGAGAGAATATACATAATCACAACCTGGATCATATTGTCAGAAGTACGAAGATGAACAACAATAATTAAGGAAGAAGCTCTGCAGCTAAAGATGAAAAAGAAAACAAAAACAGAATTTACCTGAGCACAGACCATAGTAAGTGCCTCACATTGAGTGGGATTAACCTTCCCCTGCAATAAGTCGAACCATAATGAGTGAAAACCGTCAATCCAACTTCATCCGTCAACAAAAACATTTGTGTATGAAAATATCTTAAAATATATATATATACCGGCATGATACTGCTACCAGGCTCATTTTCTGGAAGAGTAAGTTCGCCAAGCCCACATCTTGGACCGCTGATCAAATGAAACGATAAAAGAACTTCATGAAAATGTGGGAAGAAATTCAGAGACAGAGGGGTTTATTCTCTAGATATTGTATATTCACCTTCCTAGGAAGCGTATATCATTGGCAATCTTCATCAATGAAGTAGCAATGGTGTTGAGAGCTCCACTACATTCAACAAAAGCATCATGTGCAGCCTAACAAGTTTCAAGTCTTTTCAGCAAAGCATAGTTGTTCTCTCCCCAGCGTAATGTAGCACAAACATTAACGAATGGAAAATCACATAGTCTTTAATATAAGCAACAAAACTAAAACTAACCAGAGCTTCAAATTTGTTCTCTGCTGTAACAAATGGTAGTCTAGTTTCTTCAGCTACAGCTTGAGCAATCTTTGCATCAAACCTATAGGTCCATAAAGAACAGATCCATCAAAAGGCCAATGAATGCCCTGTGAACCATTTAGATCAGACTATAAAAGTTTAAGGTCCCTTTTGAAACATGATTATTCAAGAAAAAAGCTAATGTAACCTGAGGGAAGTCAACTACAAATAAGGAATTGCCCGAAATAAAATGGCGCATTCCCGAGCCATGATTGCATCAAAAGATATTCCATATTTCATTACAATATATTTTAAAAAAAAGTATAATAAGAGCATCATACATGGATCTTAACCTTCTTTTCGTGTTCAATTATCTAATAAGGTATATGTAATAGTAATGTTAAACTACATGTAAACAGAGTGGATCTTTACCTTCTTTTGGAATTCGTTTATCTAATAAGGTGTATGTAATAGTAATGTTAAACTACATGCAAACAGAGCTCTAGTGATGAAAACAGTCAGACGCATGCAAACACTAGCAAAGAGCACTTGCAAGGGCCCAAAAGCACAGAGAAGATATCTTACCCTTTCTTGGTGTTCAAGCCAGTTCCAACTGCGGTTCCACCTTGAGCAAGCTGCATTCAACATTCCCAAGTTGTCAATTCATCTATGGAACAGGGGAATGGGAAAAACAGAATTGTGAATACATATGTGGAACAGAAGCCAACCTGATACATGCGGGGTAGAGTGCAAGTGACACGATCAATTCCATATTGCAACTGGAAACAACACAAAAGGATGAGGAAAGGACAACTTATTACGAAAAAGTTGAAGACAAAAAGAAAAGTGATGATGGATCTCACTTGGGTGCTATAGCCACTAAACTCTTGACCAAGCGTCAATGGGGTTGCATCTTGAGTATGAGTACGCCCAATCTTAACGATATCCTTGAATTCAATAGACTGAGGCAGAAGAAGATACACAAAGTGACTCAAAAGTTGAGCAGTAGCCAATTAGTCGTAACATTCATGTTGAAAGCATAAAGATGTACTACTGAGAATGCAGCCTATGAAGTTGAAACAAACACATGGATACCAGAAAGATTTTTCACATGGAAAAACCAGAGATAATGCAGGAAAACTAAGAGATAGGCAGCTGGAACAGTTAAACTTGAAGACAACAGTTACCTTTGTATGTACAGTAGCATACAAAGTCTTCAAATTTGGCAACAATCTTGAGTTTATTTCCATTGCAGATGCTATGTGCATCACCTACAAATATAAGAGATGACCAACATGAAAAAAGGAGCAATTTTAATTTCAACATGGAAAATACACATAAAGAGCATAAAGTAAAACATATTAGTGAGTTAAGTAGAAGATTAAATAGTGAATTGTGCTTACAGTTGGAAAAGTGTCATTGGAAGATTGTGATCTATTAACATGGTCATTTGGGTGCACATACTTCTCACCACGCTTATGGCCAAGGATTTCAGCAGCTCTATTGGCAATAACCTGGTAATTGGTAAATGTGTAATGAACATGATCAACTGATAGGGAAAAAACTCGAAGCAGATCAATTAACTTCATAATGATAATACACATTCAACCATCTTCACCATGAATAAACTCGGTAGAGCTATATGTTCTGTGTCTGGTTTAAGAGCATCAGATTCCCTTCACATTTTAGCACTAATCTGATGGCCACTGACTAATAATGGTCAAAATGTCGACGAATGAGAAGTAAATTGAAAACTTTGCTGACTATACTAGATCAACAGAGCATAGATCATAACCCTGACCTCGTTAGCATTCATGTTGCTTTGAGTACCACTACCAGTCTGCCAAATGACGAGTGGAAAATGTTCATTTAGCATTCCATCCGCCACTTCTTGTGCAGCCTGCATGATGGCCTTACCAATGGCTGGATCAAGCCCGTATTCCATGTTCACCTGCAACCAGTACATACACACCGCAGAAGAATTCCCATTTCAGAACTTCAATCTGAATCGTGGGAACAATTGGGTTTGGTTCCAATCAGAGAGAAGAGCAAGAATTTCGAGACCTTTGCCGCACATTTCTTGAGGACGCCGAAGGCACGAATTATTGGCTCCGGCATCCGCTCGCGCTCCCCGCCAATTTCAAAATTCTGCAATGATCTTTGAGTTTGCGCGCCCCACAGCCTGCAGAAGTGAAGGAAGTCGTTGCAGCGAATCAGAGAGAAATTGATTATGAAACAATGGCATTTTGGAAAAAGGGAATCGAGAATCAACCAAAAAAACTTACTTATCAGCAGGAACTTGAATTGGCCCAAATGTGTCTCGCTCTTCTCTGAAGCCATTTGAAGGCTGCAAACAATGTATGTTGATGTAATCAATGTGCGTTAATCGCGACTGTGATAGATGCATCAACTTACGCTAAATTGCTAACGTAGTCTCTCTCTTTCTCTCATCCCTTCCCCTCTCTCAATCCCGGCACCATTAATTATGACGACTGCAACGACGACGGCGGTGGCAGAGGCATGCTACGATGAAGGCCGGCTGCCGCCGGCAGTGGCGAATGAAGAGGAGGACATTTCCTTCTGCACTACTGTAACGTCGTCGTTTGCTTACCTGTTCCGTTTGTACTTAGCTTGCTACATGGGCTTTGGGTCCAAGAATTTTGTCCAAGGGCCTTGCGATATGAAGAAATAATGAGCCTAATAGCCTAACAATAGGCCCAACTCGTCATTCTCATTCAATTTGCTTGAGCACCCCCTTAATATTTTATTTCATATTTTAATCATAATTATTTTTATTTTTTATAATGGATTTTTAATCATAATTATTAGTTTATATTTTCTTCAGTTTACATAATTTTTTTACTAACCCACTCGAAGAAAGATAGAACTAACTCGTCTACATGCACACAAATATAAACGATAGCTTGTGAACTTTTTATTTTAAGAACAAAAACTATTTCTTCCAAATTCATAACATTATCAAAGTAATCAATGTAATGTCCCTTTATATGTGCTATATTACAGATTATATATGTGATAGTCTAAATAATAACTTATAGTGAAATACGGATACATGGATGCTTACAAGCTTATTGAGCACAAAACTCGAATTGAAATAAGCACAATTGACACCCGCGATAACATTAAGATCACACGAATGTGTATGGGAGGAATCAAACGAAACAAACAAGAAGAATATTGACCTGTTGAGGAGTTGAGGCCATGATTAACACGAACAATGTGATGCCCGAAATGAGATGAAACTATAGAGACAGAGACTAATGATCGATGAGAAAGGAAGAAATTCGTTACGAAAGAAAAAAGAAAACCTATATATGTATTGTTGCTCAAACATGTTATTGTACGGTATACAAAATCTTGTATAATGATATGTCTCAAAAGTTCCGTAATGATTGCTCGTCCATTCCATAGCTTTCGGGACAATTGTATTGGGCGGGAGGGCATAGGAAGCGGAGAACGAGTGAGCGATAGATGAATTTTTAGAACTTCAGAAAATCAGTTGTTTAACGTCTGGTCTTTTTACTTGATAAAACCACAGTAGAGAAACACGGTAGAAAAGAAAAGAAAATAAAAGAAAAGAAGAGACGTTGAATAACAATAAGTAATTCCATTTATTCATTTTTGGGAAACTATTTTGTAAATAATGGAGTCAAGACTAGATCAGGATTTGTTGAAAGATCTTTCTGTAATATTTGTTTTGTTTCATTAGAGGGTGAATGCATTGTTAAAAAATAAAAACTATGCATGAACGTATATGAATCAGTAGAATTAACGTATATCTATAAAGAAATTCACATTATTGGGTAGATAATAAAAAAAAATCGATAATTTTGTTGATAAATTTAGAGCATAAACATAAGTAAAAACTAGGCTATGATGTGTTTAACAATGACATAACTAATGTGGTATGAGTAGTATGATAAGTATTGTATTATACAACGAGTTATTACTGTTAGAGAACCTCCACATGGAGCACATAGTTGTTATTCAGATTTGATTTCCAATTTTTATCAGAATATATGCTAAGGTTCTTATGATTAAAAATATATAGGGACTTTAAGTAACTGCCCTATTCTACATCAGCATTGAAGCTATGCTCCTATTTATCTCTTTAGCCTCTTTTTGTTTTGTTTTGTTATGAGTTTATGGTAGTTACATGTTTTTTATTGGCAATTACCATTTTCCGAATGCGAGATCGACTGATATCTAATATTGAGTTATACGAAGAGTTATCGCTATTAAAGAACCTTCATTTAGTTGATCAGATTGGTTTTCTGATTTCGCGAGGAAGAGAATAATCATGGTTTTATACACTAAGATTCTTACTTTATAAAAAGTCTCTATTGTTAATTATATACTTCTGACATTAAAATTGTGCACATTACATATTATTGTGAGCTCGAGTGCTCGACTAGTAGTCAGTGTTAAATAAAAATAGTTGTTTGACTATGTTTTCAATGAAGGTTAGTTTATATGCAACCCCAATTGATATATGATATGATATCAGAAAAGAAGAACTGGAAGTGTCTACAAATCAATAGCTACATAGATACTATTCGTTAAACCACCGAGGGACAAGAAAGCGGTGATATTATTACCATACTAGCTTACAGGTCTAATTCCATCAACAAGATGAGATCAATAGTAAGTGCAATCAAACAAAATTTATTACTGGTTGGAATTACTATACTTTGTATGATGGTAAATAATTCAAATTTACTTGAGTTTGATGCGGGTATAACAAAAAACCTTACTTTAAATTTATCCCACCAATGTTTTTGGCGAGCTTATTCAACGTTCGAGTTTATTGACATCTACTAGACCTACTCCAAAAAGCTCCAACCAAACTTCCTGAGCATTTGATTTTGTGAACTTTCATCTTAAAATAACATGCATTACTCTAGCTTTAATTTAAAAGCGAATATCCAGCTTGGGTGCATGGGTTTGGTTGTGAAGGTAACTCAGTTTGTTATGATAATTACTGAATCAGATGTCATCCTTGCAAACAGTGGCGTAGCCAAGATTTTATTCAAGGGGGTGCCATAAAAAAAATTACATATGTTGTCTCATGTTTCATATTGTGAAATTATTTTATAAATATATGAATCGGTTAAACTATCAAGATTTCATACTTAATTTATCCCACCAAATAACTATCCACAATATCAATTCACTAGATTTGACGATTGATATTTAGCATTTAATATCATTATTAACTTAATATTACTACTAATATTTTGACCTTTTTCCAAATATAAGGGGTGCCATGGAACCCCCTTGGTGTGTTCTAGCTACGCCCCTGCTTGCAAATGGAGGCGATGGACCTCTCATTGTGTTCATTACATCAATTCGTCACTCAATACAATGGTCAATGGTAATAAAACATATTTGTTGCTTTATTATCAATCTACCCATTGACAAATAAAAATCATGTCGGTTAATTAAATGGCCGTCAATTTTATGGTGAGAATACCTTCTCCTCATAGAGAGCGACCTTGGTGTCGGGGAATCCAAGAATTTAAAAAGTCATTAGCTTTGTGATAAGGTGAAATTTATGATAATTTAATCCACGTGTTTTGTTATGCATTATATTTGTACGTATGAAGTTACACAAAAATAGGTTTACTTATCATTATTTTACGAAAAATGGCGACGGATATGAACTACCTTCTCGGGCGAGAACCAAGGTCACAACCCGTGCATGAAATTTGTGAACTAAAAATTGACGATGGAGAAGAGGCGATTACCAATTTAAATCAAATAATTCATTATCAAATGCTAACACTTTATGTAATATGATGCTTATACCATCAAATGTAAGGTTGTCAAAGTTACAAATGAGTGTTATGCCGGATGTGGAACATGTTCACAAAAACTCAAAGACACAAATGAGTACTTGTGTGGGAATTACACAATGCCATCAAATATGACAACAGAACAAACTATTAAAATTGCAACCATTATTAATCTAAACATGGGTTTGATATATAGTGTGGTGATGAATATATGTGGCACAAAGTTGGTTGTTTAATTCTCCCACACTCATATTCTCAACGAAACAATAGATCGTTTGTTAATAATTGGTAAAGCATGAAAATGATACAGTAGGAAGCGAGAGAACCTCCTTATAGATTCGAATTGACGACCTTTTTTCCCCTCTTCTTTTGACTGGATGGATTGATCAAATTTGAGTTATATGCTCAAGGAAGGAAAAACAGCGAGGTGAATTGAATTAACATATATTTTATAAAGTTATTTAACATTTTTGGAGCACACAACCTTTGATTGGTTAAACTTAAGTTGCCAAAGTATGTCAATGTCCCACATACAGATTTTGTCCATCATCTACTAACATATTATCAAAAGTTTGTAAGTATGAGATTGTTAAAGCTATCAATTTTTATAACATGCTTACAAGGTCCGAGGTTATGCTCTTTCTACATCTTCATTTATTTAGCTGAGTCATGTGGGAAATGGTTGGTTATTCAACTAATTAATTAATTCTCACACACTTATATTCCCAACCCACTATAAATACAAATGAGTTTTGGTTCGGTTGGACGGATGGATTTGATTATATCTCTTTTTGTTTATCCCCAAAATTGTTGTTTTGTGTTGGGAGGAGAACTAGATCTTTGAAACATAGCCAGCAAAACACAATATGAGTAAGGTACAAATAAAATACGAACGGGAAGTGAACTTCATTTATAAACTAATGGTACGTTGAATAATACGCAAATATCTAAAATTAATAATTTACACAATAATTGAACATATGAATAATAGTTAAATCAACCATTTAACTCATAAAATATGGATATGAAATATATCATACGTATTTTACACGTGCTCCATATGGGAGACATCAAATTAACCGCAAAATACAAAACATGTCGAGAATAATACGGATATGAAAATTTTAAACCGATAAAAGACAAACTATCTTACATATTTAGCCTTGAATTATATTACTAATTATACTTTGAAGCCATCCCTATATATTTTGATCTTGTCTTGTGACTGTTCCCGTAATTTATTAATTTGAATTATGGTTTGAATTATTATATTATACTTTGAAAACCAACAACTTGCTGAACATTTGCTTCCCACTAATCACGAATCACGATTAATAAAGAATGGAGCATGAAGATAGGTCCAAAATTAATTTTTTCGCACTAACAAAACCAGTAATTATTATAAACTTGAAAAACAACGGGTTCTCCCGCTCGTTTCTCTATTTCAACGCAATTTGCGTTGCTTTAACAAAAAAAAAAAAAGAGTAAAGTGATGTAATAGGAGAATTACCAGGGATCGGATTGGATAATTGCCAATCAGTCTGAAATCTGAATTGCCTGGGAGAGTCGTTGTAATAACAGAAATTTCTCGCTCTTCTCTCTTCCTGTACTTATCCTCTTTTTCTCTGCACTTTCCTCCATTTTCCCAGCAACCAAACACTCGTCAAGAACTCTCCAGTACAATTGACATCGAGATTCATCACTGATGAATCTCGGTGAGGGTTTAGGGTTTGAGGGAGGAGACGAATTGAATTGAACTCGTTACTAGGGATTGAATTCTGGGAACGTAAATGGATATCTGCGATTAAGAAAAGAAAATTGGTAAAGTCTTCTCTCTTTCTGTACTTATCCTCTTTTTCTCTGCACTTTCCTCCATTTTCCCAGCAACCAAACACTCGTCAAGAACTCTCCAGTACGATTGACATCGAGATTCATCACTCTCCTTTCTTCCTTTTCCTTTCTACTTTACCAATTTTCTTTTCTTAATCGCAGATATCCATTTACGTTTCCCAGAATTCAATCCCTAGTAACGAGTTCAATTCAATTCGTCTGCTCCCTCAAACCCTAAACCCTCACCGAGATTCACCACTTTCCTTTCTTCCATCGCTCGCCATACCCAACAACTCGTCGACGGTTTCTCGCTCTCCCAGAAGGTAACGTCTCACAACATCTCACTCCTATTCTATTTCTCAGAGTCCCTTTCTCTCTCTCTCTTACTTTCCCCTTTCTCTGTTCTGCTTCTCTTCTGCTGCACGGAAAGAGATCGCCAGCAATCCTAAAGGTGACATCCACCGCCATACGCAGCATCTCGCCGCAAATTACAACTTTCGAAGGCGTAGAGCTCCTCTTTGCGGATTCCTTGCAGATTCCGACGGTTTCTTGCTTCCCAGAAAGTGACGTCTCACAACTCGTTTCTTCCTTCGTACTTTAGCGATTTGGGTTCCTAATCGTAGAAATCCGTTGCCTTTTCCCATGACTCAATTCGTTTTCTTTATTATTTCTTCTTCTTAAGAAACATGGTTGATGATGATTTGCGTTGCTAATGCAGAAATCCGTTTCCGTTTCTTCCTACCTACTTTAGCGATCTGGGTTCCTAATCGTAGAAATCCGTTGCCTTTTCCCAGGACTCAATTCGTTTTCTTTATTATTTCTTCTCCTTAAGAAACATGGATGATGATGATTTGCATTGCTAATTGTAGAAATCCGTTTCCGTTTCTTCCTTCGTACTTTAGCGATCTGGGTTCCTAATCGTAGAAATCAGTTGCCTTTTCCCAGGACTCAATTCGTTTTCTTTATTATTTCTTCTCCTTAAGTAACATGGATGATATCAGGGCAGGCCAATTGAAATTTCAACTGGACGACACCCTATGAACTTCTACACAACAAACGAACAGATCTTTCTCAGTTAAGGGTTTTTGGCTGTTTATCCTTTGCTAGCACTCTGGGTAACCACCAAACTAAATTCCAACCTAGAGCTAGAAAGGGTGTTTTTATAGGGTTCACTTCAGGGATTAAGGGTTATCTGATTTAGGACCTTAATAGTCATGAAACTTATATCTCCAGAGACGTTGTTTTTTATGAGAATGATTTTCCCTTCAAAAGTCTAGCAAGCAGTGATGTACCACCTACCCCAAACAATTGTTCTCTCTTCCCCTCACCACCTTCACCACATGTTTTTGATGACTTCTTTTTCCTTCCAACGTCTTCATCTCTGCTTATTTGAAATTTCAATTGGCCTGTCCTGCTAGATGATGATGATTTGCGTTGCTAATTGTAGAAATCCATTTCCTTTTCTCAGGACTCAATTCGTTTTCTTTATTCATTTTTCTCCTCAAGAACCATGGAGGATGATGATGATCGCGAAGTCGATCCAGATCTCAGGTAAATCACTGCTTGGGTTCAACACTCAGTCTTGTATTTCTTCCTAGTGTATGGTTTAATCTTTTTTTTTTTTACATGCACAGCTCTGTATCTGAAGAAGATTCACAAGAGTAAGTTATCCTCTAAATTCTATAAAATCTTCTATTTCTCTAGCTTTACTTTGCTAATGATATATTGTTCTGATTTGCCTAACAGACTTGAATCCGATGGTTCTCCTCAAAAGTCTGATGATGGTGATCCTGATAATGGGGACTATGGGTAGGTTTCCTTCTTTGTAATGATTTTTCCTTTTCTGGGGTTTTGGTTAATGATTATATCCTTTCATTTCATCTATGTAAACAGCCGGTTTTATAGGAAGCGAAAGTCTGCAGATTCCAAACATGCTAGCAAGATTCTTGTGCGAATGCCATCTCCAAAGCCCGAATGGACAGTTGATCTTGTGTTGTCCTGTATGGCATTCAGGAAGATCAATGAGCATGCTCAATGGATTGCTCTTGATCTCGGTCGTAAATCGCTCGATTTTCTGGGTGATGTAATGATTGCTTGATTCGGCAGGGTTATTTCTTATTTGCGGAAATTTAATCTTGCCCCAGAGACTGCTGAGGCAATAGCTAAGCTGGAGGAGGAAAGACAGGCTTTAACTGATATGCAGATTGTGGGGGCTGTTGTGAATGATCAAGAATCTCAGGCTACTGCTTTGTTGGATATTTTAGGAGGTGGATTTAGTTACATCCCTTATCCTTATCGTGGTTTGGATGCTGGTGAAGTTAATGAAATAGAACAGACCGATCCAAGTTTGTCTGCTGAGAGTGTGGTTTTTGGTCTCCTCCAAGTGCTGCCACAGCTCCACAGATGTTGTGAGAACATCGAAAGAAAAGATTACAAAATGAATCTCAAATCAAAATTTCTATGTGACTCCAACAACTCATATATTAACTTAATTTGTAATAATCCATGCAGCATTTTATGTGCAAGTCAAAACATGGTTAACATTATTAACCTCATAATCATAATTTCTTAGTCCATGATTATTAATGATGATCTAAATAAACTAACTCATTTTCAGTTTTTGGAATGAAAATTTGTGTTTTGATACACAAATCAATGAAGAAAAGGGCGTAGAAGAAAGCCATTAAAGCTGAAGATGAAGTACATTCTCAATCTTCATAGGGATACAAAACGCTCCTCATATCATCGACAATAGAAGTCAAACTAAACCCAGTCTTCAACCTTTCAAGGAGGTGCTTCAAGGATTTAATATCTTGTTTCAAAAGTCTCAATTCGACCACAAATTCTTCATCATTCATAGACAGCTCCAAAAAATCAATTCTTTCTTTCATCGCATACACTTGGAGTTGTGGCTCTTGCTCTCGTTTTTCCTTTTTTAAAGATTTTTTTCATTCTTTATCTTATTGTTGGATTGAATGTTCTAGTTAATCTTTCAAGAGTAAGTTGTGCTGAAATTATGGATGATGTTTATGGATGAATTGGTCTATGGATGATGTTATATCAGTTTTGTGCTCTTGTAACAAACTAATCATTCGATCAATCAATTTTTTATTCACATTTCTCATTCTGTAAGTCAATTTAACCAATTAGTCAATTTAATTCTTTCACTAACATTTTCTTCTATAAGTCATGTCCTTTTAAACTAAAACTAGATCAGTTAATTATTTTAATTTCTAAATTTGTATGTTTAAAGATTCTATAACCTCATTTAACTTTCACATTTTGTTTTATAAATCATGTACTTTATCAAGTTCTTTAACTTTTATATTCTTATGTTTATCATTTTTTTTTTGCATATAAGTATTTTTTTCACAGACAATCCATTTAAGACGAACCAGATCGTGTGTTGTGCATGGGAAGAGAGCGAGATCAACTCACAAACGATTAGAAAATGAAGGATCAATCCTTTTAAGATGACGGATCTTCGTTTTCCAAACATAAGAATATTGGAAAACATGCTACAAATTGAAATGAATGATTGATTTTTATTCATAATTTACTAACTTGTTTTAAACATAACACAACAGAAACGGTGTGTACAATACAATACACCCAAAATCAGATGTGAAACACTAGATTATATCATACATAGATTGCATACAATTTGTTTGATCAAGGACAATTTTAAGATGATTTATTCTAATTCTACAAAAAAAAAAAAATCCAGCCCATTGATACTTTCTCTAGTCTTCCCTTTAAGTACAAGCAGTACTATTTATATTTAGGGTAAATACAATTTATTAGCCAAACTTATTATTTTAAATAAAATAATATCCAAACCTTTTCAAAAATAATTTATTAGTCAAACCGTCAACTTTTCATCCGGTCAATTGTTAGTTGACTCTGATATGACAAATGAATTGCTTACTCAGTACCCTTATTTATCAACTCAACCCAATAATATCATAATAAAATCGATTGGAAAAAATTATACATTTGTGAAGTTACATATATAATCTTACTCATATAATTTATTTTTAATGCTTCTCTTTGTCTCTCTTTTGTTTTTTTATCCCCTCTATTTCTCTCTCCCTATGCAATATCATTAGACTTCATATAAGAAACCCATTTTTCCACAAAAATAGAGAAAGTTAGCTAGTAGCATATCCCCTCCAACAAACCACACTAAAAAAGAGTCACCAATTCCCCTCTTTGTCGTCTCTCTTTTCCTTCCCCAAAGTTTCTTGTCTCCTCACCATTATCTCCACCACCACACCACACCTCAACATAACCAAAACCCCTCCTTAATTACAACCATCTCCACCATGATCACTCGTCGCAAAACCACCTCCGCCATCATTACTACCCTCACTTATCATAATCACCATCGTAATTACATCTCCATGAGTTCTTGCTTCCCTGCTGCTCTGAGTCTGGACCCAAAATCTGTATGTTCCATCATACATGCCTCGCAACTCCGCATACCTTGGAATTCAAGGGTGGATTTAGTGACCTTTCCTACCCTTACAGAGATATAGCTGCTGCTGGTCAAGTGGTCGAACAAGCTGAACTGAATCCTTTGATGAGATTGTTGTCTGTGGAGTTCGATGAGGTTAGAGTATGCGGGAAGTTGGCCCGCTGTTGTACCGAATCTGGTCTGTTTTTTTTTTTGTATGGTATTATAATTCATGTTGAAGCTCTTTATTATCTTTGAATAGTTTATTTCTTATTTTGCAGAGCATGGCCATAACTTGTCCAAGCGTGCTGCAGCCTTCTTCAAAGGAAGATTTGTCAAACAGTACCTCTCCACTGCTTTAGCAATATGTGTCATGGGGCTTCAGCACTCTGCAATGGAGCAGATGCGCGAATTTTTGAAGCAATCTTTGGATTTGGCTACCAATCGACAAGCTCAGAATACTGTGGACATGGGCGCTGAGCTGAACATTTTGACTACTGATATTCGAATCTTGAAGTTCTGGTTCCAGAAGTTGGCTGATAGGAATGAATCAGAAGATTCTTTGAAAGAGATACATTTAGTGGTTCAATTTTGTGCATATGGTGAAGGTAAACTGTTCTTGAACTCTGATTTACTTTTTTGAAAAGCAAAGTGTTAGTAAGAATTTTTGTTGTTTGTTTTCAGAGGCTATTGAGTTGGATGGATGAAGTAGCGTTTTGTATCCCTACGAAGATTGAGAAGGTACTTCATCATCTTTAATGGCCTTCTTCTATGCCCTTTTCTTCATTGATTTGTGTATCAAAACACAAATTTTCAGTCCAAAAACTGAAAATGAGTTAGTTTATTTAGATCATCATTAATAATCATGGACTAAGAAATTATGATTATGAGGTTAATAATGTTAACCATGTTTTGACTTGCACATAAGATGTTGTATGGATTATTACTAATTAAGTTAATATATGAGTTGTTGGAGTCGTATAGAAATTTTGATTTGAGATTCATTTTGTAATCTTTTCTTTCGATGTTCTCATCAGCATCTGTGGAACTGTTGAAAGCTGATACATAAAATTTTAATTTCTGGTTGGAGAAGTTTGAGGATATGAATCAATCAGAAGATATTATCCATGAATTTAAATCTGCTGCTTTCTTTTGTCCATATGGAGAAGGTAATTGTCTTGAACTTTGATCCCCTTACTTGACGAGCAAAGTGTGGGAGTAAGATTGTTTGTTGTTTGTTTCTTCAGGCTCTTGAGTTTGGACGGAAGAAGGGGTGAAAGTTGCTAGGAGTGGTGGTCAGGCTTTCCAAGCCGTTTATCGATGGATTGAATGTTCTAGTTAATCTTTCAAGAGTAAGTTGTGCTGAAATTATGGATGATGTTTATGGATGAATTGGTCTATGGATGATGTTATATCAGTTTTGTGCTCTTATAACAAACTAATCATTCGATCAATCAATTTTTTATTCACATTTCTCATTCTGTAAGTCAATTTAACCAATTAGTCAATTTAATTCTTTCACTAACATTTTCTTCTATAAGTCATGTCCTTTTAAACTAAAACTAGATCAGTTAATTATTTTTAATTTCTAAATTTGTATGTTTAAAGATTCTATAACCTCATTTAACTTTCACATTTTGTTTTATAAATCATGTACTTTATCAAGTTCTTTAACTTTTATATTCTTATGTTTATCATTTTTTTTTTTGCATATAAGTATTTTTTTCACAGACAATCCATTTAAGACGAACCAGATCGTGTGTTGTGCATGGGGAGAGAGCGAGATCAACTCACAAACGATTAGAAAATGAAGGATCAATCCTTTTAAGATGATGGATATTCGTTTTCCAAACATAAGAATATCAAAAAACATGCTACAAATTGAAATGATTGATTGATTTTTATTCATAATTTACTAACTTGTTTTAAACATAACACAACAGAAAATTTAGGTTAATGTGATTTGATTATCTCTAACATTTTCACATGTTGTTTTATAAATCATGTACTTTATCAAGTTTTTCAACTTTTACATTCTTATGATTAACGATTTTTTTTGCATATAATAAGTATTTTTTTCACAAACAATCAATTAAGACGAATCAGATCGTGAGTTGTGCATGGGAAGAGAGCGAGATCAACTCACAAACAATTAGCAAATGAAAGATCGATCCTTTTAAGATGACGGACATCCGTTTTCCAAACATAAAAATATTGAAAAACATGCTACAAATTGAAAGGAGTGATTGATTTTTATTCATAATTTACTAATTTGTTTTATACATAACACAACAGAAAATTTAGGTTAATGTGATTTGGTTATCTCAAATAACATTTTTCTCCCTTTATATCATAGAAATATATTGATTTTCTTATATTATTTTTCAACCTTTTGCGATTATGGAGTCAAACTCCGACCCCCCAAAACTTAAATCCTGACTCCGCCCATGTTTTTGATCACTTTGCAGCGTGCGACGTCTCATTTATAACAATCAATTTTAGAGCTATATCTCATGTCGTGTTCCCAACTAAGGATGATTAAGATTGGTACAAACACTTCATTGATGCTCTCAAATCCATCCGAGGGAAATCATATAGTTTCATGCTTAGACTTCATTATGCATGTTATATGGGAAGACACATGTACTTTTTATAGCACTTTTACCATAAGAAACAATTAGCATCTAAGAACGTTCAATCTATTATTACCATGCCAGCGCACTCAGAGATTTCCAAATTTTGGATTCTTCTTTCTCATAATTCTAGCTAACGAGACAACTACCATGAAATGATACAATGTTGCGAAGCCTACCCGGACAACGGGTCGTGCTACGCACTAGTAAAAAAAAGTATTTTAGGGGTGGATGCAGTCAGGCAGGGGGTGTAGGTGGGTCGATTCAGGTCTGGTCGACATAGATCGGGTTATCCTATTAGGACGACGAAGTTTGGAGCTGGATTTGGTCACATACAATCTATCTGATCCTCGTACCACAATGCGACGCAACGAAAATTGGGCTCGCGTTTTAAGTTTGTAGGTCATCATAGTTAAGA